ACAGTCGCCAAGATGCTGGCTTTGTGCACTGAGCGATCTTGTATAGGAATCACTTTGTTTGCTAAGTGATATCACATCGGAATCAAGCGCGCTCCCTTCCCACCTGGTGCACATGTTGAAGTCTCGTTACACGAGTCGCGTACTAGTTTATCTGTCACGCAAATGGAGCCATACATCAGAAACGATCATCCGCGATGTGGAGTCCTAGTATTTTTGATCCGTGGTCAGATCGCATGAGCGATATTTGCTACGCCCTCTCGGGACCCGAACAGGGGGCCCTTTTTGCATTTGACTGAGATCGTGACATATCAAGACTCGGAGGATGCACTGAAGTGGGGTAGGTGAGTGCATTTTCTTTTGGTTTACAATGCACTCATCTTGCATGGCTCACTCTCGCAGGAATGAGATCTCATACATTGTTCTCTGACTTCCTTGTGAATTGTTTTTGCGGTTGTGCGTTTCTCTTATTTCATGATAAAAATGTTTGCTTCCTGTCTACTTTCCAACTTACTCGTAATTTATTTTTACCTAGGAATGTGCTAACTTTTCTTTGAGGTGTATAGACACAGCTCGAATCCTTCGAGTCTTATCCTACTCCGAGGCGACCCGAATGTTCTAGTGGAGCCTATTGGAGCTTTGCATGTCACCCTGACATCAGTGAGTTCCACCCACAACGCCTCCAACCAATGACGCCCACTTTTGACTTCCTAGGACGCACAATTAGAACATTCCGGCCATCGGCCTCCATCACATTTGAATAAGATCGTCGCGATGTACATGATACTTATTGCGACACCCCCCGGCGCAGCACCAGATGAGCGACTCCCTTTGGAACGTTCATTTTCATTGTCCATACGCCCAAGCGATCACCGCATCGGCACCTTGTGCCAGATGCCAAGCTACTGGTGTTTTAGGCCGAGTTGGTTATTGGGACACTTGCATAGCCTGTCAAAGATCATCCAGGGCGAGGTATGACAGGGACGCCCGCGCACCCACTACACTTCTTTCTGAATCTCGAATGGAGTTCTGCACGAAAGAATGGTATTGGGAACTCTGTTCACATGGACCTTCATTGTAGCCTCCGCCAGGTATCTCCCAATGATGCCAGGGTCGTCGTCCTCATTATTACTCTTGTCTTTTGCCTTATCAACCTCAAATTAACTCGAACCTCTTCGAATTCGATCCTAGCTAAACGGTCTTGCGATTTCACTATTTCGATGTGCTTTTATGTGATGAAATCAATTAATACTGTGGTCATTGATCGCTTGAAACTTTGATATTGCCACATTCTTCGCCACCCTCGACCAAGAAACCAACGTTGATTAATTTGTTGGTTTCCTGCTCAGCATTATTTCATTTTTGTCACGGTGACCGCGTGATCGGTGATATTTTTACGTCAGGAGTCGAAGCGGTGCGGGGATACGCCGAGGAAGGCTAAGCCTACGGTAGACAGATGTGATAAAGCGTGCGCGCGAATGGCTGTACATCCAAGACTCATCCAGGACTGCGCAACGGCGTCCCTAGCAGACTAACGACAAGCTGTACTCCCCAGTGCAAAACATGACACTCGACGACAATGCATGGTCATTTTCACAGCCACTATCCATAAAAGGCAGGCGTAAGTGAAATCCCTTCCCTGACAGTACGCGACGTGGCTGCCACCATTCCGAGCCTAACTTGCTACTGGTCCACATGCCAACATAAGCCCTAGCTCACACTTTTAACGATTAACCACGAGTACGTTCCATTAGCCATGGCTACTCACGAACAAGAACACGACGAACCACCTCGCCCTTTTTCCATCGATCTCACCTTAGAACTCGAGCGCCAACTCGACAATGAATCAAACCCGAACTCGCCTGTAGATGCCACAGAACGTCCTCATTCCCTGGATTCGCATGTCCTTGCTTCAATCGTCACTCAACTGAGATTGTCACTCGCAGATGTTACAAGAGAGCGAGATGAGCTCTCAAAAACAGTTGTTGAAATGCGGACTCGCGAGGCAGGAACTGCGGACATGCTTGAGCATATGACGGAAAAATGCTCGAAAATGCAGGAGGAACTGGATGGTGCTCGTACAAGGATTAAGGATGACGAAGATACGATATCCATACTCAGGACGAAAGTCGAGGAGAGCAGGTTTGTTTCACACCCGTATTGTTTGCACAACGTGCCACTCACAGTGCTTCCCAGGCGTGGCCTCATGCGTCTACAGTCTGAAAATCGACGGGCGAGTCAAGTACCCTCAGCTCTTGACTTGTCTAGAGCGGGTATTCCTTCCTTCAATGGCCCACCGTCCTCTAAGCGTGCATCATTAATTGGATCCACGACTGGGCGTAATAATACCCATAAACGAATATCATCAGTCTCTGACAACGCCCTCGACAGCTCTCATTTAGCATCCCCTATTCCCACTCCAACTCCCGCGACTTTCACCCTTCCTGATGTGCAGAAAAGCAGGTCCCAACAGCCTTCCCACACGAGGAGGATGTCTGGCATGCTCGGTCGTGGGTCACCACCGCAGTCTCTTTTCCCTTCGGAAGAGTCTGCCGAGTTGGAAATGCTGCGCCGGGAACTCAACGCTGTGAAGGCTGAACTTGACGACGTGAAGCATGAGCTGAGCGAAACAAATGAAGCTCGCGAAGCATCAGACACTTGCATCAAAGCTCTACGGGAATTCATTGAAGATAACCAGGTTGGAGCTGTGCCAAAGGGTCTTCCCCCTTTGCCTGCAGAGGTGAAAAAACCATCACCACCACCACCAGCTGCTGCTGCTGCTGGGTGGGGATTCAAACTCTGGCGAGCAGATTCTTTGGCGCAGAGTCCTGTGTTGGCCTCTCCATCCCCCGCCGCACCCGCCACCCACACTGTATCACCATCCTTATCATCGCTGACGCCCCCTGTTCCTCTCACCAAAAAACTGGGCGACTTCTTCGGTGCTCGTGCCACGCCAGTTGCTGCTTCTAAAACGTCACAACGCGTTGAACAAGAGCCAGTGTACAACGGCATGTCTGATACGTCGTCCATCGAGGATTCTGTAGTCGAGCCCATCAGCCCCGCAAGCGAGCGTCCTCGGCCAACTGTATACGTACGAGATGCCACTAGCGTGACATCGGAGTCATCACGCGATCTTGGCAATCTCGAGGGAAAGCTACTTCCCCCAGGTGCCGATGGAACCCTGTCCCCTGTTGTCATTTGATTAGTGTACTACAGGCGTTTCTGATCTGGCTCTTCATGAGCCCTCCCTACTAGACATTCGAATTCGTTTTCTAACCTCGAACCCAGTTCAAACGGGAATTTTACAGACACACTTTTCCGCAAATATAGCATATACCTCTGTAATGTACATGAGCACGAGAGCGGGAAGGGAGAACAGACTATCGCTTACATAAATCACTCGGATGTGTCCTACTCACATGGATAAATCACTTCGAAGTCGTTCCGAACAAAGCAGAGATAGAAGATGTAAAGATAGGATAATTCTTCGAGAGTTTCTATTTCCGACCTTTTTCGCACGTTGTCTGACTATAAACCAATTGAGCGCCTTGGCTTTTGAGCGACTTGGTGCCTTGCTGAGAAGTCAGAAGCGAACACATAACGTTCCCTGTCAGCAAGATGCATACGCAGCCTCCGGAAGTATGCTAAGCCCAGTGAAGGTAAATGTTCAGCGAAGCCGCGCGTTAATTATTTTTATGCAATATCGAATAGGCTGATGGTCTATGCGCACGTTTGATTTGTGAGAGGTGGATAAAGTTACCAACGGAACGTTGGTGGCGTGTAACCTGAGAAGAATGAAGGAACGATATGTGTGTACCATGCGTGTATTCTGCCACTAACATTGGGAGCGGAAAAGGGAGGGAAATATGTCAGCAGAATGTCAACATTTCGACGTCAATTCGATGCTGATGACTGCGGAATGGTGGCCAGCTTCAAGTTCTCTCGCATGCCCCTCTTCAATCGGCGAATAGGGTTCACTGGTGTCAAGCTAGGTTCTGCTGACGCCACTACTAGTAGTAGCAGCAATGGAAGTAACGTTCAGGGTCGCTGTGATGAATAGTCAACAATACATATCGGAAAGTACAGACGTACTAGACACAAGTCGGGAAAGACGACTGTTTCAAACATCCACGGAATTCCAGTCTGTCCGAGGCAGCGCCTAGATGTGATATGGCTAGTCCAGGTGGATACTCATCGATGCATCGCAGAGTTTCAACGACTCATGGTCCGCAAATCGTAATCAGCGCCGATCTAAAGGCATGATCGCGGGAGTGATCAGCTGACCGTGACTCGGTACACCACCAGTCAAGGCAATGCACAGTTCAGCGCCATCAGCAAGTGCGTCTTCTCAGCGTGACTTGTCAGTAGCGTGTGGCAGTGTTCGAACTGTCTGTCAAGCTTAGACTCATGGACACCGGAGGGGCGAAGGCGGACATAGTGTTTCGGCTTTCAAAAATGAATAGTGAGTATTCCGTAGTTTTCGTGTGTAGATCTACTGTGATCCATAGAGGCCGGAGGATAGTTTTATAACCTCAGTCTTGAAGAGGCCGTGACTGTGATTTGCGATGATTAACGCACTTGATCCTTTCGAGATAAGGCAAAGCGTAAAAATTTCTTGCGACGGGGAGAGATTTCTGCGGTTGGAAATTCAAAAGCGGTGAAAAAAGTGAAACAGTACTTCTCATGGACTAGTCTTGGATGCGGTTATCACATCATATTATGTGAGGATTGTCGAACGCCGGCCATTGTAGAAGAACACGGATGGGATGAATACTCACCGGGTGCGTTCGGTTCGACCATCGCGGATGAATGATGGACTTGGACGATTCGAGTGAAATATATGTGCCAACCGCTGATAAGGCATGCAATTTCCCATGCGCTTTCAATTATTCACGGACTCCGTAGTGCGAAGCCGTCCTGGAATTATCACAGTCTCACATCGATAGGACCATAGGCCGCCACTAAGTTGTGCGGATAGAGGTCTTGTCATGAGAATACCTTGAGGCACAAGGAGAAGCTAGTGAGCAAAATAGACTCCAAAATGGTGGAAAGGGAAGTAAGCTCAATCGCAATCGTTGATAGTACAAATGTAGAGTTAATGATCGGGAGATATTGTGAGATACGATTTGTTGGCGCTTTTTTGATATGGCTTCTCAGACTGGCCAAAAGCAAATTCCGTGAACTGCATTCTGATTAGTTTATGTCGTATACATGAATGTCACTCACAGTGCCCTCGTATGTGTACGTTGCATTGGTGTTGTTTACTGATGCCACGGGGACTGGGGGGTGTCCTTCTCATCTCGTCATCGCTTGTCTGGCGTCTTCCGTGCTTCTTTTCGGACGCTATGAGCGGTGTCCACTGTCAAATGTCCCAGTGCGTGATCTATTACTCCACGGACGATTTTTGGACGTCTCGCCGGGGTGCAAGGCCTGGACCGTCCTTTTAAGCGAGAGATGCTTAGCGGTGACACGTCATGAGTGTCAGATAACAGATAGAACAGAATCATGCTGTGTTACCTCGAAGGCTATTCAAGGGTCCATGCCATGGTTGCAGCAGATGCATTGCATGTCCCGCGCGTGCTCACTGCCCTCCGAGTCGTAGAACAAATGGGAACCGATCATGATGGTTATGGAAGTCACGGAACGGCGGAAAAAAAGGTTTACCCGCAATGAATTGAAGACTTGTGAATGGCGTAGAATGTATGAACGCCTCGTGTTTTTTTAAATCTTGATAGAAGAATGTATTCTGGAAGTAAAATTACTATGAGGGGGGTCACCAATGTCGTACTGTCACTCCGCGTTCGTCTTGTGAGGTCAGCGACGTTCAAATACATCCGTGCCGAGGGGTCGGCAAGGGGGTCTATAGTCCGTTTAATCCACATTTGGAAATTACAGTACAAACCTGATGTAATAATCAGCGCGGAATTTAGTTGGACATAGTTCGCATACTGAATTGAAAACCATCACACTGTGATAATTATGGCCATCTATCTTCTTCTCTCTTGCCATCAGTCTACATAGCCCTTAGGGCCTCCACATGCTATCCTCCCCAGTTTCTCCAAATCGCATGGAGCAAAATCTCTTTGCTGATGCAGCCAAGAAACGCAGAAAAGGCGCTACTCGCCTTTCGTGTGCAGAATGCAGGCGGTAAGCCACAGTAACGTATGCATAATCATTACTCAACTTTTATCGTTTTACAGTCTAAAGTTGCGTTGTGACAGAGCGATTCCTTGTGGCTCATGCGTGAAACGTGGCTGTGGTGCCATCTGTCCAGATGGTACGACTCCAGCTCAGCTCAATTCAAGCCAACAGGCTGATCATCAATCTCATAGGTTCTTTGACAACCGGCCAGGGGAACAGGTAAGCGGTGCATAGTGTTTCAAGTCGAGTACTATCTGATCATGTCTTCTAATACAGATTTGTTTTGGCATCAACTCAAGAGCTTCACGAGAAAATATCAGAACTCTGTCAACGTGTCCGGGAATTGGAAGATGCTCTTCGACATTCCCACTCTCTAGTGGCTGCAGACAGGCATCCTCTATTAGCTGACGACTTATTGAAAATCAAATCACCTTTACAGCGCGAGCCCCCAAGTAACAGAAACATGCCTCGATGCGAAGCCAAGGAAGAAGAGCAGAACGGCGAGGTTGTTGACGCTTTTGGTTCCTTATCGATCAATGCTTCTGGTGGTGCAAAATACTTTGGCTCCATTGCCAACTCCTGGGTGCGTGAATACTCATTCAATGAGGTTATTGCTACGTCTGATTACGAGTGCTCCAGTATTTCTTACAGGTTTGTCCAAGTGGTCAAACTTACCCCTAATAAATTTCTAAATATTTGCAGAATGAAGCAAACGAAGATCACGAGACTGATGGTGATCGTCTTGCTGCACTTCAAACCGTCCTTCCCTCCGATATTCTCGCACGAAGTGGCGCGTTCCCAATTCTACCCTCATCACACACATCCATTCATGTTGAGAACGTGCGGCTAAGAACCCTCTGCTGGTACCTTCCGGAGCCTGCCAAAGCTCAAGAGATATGTCAGACCTACTATCGCCTAGGTGCATGGATGTCTGTCCGCTTTCTTCTATCGTAGTGAAAATAATTCTGATTTTTCCTCGGAAGGTACAATCCCATAAGCCAACTGTGCTTCTACGAAGATATATATCCCCAATTTTACACCCCCAATGCCGGCCCGCCCTCCGATGATCCTCTTCTATCACACAAATTGTCTCTCGTCTTCATGGTTCTCGCGATTGGTACCCTCATGGATGTACACCAACCAGCCTACAATGTCGAAGCCGAGAAATATCACCAATTAGCTCGGGCTGCGCTATTCCAGAGCTCATTGTTCGAAGATCCGACTATTAATGCCGTTCAAGCTCTTGTAAGCATACCACGAGGAATTTTCGGATCATATCCTACTTACACATACGATTTCAGTTTCTCATGACTTTTTACCTTTTTATGTCGGACCGACATGGTTCCAATTCTGGCGCACGGTGGGCTATTATGGGAATAGCTATCAAAGTGGCGCAAAGTGTAAGCCGTACATAGCCAAGGGCCCTGGTCTATTATGCTCACCTGGTCACTTGGCAGATTGGCCTGCGTACGTAATGTTATCGCACCCCAATGAGGTTTGAGGTACTAACGTTACATTCTCATCCGTTAGACCGAGATCCCAGTCGATGGGGCGTGGATCACAAGGAGACTCTGCGTCGCAGAGAGCTCTTCTGGGAACTATACACATACGACTCGTGGCAGGTACGCCCCCATTTGGCATCGTGGGTGCTGTTGATTACTTATGGGAGAACGATGTTCGCAGTGTCTTACCTTTGGTCGACCGGTATCATTCTACACGGCCCATATGGACTGCAAATTGCCATACTCAACAGATTCGTCAGAGGAAAACATTTGTAAGCTCTTACTCCACGGGGATATTTTCTCTTCGATGACCATTACATCACTTTCCAGTCCATGCTTGGAAACACCGTTTCGCTTCAGAGTGCATGAGCGTTGTTCACGACCAGGCTTTTGGTGCCAAAACACCGACGTATGCCACAGTCCTCCAGCTTGACCGCAAACTCCGTGCCTTTCCTGTTCCCTCAGCGCTGCAGGTTGCCGGTTTTGGCGTCTCCACAGGACCGGCTGACACACATTATTCAGAAAGTGTGATGCTCATGTTGCAACGCCATATTGTATTGGCTATTCGGGAAATGAGTAAGTTATTTTTGCAACCTAACTTTGATGGTATCGCGGAACTTGTTTCTTGTCGATATATCGAGGAAGGGCCCGCAGCACATCAGTCTAACAGTGCCTCCTCCATCAGATCTCCTATACCTCCACAGAAGTTTCTTTGCACGTGCCGTAACTGACCATCCAAAAGACCCATTGGGAAGTCCCTATGGTACCTCGGTCATTGCTGCTTATCGCAGTGCGGGCTCGCTCGTTGCCCTCATGCGCAACCTTCATACTCAACTAAAGGAGCCGAGCGAGCGTATCTGGTTCCTTTGGGGTCACCTGTTCTCTTGCGCTGTATGCCCTCTTGGACCTCTACAAATGGCGTTAATCCTCACACATCTTTTTATTTATAGATCGTACTAGGGTCTGTGGTGACCAGATGTCCATCCATGAGTTTAGCCCCTTCGGCGTTGGTGCAATTGGATTCTGCTTGTGAGTTATTCTCGAAGGCGGCTAGAGGGTTCCGTGCACAGTCCGTCTTGGTAAGTCCTCGGCATCTATGCCCACTATAGGCATGTGTCGTGAATGCTTACTGACGGTTTCCAACAGGAGGTGATGCTCGGCTTGCGCGAGAAAGCTCATCTATGCCTCAATGAGCATCGGAAGGGTAAAGTTTCGCCGCTTACTCGTCAACCATCGGAGCCATACTCGCCGTATGACGACGAAGATGAACTGGCTACGCTCGGAGGGAAGACACGTTTGGTCGCGAAAAAGGATTCACTATCAGCCTCATCCTCGCCCGCGGCAGTCTTTGATCGCTCTCCCACATCTATGAATCCGGTAGTTCCTCTCCCCCTCATTTCAGGAAACGCGCATCAAGCGGTGCATCCGAACGTTCTGGCTTACCTACAGACTTTCCCCGCCACAGGACAATCGCATAACACAGGCCCGACATATGTAGATTCATCTGCGTATAGCATGACCCCTGTCAAAGAAAACACGCCTCATTATTCGGAAAATTCAGGATACACTGACTCTCAGGCACCGATGCAGTCCATGGAGCTTGTTGCAGGGCAGTTCCCCAGCTATTTCTCTGTGTTCGATTATGGACTCAGTAGCGAGGCCAATTACTCGCAAATGAACGGGCAAATATCGACAGGTACACGCCGAGAGTCTCCAGAAAATACGATGCATAACACTTGGCAAGAGTTTGTGGCACAAAGCGGTCTCGGGATGGGGTCGTAGTGTTCATGGGCGTCAGACGAAGGAGGAAATTTCTCGTCCTGCCTATCGTGACGCTTGGGCGAGTCCACGGGTTGATACCGCCCGCTTCCTGCTTTTTCTGATGAACTATATATATATGATATTACATTGGGGTAAGATGTACATATACTAGGTGTCTCGTCTCATATACTGTTTGTCACGATATAGTTGTCCTTCTTGTTCTATAGCATTTGTACTTTGATATTCTTCTCATTAGCGTTCTTGTATGATATCTCATCATTTCTTGATATCTTATGATCTCTCACTTGGTGTCATGTGGCCGGAGCATTGTTTAGTCTTGTTTGGCAGTCGAGGGACAACTGTGACCAAGTCGTACACACCGCCAAAACTGGGGAAATAACTCTTCATATTTCGATCTCACTTCTCTTTTTGAGTCTCATGGTAATCTGTGGGTCCTCCTCGAAGACAGGTTTTGGTCGTCGACCTGTGAGCCAGTCCTCAATAAATGTGGTTCCAGCTAACGTGGGTGACAGATACAAAGAAAGGTTGTAGTATGTGGGGATGGTGCTTCTGGTATGTCCTTTTTCTACTTCACTCGACTAAACACTACAACTATTCTGATAGGCAAAACTTCGTTATTGAATGTCTTCACGAGAGGCTTCTTCACTCAAGTCTAGTGAGCACTCCATCCTATGTCTTGCTTGGCGACTGACTAGCATCGCAGCGAACCCACCGTCTTCGAGAACTACGTCCATGATATATATGTGGAGGACCAGTTAGTGGAGCTCAGCTTATGGGATACCGCCGGTGAGCAAATGCGAAGATCATGCCTCTGTTTTGTTCTTTGTAACATCTAACATTTGAAGGTCTCATTAGGCCAGGAGGAGTTTGACCGGCTAAGATCGTTAAGCTATGCAGAAACGCATGTCGTCATGATCTGTTTCTCTGTCAGTTGCAAAAGCTCATCATCTATTGGGACAACGAGGCTTATGCTGTCTTCGCAGGTTGACAACCCAACATCATTGGAGAACGTCGAGTCGAAGGTACATGCGCTCCTGCTTCCCATGGTTCCGTCTCAACTGAATTTCTTTGGGCAGTGGATCGATGAAATAATAGAATACTGTCCAGGTGTGAAGGTGTGTGATGATTTTTGTATCTCTCCCGTTGCTAACTAATCCTTGAAATAGCTTGTCCTAGTCGGTCAGTCGTACCTTGACAACCTCACTTTACAATATGATCTGACATACGATAGCCCTTAAATGCGACCTTCGGGACGATCGAACTGTTCGTGATCGACTCGCTCGATATGGGGCTCATACAGTGCAATATGAGGAGGGTCTTGCAGTCGCCCGTCGAATACGAGCATCACGGTATCTTGGTGCCTATCATTCCTTTTTATACCTCGTTGTTCGCGCGAGCTGACTTGATCATCACAGAATGTAGTTCGAAGCACAATAGAGGTGTTTCAGAAGTCTTCTATGAGGCTGCACGCGTGTCCTTGAGCACGCGGGCAAAGGGGTCTGGGTCTGGCTGCGTGATAATGTGATAACAACATCACATCGGATACATATGTTCATACTTCATCTCGGACTAGTCAGAGCTGTGCTCGCATTCATGCTGTATTTTTTTTACATTACTACTCCACTAATAACACGACACTCATTATTTACCAAGCAATGCATGGGATATACGAATCAGTACCCGATGTGTAGTGCAACAGCGAAGCAACATGGGCGATATAGATGATGCATGAATGAAAGATACCACAACAACAAATGGCGTGATCATAACAAGGTGGTGGCACAAAGATTACAACAAAGAAATCGTGAGTTGGTGCTCGAAACATTGCGTCGCCAGCAATCGACGACGTTGTGAAGTCAGTACTATTCATATATTGAGGGGTGGGACTGAAGAAGGGGAACTGAAAAAGTTGGTGCGCTGCACGGACCCATTGCTTCGCGACTTCATGTTAGGATGGTGGTTGTGATAATGATATTGATGGTGGTGGTGGTGGACGGGCCCGTGAGTCTTGCGTTTCAACATCTTCATCTCGCGGCGAGACTCTTTGCGAGTTTTGTGAGGAGGCTGTTGATTATGAGAAGGTTGATTATGTGGCACGTGGGTAGGGGTGCGGTCGCCGTCACGGACGGGAAGAATTACAGGAGATATGACGACCGATCGGTTTTTGCGGGGAGTCGCCTTTGGAGGCGGTCCCTTATCATGCCAGAGCATGGTGCTGAGAGGACTACTTTTCATGACATTACTGTAGGACAGTACGTCAGATGTGACGGTCTTTGGAGGTTCGGATGCCCAGCCAGGAGACGAGGGAATGTCATTAGAGGATACCGCCGACTCGCGAGTTAAACGGAAAGTACCGACAGGAACTCGGTCCCAGCGACTTAAGCTCTGCAAATGACGATGGAGTTCACCTTCACTCGCTGTACCGTTTCCTAGTGACATCTCCGGCTCAGAGTCGAGATAGGACGAGTCTAGCACATCGTCAAGTTCAATCGGCTCTGCGAGTGAGGGCTCGGGGGTAGTGTGTGATGAGGGTTCATCGGACGATGAAGGAGGAGGTAAGGCAGAAGACGGGGTGAAGATGGTGAGTCGGGATGTACGACCGCGAACGTCCATAATCTGAAATGTCAAGTTAGTATGACAACAAATCATATCGTATAAAATGCGTACGCTACTGAAGCTTCCACCGCTGCTAGAATCAATGCGCCTGCGTCTATGAGCGAGGTGAGGGAAAGGAGAGGGAACATCTTTGTTTGACCCAGTGAGAATGGCCATCTTCTGCGTGACATCGCCGGCTTGTTTAAAGTGTCCCATAATGGGAACACCGCATTGAGATATTCTCCGAATGGGACAGGGTGCACTTCCTTCACCGCTGTCTGTCTGGGAGTGGTCCGAGTCATCGCAAAAGACCTTTCTGGCGAGAATGTCGGCAGGTCGAGGGGACTCGCGGTGGTACGACGTGATTGTTCGGCGATTATGAGGTGCGGGCGAAACTGTGGGACTGACGGTAAATGATGGATTGATGGAAGACACACTCGTAGGCCAACGGAAGAGCCTCATGGCACGCGACGTTGGTAGGCCGCTGGCGTCAACGAGTTCCTCTTCCGTAGTCTCACCATCACTGGTACCAATCACGGAGTCAACCTCGTCATCATCATCATCGCCACGGCCGATTCCCATTTCTGACACCATCTCCACATCGCTGTCCTGGCTGATGGATGCAGTATCCGAAGCTAACAGTTGAGCAGCAGTGGCCTCAAAGGCAAGGTCCAAAACGCCTTGGCCATCGCCACAGCCATTGGTAAAGACAATCTGACCGTCCCATCCCTCCGTCATCTCAAGGTCTGTACTACGCTGCAGGCTGCTAATGCTACTTGTCATGGCATCTGCCTGAGCATCTTGAGGATCAGTAGGCTCGTCTCCTGACGAGCTGTCATCGGAGTTGGTATCAGAAAGATTGTCGAAAAAAATGTCAGCGTCGAAACTCGACTCTTCGTCGTCCGACCAACCAGTCGCAAGGCCGGTGTAAATGACGCTAGGGGCCTGACCATCTGTCTCCTCATCTTCCTCCTCATCACACAGTTCTTCGTCCTCATCCTCGTCCTCATCCTCTGTATGATCATCACTGTCGCCATCCATGTCGACATCACTGAGACCGACACTTTTTTTGCGCGGGCGAATAACCCAATTATTATTATGCGCATCCTTGCGCCGATGTGGCTCGTCACCTAAAAGCTCGCGACGAACGCGTGCTTTATCATGACGCCTCTGCTCCGCAAGAATATAGCTCTCCTCTTCTGCCTCCAAAGAGGAATCAGAATCGAAACTCGATGACTCGTTGCCCGAGTCAGAGGAATCGGATGCCGACGACGGGGACAAATCTGAAGCAGCGACGAAAGTCGGAAACTGTCCAGACTCGATATCGTCGTTGTCCAGATCATCAGTACTTTGATTACTATGATCAGAAGCGGACCCGCCACTGATTAAGGACTGCTTCTTCTTCTTGTTCTTCGAACTGGAGATCTTCTTTGGGATTGTGCCTTGGGCCTTAGTGTTTTGGGGAGGCCTCGAGGACTTTAAATTTGTCCTCGGCTGTTGAGCACTCCTGACATTGGAGCGCGGTCCTTTTAATGCACCTGGTTTTTGTGCACGAAGAGATTGCGATGGGAGATGTGATTGTGATTGTGGCAACGTGTTGGCCTCGTTGCCGTGAATTTGCCGGTCTACTGCCGCAGTCTTGGACAGGTTTCGCGCATCGACGATGCCCATTGATGAACGTCCTTTGCGCTTGTGACTTGTTGGATCTTGGGACGTGTGATGACCATGGCCAACGGTGCTTGACGAAGCAAGACGCTGAGCCTGTCCGAGGGTAGACACGGCTCCCGATCCCGTGATGTTGGATGTCGCGGTGGATACACCATCCGCGCGAGATTTTTTGTTTTGCGATGTCAGTAAGCGTGCTCTGTTCTGCATACTTGCTGGGACGGTGAATTTGATTTTTAGCGACGGCATTACGGGAACGTGAGCGGTGGATGATGAAGCAACAACAGGACGCGCAAGTCCATTGCTTGCGATCGGTGCAGGCGGGGGACGCGGTTTGTTGTCGCAGGTGCAATCTCCATCGCACACTGGACATATGTCGCTGTCGTCCTCGTCGTCTTGAGAGAGGGAATTTACGGCGGCGCCTGCGGAATGGATGAGGGAAGGAGACATCGCTGGGGGCGATTGTTTTTGATAATCTGAGGTGATATATGAGTAAATGTACGTATAAATGAAAGACAAGGAGAGGACAATAGGAGATAAAATGATGATCCACTTGGACTGCCCTCGACATGTTCACAGAAGCAAATGGAAAATAATGCAAATACGGAATATTCCTGAGAAGACACGCGCATAAAGCAGGTAGAGATCAGGTCAGCCATGGGTCAGGCTACCATATTACATGTAAAGAGATCAGTACCAAGTATCGACAAGCGATAGCTTTGTCGCGTGACAGAACCTTGGCTCAAAAGAACAAGTCCGAATCCGAAATGAGAAATGAGAAGTACTCACTGGAGACACGATTTCTGTGCATCTTTTGACTGCAAATAACATGGATAAGATATAGACTCCAGATTGGCTGTTCTCTGCAGCTTGTTAGTACTCAATACTGGCAGCGGCAATAGCGACTGTCGCTGGTGACGGTGGTGAAGAAAGAAGAAATATTGCGCTAGATAATTTCGACCTATCAACTTGCCGGTCTCACGGGCGCGTCCGTAACGATTACATAACAACACTCATATTGAAAATGACAACCGTGCCGGACTTTGTCCAGCTGATCATCTTCATTTGACATTCATGCAGCGTGAGTTCAGGGCTGTGGGCTACAACGAAAAGAGACTGAAATTTTCCATGTAACAGGCATATCTCTCGCAGAACAAATCGCTCAGCTTGAGGATGCCGCACCTGTAGGCAAGCACTACGCCATGGCCGTTCATCATTCACTCTGACTGCGCCGTTTGCAGATTTCGACCCAGAAGATGAGGTCACAGCTCATGATCCGGAAGATAATAATCTTGTGGATGACACCAACCGTGCGCGCGATCACTACATCGACGTCGGGTAAGTTTTGCGTTCAATTTTGCTCCGGTCCGTATCTTCAAGTCCTCGTTAGGCCCTCTGGGTTACGCAAATTGCAAGACAGCATAGCTGACCCAAAATATGATGGCATAAAGACATCCCGAAAGCAATTGATGGAACATGAAGACAGCGACTATGACAGTGAGGGGGACGACGATAAGACTGGCAGCGAACTGGGGCGCGACGAAGACGAGGAAGGATTAGACAATAAAGTTCCATCTTCTCAAAGCGAACTGGAGAGCGAACCAGACGCTCCAACGTCGTTTCCGACAACATTTGCGGCCAAAAGCACAACGTCATATGAGGAGCCAAAGCACACCGAGAATCTTTCTTCGAGATTGCGCAAAACGCGTGATGAGGACCGCAAAAAAGGGAAGGCTGTTTCGAAGCAAATTGTGCGGTTAATTGTGCTTTTTATGTTGGTTTTACTGATTGCGTTTTAAGGCATTGTGGGATTCGCTACTTGACGCACGTATCCGTCTGCAGAGGGCTGTTGCTGCAGGAAATCGGCTCCCACCGGTTAGCATGCCGATTAATTTCTCAGTACTTCCTCCTCACCTCCACGCAGCTTGCAGATTACGACGATGTCCAGTCATCATTAGTAAAGATGCTGGCAGAGGCACAGCTTCTGTCCGATGAATTGTTTCACTTGCAGGAGGTACGTTTAATGAATCGCCACTGCCCTGTTCCCCCCTTATCAACGTTTATTCACTTTTCACAGGCCTTACTATCTGCCAATGAGGCGATCGCTCCTCCTCCTCGGAAACGGCGTAAAACTGGTGATGTAAGAACTGTAAAAGATTATACTTTAGAATTTCGGGAAGCCACACAGGCAGCAGCCTCTGTGGAGCATATGTATTTCCGTTCGCTTTTTCGACCCCTTCATACTGGCTAATGAGACACTGCAGTTTTCATCCTCATCTCGTCCAGACTCTGAACAAGTGGTCAACCAAAATTCAGGCGGTTGCCCCCTCTGTTCTACTGCCTTCAAATCGCAATGCATTCTCAAAGTCGTCGCAAGCATTGAAGTCTGCTTCTCAACTTGTTGATGAAACGCTGTTAGATCATGATAAGGTTCTTCAACGGACGAGAATCTATCGGGGTAAAGGATCTCGAATAGGGGTTGACAAAGCTGGCGGAGGTGATGAGCAGGAGGTTCAAGATGATCTAGAGGTGTTTGACGATACTGATTTTTATCATCAACTGCTACGAGACATCATTGATACCCGCGGTAACAGAGGCGGAGGCCACGAGGATTGGATGGAAATTCAAAAGCAAAAAAAGGCCAAGAAGCATGTCGATACTAAGGCCAGCAAAGGTCGCAAGTTACGGTGGGTAAATATATTTGTTTGCTGCTCCAATATGCTCATGTCCCACAGATACGAGGTGCACGAAAAGATTCAAAATTTCATGGTTCCAATCACGACGCCAGGCAGCTGGCACGAGGAACAGATTGATGAATTGTTTGCTTCTTTGCTCGGAAAAGGATTCGAGAACTCTATGCAAGGTGCAGACCATGGGATGGATGAAGATACTTCGATGCGAGAACAAATTGATGCCGCCCTGAAAAGCGGCTTCAGAGTCTTCGGGTAGTTAACCATGTAACTAGTTCCCTACATCTTGTCCTTTCGATTTGCCAGATTTTAAGTTATTACAAGAAGCATACGTATCAGGCCAATATGAGGTACATCCAAATATAGACGCTCACAAGTGACGTTCTCAGTGGACAATCACAGCCAATACGTAGTTGTCGACCATTCATTGAACAACACCACTCCTCTGCTGCTTACAACATTTTCTTGCACAAATAGTCCACCTCAGAGACTTTCTTGGGTCAGCTTGTGGTCTACTACGAATTGGACTTGCAAAACCGTACCTCACAGAGCGACTTACAAAGCTCTTCAACTGACCCGACGATACACATAGTTGGAACATTGACATGGACAATTTCGAGGACGAGAACCCGTTCGAGACCGATGTTGATCGTGTACCTTCTGAAACATCATCCACATCGAAGGTGAACATATCTGAGCCTTCTTCTCCCCGCAATCCCGCTCGAACGCTCTCATCGACAAGCCCCACACTAAGTCGTCCATTTCCTTCCTCTGGAACCAACAGGCACCCGCAGTCAACATACAAGAGTGACTTTTGTTGTGGACGAGATCAGTGGTTACACTCTGGGGAGGACCTCGAGATTCTTGTGCGTCGCTCTTTCAGTCGTCTAGATGAACTTGCTAATAAGGAGCTCACACGATAAGATAACGGATGCGCAGAAGACGTCTTTGAACTCGAACACGCCCTATATTACCTACATTATTCGTGCAGGTGTAAGTGCAACCCACTTCTCAATTGGATGCACCGCTCCTAACCTTACGAGATAGAATGCTGAAGCGAGACATCGGTACTCGGAATTCGAGTCCCTGAGGTCAAGCCTCGTAAAGTTATATCCGACTATCATTATTCCACCGATTCCATCAAAGCAAACTATTGGTGACTATGCCACGAAGCAAGCAAAGGCCAAGGAGGATACTGCGATGATCGCACGCCGAAAGCGAATGTTGCAGACTTTCTTGAACCGCATCGCTCGGCACCCTATTTTGTCGAACGAACATGTATTCCATCGTTTTCTTGACGGCGAGGTATCTTGGGTCTGTAGAGTTTATTTTAACCTCTTGGCATCTGATTGACTTTTGCTGAATAGACGGAAGTGCTACATTCACCTCCTTTGTCCCTCCTTCCGAAGAATACTCTCAAAGCACCCTCACATAACCCGACAGATCAGAGCGCCGCTTCTGCATACGCTGCCCTTCCAAGTCCATCAGCAACACACCCATTGAGACACCCTGATCAGCGGTCCGTAGACTCTGAGATATTCACCAATAAATTCGCAAACCATCTCAGTGGACCAATGGAGAAGGTCACTCGGAGGACCTTGAAGCGATGGTCAGGTGCGACCGACATTATACATTGGACAACTGAAGTACTAATGACCCTTTGTAATGTTAGAGAATGCTCAGGACTATTCAGAACTTGGCGCTGCTCTCAACGGATACAGCTTGAACGAAAGTGGAGCACTGGCCGCTGCCATGGAGAAGACGGGACAAGCCGTTGACACGACGTACATGTCAACAACTAGACTTGTACGTCTGCCCTTTTCTGTTCAAAGTCACCCATTTCACCCCCTCGTAGCTCCAGGAACTTGAACAGAACTTTTCCGAGCCTCTCCACGAGTACGCGCAATTCGCAGTGATTATCAAGAAGCTGTTATCCTATCGTCACCAAAAACATGTTCAATATGAGATGACCCAGGATGCGTTGGAAAACAAGCGCGAGCTGCTGGAAGAATACGAAAAGAGCGAACGAGAGGCAAAGAGGTTGGACGAAGCGTTGTCCAAAGGCCGTGTTAACGGCCTGCGGTCGCCAGGCAGCCCTGCTGAGGGCTCAGAAGGTCAAAGTCAACCACAGAACCAGCCTCAAGATGAGGCTGAGGAGCCGGGTTCAGCATACCTGCCTCCGCACCCAGGACCCAATCCATACAAACGGCGAGCACCTGGTATGGGCTTTTTGAATGCTTTAAGCTACACGCTCCATGGGATGATGGACGTCGATCCTGAAACGGCACGTCGTAGCAGCATCAGCAAGACGCGGGAGACCATCTCACAGGTATATCTTTGCTATTTCCCCTGTTGCTCACCATTAAATTGACTACATCTTACCATAGCTGGAAGATGCGCTGCACCTCTCAGCACAGGATCTCAAGTACTCAAGTTCCACGATCCAGGCTGATCTAGACCGCTTCCAACGTCAGAAAGTTGCCGATTTAAGGGAGATGACCATCAGCATGGCAAGAATCCACAGGGACTGGTGCAAAAAGGTAGGTTTCATCTTAACTATTCCAGAAATTGTCTTATGGTCGCAGAACCTTGAGGCTTGGCAAGCGGCGAAGAAGGAAGTTGAAAAAATTCCAGACCATCCGAATAAGAGACCTCCTTCTCCAGAACAACGCACTGTACCTGGCCCATCGGGCTTACGGAGGGATTCGACTGCCACAGTCAATGGGCGGTGATAATGAGATATATGTACACGATATTATTATCAGGTGTTCTCAGTCTTTTCTTTGGAACATCTTGGGGACGTTTTCCTCGCGCTTGGACCGAGAATTTTTTTCGGTCGTATTTCAATAATTTTTTCCGTCTACATACACCATCGAATACACTTTCTCGAATCATATTAAATGCTCTGGAATATATTTTACCCCTGAATTTTCATGCAGTAGCTCCGCGAGTCTTCGCGAAAGAATTTCATTCGGTCGCTGGGATGAGCGCTTACCACCTTCATGCTTCCTGGCACATTTCATGAACGCTGCTCGGCCCAGGGGTGAAAGTGATTTATACAAGTCAGTAACAATCACTTAAAACGTTCAAGGCGACGACAAGATCTTGATATTATTAATATACTGCAGTCCAACGATGAAAAATCGTACAGTAAGAGAATGCGGAAGGAGAACATAATGTTTGAAGATACTAGGTTAACGAAAGTAAGAATGCAAGGAGAGTAACTGACACGGTCAGGTAATAATAATTAACAATTAGAAAGGGAATCGATATGAAATAGGTATACGTGGTCGAAGGTCACGGAAAGCCCTTGTAGGCAATATCGCATACATATATCTAAAGTGTCTCATTGAACGGTCGTCAAAACATGTGCTGTACATTGACACGTGGGATTCATTCAAGCCGTTAACGCAATGACGGGTGGTGTATTTGGTGCTGACTGCGAAGCCGAAGATGAATTAGAAGCTCCAATACAATCTTCGGTTGGTTTACGCCGAATGCGTTTGTGCTGCCCTCGACGAGATTCCGTGGGATACTCGCATTTCATCCGACGTCGTGCACATTGACTGAAGAAGTAGTCAGAAAGAGGAAATTAGAGCCCAACATGACAGCGCTTACTTGCAGGTCTGGTCTGGGCTATGGGCAGGGGGTCGACCACAAGCTATTTTTCTTTCTCTGCAGAATAAGCAAGCAAGGGCTTGCTTCTTCTGCTCACCAGTCTTCCTCGAGGCACTAACTTTCATAACAGGCTCCACCGGCGCTGACCACGTTGCAGGGACGCTTGAAATGGTCTGAGAATGGCGGGTGATCTCCTCGGAGCGATGGGGCCTCTTGTTGGCCTGATGAGCCGCCGGCCGCCCTTCTTCACGTAATAGTAGTGAATCTGGTGAAAGCGACTGTCTAAAAGGGCGAGCGGGGGACCGCAGGAGGCCTTGTGACTCGCTACTGTGCGATGAACCCTGAGGAAGGCGACGTTCACGCACGACTCTATTTTGAGAAGGAACGATCATGTGAGGCTGAGGAAGGTATCTCGAATCTTGGACGGATGCACGGGCGTCAAGTTGCTAAAATTTCGATCGTCAGATCTTCAATTGTGAGTGGCGAGTGACAAGCGCTGGTACCTGATCAACAAAGACCTCCTCATTCATGGCTTCTGATGAGCGTTTTCTGGCAGGAGTAGGATTGCTGTTTTGCATAGGGCTCTGATGAGGGGTCGCAGGTCCACTCAAGGTGGAGGACGTATTGCTACTGCGTGAAGCAGATCCCCCAAACAACGACGACGCGCTTGCGAGAAAGTCATCACTGAGACGCGCGATTGTTGCCCGGTACTCTGACGACTGGGCAGCTGGGACATGGGTAGAGTTATTTCTGACGTCTTGTGCCCAACTCGGGGGATACGACGGTCTTCTGTCGGAAGCATATGTTGGGATACTGGGATACGCTGCTGTATCATGGAAATCAGTTGACGTCTGGGTTAAATCCGGGTGAGTTGATCGTTCGATAACAAGCAACGGTTTCACTGTACTCACTGAACATGACGAATCTGACGATACAGAATGGACAGAGGAAGACATGAAGTTGTCAAAAGTTTGGGGGTGATATTCATGAACAGGTGTCTGAATTAATTGTTGTTCGCCTTGGAGGTCTGTCATCGCGAGCATCATGTTGTCGGGAATGTAATACGAATAAGGTTGATAGGGAGTATAATCGTGATGCGTAGAAATCGGGAGGCTAGCATCATAGTACTGGTCACCATCGTGATAGCAGTGCTCCATCGTAGAATAGCGGTCGAAAGTGTCGTGGACGTGTGGGGGCATAAGAGTTCACAGTTGGACAGAGAAGGAAAGTACAAAACGGAAGCAAATTTCCAACAATTGATGCCGCGGAAGAACTTTAGGCTAAATCAGTACCTGAGTGCAATCCGAATGGGGGGGAAACTTTATGGGTGAGGAAGTCAATCCGGAATCGCTTGCAACTTGGTAGATATATACCAATCCACTGGTCCACGATCATTATCTGCATGTAATTGCGGCCCACCCTAGGGCATTCTATACAGTAAATCCATAAGGCAAATAGCACTACGCTTCGCGCTCGTATCAGGTAAGGAACGCGCAGAACTGGCGCAGATGCAATCGATAGTAATGCATAACGAATCGACGGTAAAAATGAATAATTCACTTCCACCATCAGGCCATATCGGCATGGTGAAATTGTGTTTAGGGGCTTGTTTTCTACTCACCAAGCCAGTCGTCTCCTTCTCGCGGAGGGTCCGCTGGGCGTACTTGATTGGCTGCCACAGGGGAAGAATGAAGAGTCACTAAAAGCGTCCGTTGTAATGACCTCGCGCTAATAGTTGGGTTTGAATCTAGACAAGGGCTATGAGGGAGAAAATGACCATACACGCCTAAGGGTGCTGAAACTCATTCAGCGTCTGCGTTATAGCATAACACGATGTAAAATGTCTCTCCACGCGCTAGCGAGGTATTTCCATTCGAGGAATGCGACTCCTCGCTGGAGACCGCTATGTCGGGTTGTACCGTTGTACAAGGGGACGACCGCACTTCATCTACAAGACTGTCCACACAACGAGGAAAGCGATGCATCACCCCTAGACCTTGAGAAGACCATGATGCGTGACCTCACGGGTTCCATCAAGGCTCTGCGGATCAAGTGGTGCAGAAAGGATCCGGACACACAGCATTATCACTGAGGCCATTGGCAGCTCACCGCAAGGGCGAGTATTGCATTATTAGGGTGATTGCCGGCAGGCATGCGGCTCCACAAGATTGCAAGGAATTCGACTTGCATGAAGGCTAAGGTCCCCAAAACTGATAATAGTCGTCTTCATCCATCCGTCAAGAATGGAAGCTGAAAAATTGCCGCGTGGACCGGAATTTCTTTAAGCCCTTAAAGGGGCACAGAGGCTAGCTCGTCTGCTTGCTTTCCCCCCTCGCGTGATGTGCAAGTTAGACCCGAAATTCCTCGCACGGGTTGTGCAACACGACGACGTCATTGCTATGGTACCTATTAATGGGCGTTAGAAAACAAGCATACTTAGGCTTTGTTTAAACAATTAATATGTCAGCGTTGTGATGTACCCACCAAAGTCAGAGATGTGCACAGTAACCCATCCTTCGTTACAGCATGTATGTGACATGCATTCTGGACGTAGGGGATAAAAAAAGTCTTCGAAGTGAAAATGAAAGAAGATCAAAGAAGCATACTTAGTAACAAAGGCGGTCTGCTTTGCTTCCAGACAGGCCGGCAACGCCAGACAAATGGCAGGACGCTGGAAACTACGCCATGTACACAAGTAAAGCAGCACGTAGACCTTGTGCGACGAAACAGAATGATGTGAAATCTGGATGAGATTTGCGCAGTTGTGTTGGACGCTGACCAGCCGTTGCGCCATAGATTGATCTGAGCCGATTACTATGCGCCATTACGGTGATGAAGAAGAGTGTTTCTTCGCATCGGAGGGGCATGGCACAAAATTTTGAGTGTCACATTCTATCAGAAACGCAGACTTGCCCAGGCACTGAAGGCACTCCCGCTAGTGATGGAAGGTGGAGGATTGAGGAACGAACGTTATCTCCTTCGCTCCAGAGAATGTTCGCAGAATTAATATCTCGGGCTTGCCTGCACGCAGCGCTTCAGCAGTAAGTTCAATGAACTCGGCCGGATAAGCTTCTTCTTCCATGCAACTTCTATGACTCAATAAGTCTAACCCGATAAAAGCACTAGTGAGGTGGCTGTGCAGTTGGCATTGTCACGGTGTTCATCCCCACACTCAGTTAAGTAAATTCAGGTTCGAAACTTGAACTCTCCTGCTACTAAGTAGCTTCATGGCATCATGGATACCTACTGTTGCTGCAGTCGGAATGGCCATTGGTCCCCCATTGGTTTATGTCGATCAAGCTGTGTCTATTGTTCGCAAAAAGTGCGGTTTTTTATGTTCCTGTCAACGCACGGTTTGCTAACTCTTCACCCAGGGACTCAACAGGATTCTCTCGTGACGTCTGCGCCATTCTGTGAGCTCTCTGACATCACTCTGCCACACGCTGCAACACTGACATGATTCCGCACCCTGCAACACCTTCCTTATTTCACCGAAGACTAATTGCAAACATAACTCGATGTTTTTTCTGGTTGGGTGATCATTTTGAGCTTGCCCTGCTCATGCAGTCCATTTTAATGATAATAGCGCAGGTATGTTGTATGTTGTGGCCTCGCTGCATGTGACGAACTGACTATCACATCAGCTGGCCTTGCTCTACATTTGCGTTCGATACCGCCCACGTGTGAGCCCTGAAAACTTCGGAGCGTCGTCCCGTCCCCTTTCGTTTTGGCAGTGGCATACATATGCACAATATATTGAGTTTCTTGCTGGGTTCATGTGAGCCTTAGTCGTAATTTCTGCTCCTTCTCATTCATCGAGCCATTCAGTTTATGTTCAGCGATATTGTTCTTGATCTTTAGTCGATCGGAGCTATACGTTACGATACTAGGGTTTGTTGCCTTGGGACTGGAGAGCACACTGCCTATTCCGCAGTTGATCAGGTAATCGACACCAGATGTCCACACGTTTGACTGACATTCCCTTGTGCAGTAATTACAAACAGCGATCACTGTATGGCTTCCGTGCTTCAACTCTCCTTGGATGGGTGGGGGGTGACTCGTTCAAGTAAGTTCTCCCGATACATTGCCCTGCTCCAGTCCTTAACGTCGGGTCAGGACTGTGTATTTTTTCCTTCAGGGATCACCCCTGCAGTTCAAGGTATGTGCAGTGTTCCAATTATCAGTAGACTGTGGTATGCGTCTCTGCATTTCACAAGTTACAACACGTCGCTAAGCGCTTTCCAAAGTCATCATCCTACAACGTCTTTACTATGGTAATGCGGCTCCACCGGCAACACTCGAAGAGGGAGATGATCTTGAGCAGGAAGCTTTGGCACTGTCAGAAGAATAGAGTAGAGCGCGTTAGTGGAATATGTTTTTATGTACTTACATGCCTTCCGAAATGTGTCATATTTGTTGGTTTTCCCGCAGTTTGGCCGTTTGCAAACGAGAGACAAATAGAGGTAAACTTTTATTACCTTACTTCGCCGCGTAACCCAACACCCACGTCTCTTTCAACTGCCAGCGCCGCGTTCGGCTTTGACTTCTGCGCTATGGCTGATATTTCGAAGCCCATCACATTTTGCGAACATCTTCAACTCTCAAGTTTGGCCATACAGCCAAGTTCAATTGGATTTCAGGTACGCGCAGCCCATTTGGCATCGTTGTTAGTAGAAGAAGACTCAACTATTCATGTGCGCTGGGCTTTATTATAATTTTGCAGGTGAGTGTCGTATGCGCAGCTGTGCTCTAAACGAGATAACTGACCGCGTGGCCTCGCGTTTCATAGACCTTGACCCTGGAGTCCGACCACTTCATTTGCGTACGAGAGAAGATTAATGAACAAAATCAAGTCGTCATCATCGACCTTGCGGACGCCAATAATGTCTTACGACGACCGATAAGTGCAGACTCTGCCATAATGCACCCTCGCAACAAGATTCTCGCCTTGAAGGGTACGGTTATGTGTGCATTACAATAGAAGGAATTGCTCAAAGCTCTTACTCTAGCTGCCCGAACGCTTCAAATTTTCAACATTGAGACGAAGCAAAAAGTCAAGTCACACGTCAATGCAGAAGATGTCGTGTTTTGGAAGTGGATCTCGGATACCACCATTGGTATGGTCACCGACACGGCTGTGTACCATTGGAGCATCTCGGACCAGACGTCTCCGCCTCAGAAGGTATTCGATCGGCATGCGACATTGACTGGTGCCCAAATCATCAACTACCGTGTGACTCCGGACGAGAAATGGCTGGTTCTCATCGGCATTACTGGCAACACGACAAATCCCTCGGCTTTCAAGGTCAAGGGCGCAATGCAGCTGTATAGTCGTGAACGAGGCGTCAGTCAACCTATTGAGGGGCATGCGGCTACTTTTGCAGAGCTGAAACTTGACGGACACCAACACGTTACCAAATTGTTTGCGTTTGCAGTCAGGACAGCGACAGGCGCCAAGGTTTGTTTTCTTTCAACTGTGAAGCGTACAGAACACTCAAAATTTTGGTAGCTTCATGTCGTTGAAATTGACCACACAGCTCCTGATCCTCCCTTTGTGAAGAAGGCGGTAGATGTCTACTTCCCTCCAGAGGCTACCAACGATTTCCCGGTGGCAATGCAAGTGTCGAAGAAACATGGGATCATTTTCCTGGTCACGAAATACGGTTTCATTCACTTGTATGACCTGGATAGCGGTGCATGTGTGTACATGAACCGTATCTCTGGTGACACGATTTTCGTCACTGCCGAGCACGAACTGTCGAACGGTATCATTGGCGTCAACAAGAAGGGTCAGGTTCTTTCGGTTAGCGTTGACGAGCAGACCATTATTCCGTACATTTTGACCACCCTCAATAACACGGAGCTTGCTTTCAAGCTTGCCAGTCGTGCAAATCTCCCTGGTGCTGATGACCTTTACATCAAGCAATACCAGCAACTGTTCTCTAGTGGACAGTACAGCGAAGCCGCAAAAGTTGCTGCGAACTCTCCAAGGGTAGGTTTCAAATTGTCGATCATTCTCTTTTTAATATATGTTGCCACGCAGGGTATACTCCGAACTGCACAAGTTATCGAGTCCTTCAAACAAGCTCCGGCGCCTCCTGGTGGCTTGTCGCCGATTTTGCAGTACTTCGGTATTTTACTGGAGAAGGGCGAGCTGAACCACTTCGAGTCCCTCGAACTCGCGCGCCCAGTGTTGCAACAGGGAAGGAAACAACTGCTCGAAAAGTGGCTCAAGGAGAACAAGGTGAGGTTATTCTTCCTTGTGTTTTGCTCTTGCTCAAGTTTCCTTTGAAGCTCACATGCAGCGAGGAATTGGGGGACATTGTGCGGTTACATGACATGACACTGGCGCTGAGCGTCTACCTACGAGCGAACGTTCCCAATAAGGTCATCGCTTGCTTCGCGGAGACTGGACAAACTGAGAAGATCGTTCTCTACTCGAAGAAAGTTGGTTACACCCCGGATTATATTTCTCTTCTACAGCATATAATGAGGACAAGTCCAGAGAAGGGGGCTGAGTTCGCAAGTCAGTTAGTTAATGACGAGAACGGGCCGCTCGTGGACATGGAAAGGGTAAGGCTACTTCCTATCTATGTGATCGTCGGCTCCATATTTGTCATTCTCCTAGGTGGTCGACATTTTCATGTCACAGAATATGATTCAGCCTGCAACCTCGTTCCTTCTCGATGCATTGAAGGACAACAAACCTGAGCAAGGCCATCTCCAGACCCGCTTGCTCGAGATGAATCTCGTTCATGCTCCTCAAGTTGCCGATGCCATCCTCGGCAATGAGATGTTCACCAACTACGATAGACCCCGAATTGCCAATCTTTGCGAGAAGGCAGGCCTACTCCAACGAGTAAGTAAAGTTTGACTGAGCGCTGATCATGTCTCATTTATCTGTGGGAAGGCATTGGAGCACTATGAAGACCTAGCGGACATCAAACGCGCTATTGTTCATACCAGCGGTCTACAGCCGGAGGTGAGTTCTCGATTTATTGCTCTCAACAGGAGGTGGAGCCTAATATTTCCGAAGTGGCTAGTGAACTACTTCAGTCGTCTAACAACAGAGCAGTCCATGGCATGCATGCACGAGATGCTGCGCGTTAACATCCGACAGAACTTGCAGGTTGTAATCCAGATCGCGACCAAGTATTCTGACATCTTGGGTCCTGTAAAGCTCATCGAGATGTTTGAATCTTTCAAGACATTTGAAGGTGATTCCCGTCGCATGTGACTAGAATGCATAGCCAATGGGCGCTAACTATAATGCAGGCCTCTACTACTACCTTGGCTCCATCGTTAACCTTAGTGAGGATCCCGAGGTGCACTTCAAGTACATCCAGGCCGCTACTCGCACTGGTCAAATTCGTGAGGTGGAGCGAATCTGCAGAGAGAGCAACTACTACAACCCTGAGAAGGTCAAGAACTTCCTGAAGGAGGCAAAGCTCCCGGATCAACTTCCCCTTATCATTGTCTGTGACCGCTTCGATTTCGTGCACGACCTGGTTCTATACCTATACCAGAACGGACTCACGAAGTTCATTGAGGTGTATGTGCAGCGTGTTAACTCTGTCCGAACGCCTCAGGTTGTTGGGGGCTTGCTCGATGTGGATTGCGACGAGACAACCATTAAGGGTTTACTTGCCTCCGTCACTGGGAATTTCCCCATTGATGAGCTTGTGAATGAGGTTGAGCAACGCAACCGTTTGAAGCTCATTCTACCTTGGCTGGAGGCTCGGGTGCAGTCTGGCAGCCAGGACCCAGCGGTCTTCAATGCCATGGCCAAGATTCTCATCGACAGTAACAACAACCCAGAAACGTTCTTGAAGGAAAACAACGTGAGTCATGCTATCTCAAGAATGAGTTGAACTGGTGTGCTCACTTACTGGTTCCATAGTTGTATGAGCCACTGGTTGTCGGAAAGTTCTGCGAAGCCAGGGATCCTTACCTTGCCTATATCGCTTATGCAAAGGGCTTCTGTGATGACGAGCTTATTGGTATTACCAACGACAACTCGATGTTCAAGCAGCAAGCTCGGTACCTCGTGAAACGTCGCCAGCCTGAGCTTTGGGCGCAAGTTCTTGTCCATGACAATATTCACCGCAGGGCTCTCATTGATCAGGTGAGAATGAATTGAATGAATTTGAGCAGGTATTCTTAGATGCTCACCTGCCATTGAATAGATCGTTGCGACTGCACTCCCAGAGTGCACGGACCCTGATGATGTCTCAGTAACCGTCAAGGCATTCCTCTCGGCTGATCTCCCAATCGAGTTGATCGAGCTTCTCGAGAAAGTAGTCATCGAGCCCTCTCCGTTCAGCGACAACCGCAATCTCCAGAACCTCCTTCTCCTGACCTCAATCCGCGCAGACAAGGGTAAGGTCGTTGGCTACATCAACAAGCTCCAGAACTATGATGCCGGAGAGATTGCAAAGATTGCGACCGATCATGGATTGTATGAGGAGGCCCTGACAATCTACAAGAAATATGATCAGCATGCAATGGCTATCAATGTTCTCGTCGAGCATATCGCTTCCATTGACCGCGGTTTAGACTATGCGAACAAGGCCAACAAGCCAGAAGTGTGGAGCAGGCTTGCAAAGGCTCAGCTCGATGGTCTTCGCATTAAGGACGCCATTGGTGAGTTGTTTGCAATGTCTCGTGTGTGTATCGTCGTTTATGTTTTTCTTCAGACTCGTATATCAAGGCTGAGGACCCCTCCAACTTCGCTGAGGTCATTGAAATTTCGAGTCATGCTGGAAAACATGATGATCTTGTTCGCTTCCTCCAAATGGCTCGCAAGACGCTTCGCGAACCTAAGATCGACACAGAACTCGCATATGCATATGCCAAGACTGACCGTCTCCATGACATGGAAGATTTCCTGGCCATGACCAATGTTGCTGATATCTTGGAAGTCGGAGAGAAGTGCTTCGAGGACGAATTGTACCAGGCTGCCAAATTATTGTTCACCAGTATCTCCAACTGGGCACGTCTTGCCACGACTCTTATTTACCTCGGCGAGAATCAAGCGGCTGTGGAAAGTGCCCGGAAGGCCGGAAACACTCAGTACGCTCATTCTTTCGAATAGTCGATCTTGAACTGACTCTACCTAAGGGTCTGGAAGCAAGTCCATGCTGCATGTATTGAGAAAGCTGAGTTCAGACTCGTTAGTGATTCTATATGTAAAGCTCAGTTGGTCGTCTTCTGACTATCATCACAGGCACAAATTTGTGGTTTGAACATCGTCGTTCACGCGGTCAGTCAGCTTTCTAGTAACTATGCCTATACTCACTATCAATCCAGGAAGAAGTGGCTGCTCTGCTCCGGTCTTATGAACGTTGTGGCTACTTCGATGAAGTTCTGTCCTTACTTGAAGCTGCTTTGAGTTTGGAGCGAGCGCACGTAAGTTTTTTCAAGACATCTAGCATTGTCAGCTCTGATTGTTTGCACAGATGGGTATCTTCACCGAGTTGTCGATCCTATACAGCAAGTACAGACCGAGCAAACGTAAGCATATAGTTATCTCCATAATAGCATCTCATCTCCATTTAATTAGTGATGGAACACCTCAAACTTTTCGTCTCGAGAATCAACATCCCCAAGGCAGGTATCACGCACATTATCTCAGCATGTATACTCAGACCCTATCTAGGTTATCAAAGCCACTGAAAAAGCTCATCTCTGGCCCGAGTTGGTTTTCCTATACATCAAATATGACGAGTTTGTACGTGTTCCTTTTACAAACTTCGTCAATAAATGCTTATGGTTGTTCCAGGATAATGCGGCCTTGGCGATGATTGAACGTTCAGCTGATGCTTGGGAACACAACCAGTTCAAAGACGTTGTTGTTCGGGCTGCTAATGTCGAAATGTGGGTTCTCGCAGACCTGACGATGCTCCTGGCTAGAACAATTTTCTAGATATTACAAGGCGCTCACATTCTATCTTCAAGAACAGCCAACACTTTTGACTGATCTTCTCACTGTCCTCATTCCCCGCATTGAACACGCGCGGGTTGTCCGTATGTTCCGTCAGATAGATCATGTTCCCTTGATTCGGGCATATCTTATTGCCGTCCAGCATGTAAGCCGCTTTGTGCTTGTTGTCTTCTTTATGCGAGAGTTAATTACTCGGGTAGCTGAATATTGAGACCGTGAACGATGCATACAACGACCTCCTCATAGAAGAAGAAGACTATAAAACGCTCCGGGATTCTATCGACAGCTTTGATAACTTCGACAATATTGGTCTTGCACGGCGCTTAGAGCAGCATGGTCTGCTGGAATTCAGGAGACTCGCAGCACATCTGTACAAGGTACACAATTGTTTGGGTATACAAGGATGTGACGCTTACTTTGTATTTAAGAAAAACTCTCGCTGGGAAGAGTCGATATCACTCTCAAAGCACGACCAGTTGTATAAGGACGCTATTATTACTGCCGCCACCTCGGCTTCAACGGACGTCGCTGAAGATCTGCTCTCTTACTTCGTTGATATCGGCAACAAGGAGTGCTTCGCTGCTATGCTATACGTTTGCTTCGACCTTCTTCGCCCAGATGTTGTGGAGGAGCTGTCATGGCAACATGGTCTCAATGATTTCTACATGCCATACAAAATCCAAGTATCAAGGACTATGCGCGAGAAGTTAGCTGCATTGGAGAAGGAGGTCAAGGAGCGCACCAAAAAAGAATCCGCCAAGGAGCAGCAAGAAGCTGAAGCCCCGATTATCAACCCTGCCACCCGTCTGCTGATAACCAATGGGTAAGCAAGATCCAGACGAGTTCAGATGCTTGATTTAATGAACGAGTCTCAGATATGTCGGTCAGCCGCCACCAATGCCAATGGCAAATGGTAACGGCATGGTTGGTATGATGCCTGTGAGTTTTTCCGCAGGCGCACTTGGAGTTTCGTATGACTGACCTGATACTACTCAGGCTATGACCGGCTTTGGATTCTGATCGTTTTTTATGTGGACTGTTACCCTCTACCATAGTACATGCTTGAGATTTGCTGTAATGAATTTTCTTCAGTCGTAAAACTGTCTGATCAGCACATGTTGTGCATGTGAATGTTGTTTGTTTATTTATCTGTAAGTATATTTATTTCCAATTGTTTGGCAATTTCTGTGACATCAAAGCCGGTCCCGATCCAGCCAAACTCCTTTTTTTACGACCCAGCCCACGCAGTTCAAGCTTTAACTCTAGTGTGCACCAAAGACTGTAGTTCAATGGTTACAACAAGATCGGCCACTCGTGTGGTCGGCAATGACTCCACAAAAGTAATGGTCTTAAAACCAGGAAGCTTTGCCCCTCAAGCTAGTACTAGTGACGAGGATTCAGAAGACCCTGATATTGCTCCGCGCCACGTCAAAAAAAGATCCAAGAAACGGGCGGGTTACCGCGCCAAAAAGAAGTTGAAGCGCCGTGGACGACTCGACCTAATGCCCACCATGAACTTGGATATTCTATTTCATGTCAGGCTCAAGCCTACGAATTTTTTACGCAACGCTCACTGTGAGCTTATACAGATACTCAGTTTTCTCTCTCCAATGGACCTTTTGAATCTATCCCGAACCAGCAAGGACTTCAGGAATTTATTGCTGCAGCGATCATCCGCTTCTGTTTGGAAAACTGCCCGTCTTCAGGTTGATGACCTTCCCGATTGCCCTCAAGATATGAGTGAACCACAGTATGCAAATCTTGCTTTTTATCCTCATTGCCATGTGCGACGAGCTTTACCGAAAGTGCCGCAATCCTTGCTCACCGCTATGTATTACAGGATTGTGACAGAGTTGTCCGATCCGTTTTATGGCCACTTCGAGCACGATACTGCCCCAGATGCATCGGTGAAAAGTTGGTCATCTTGGTTCAGGCTTGTCAACTCTTTTGTTTACGCTGTGCATAGCACTCTTGATCAGTGGAGTACAGCAAGCCGCTTCCCATGGACGGTAAATTTCAATTCATATGACTTACCGCATGCCATTATATACGGAACGGGTGGGCCTACCTTGATTTGCATCATTGTCACATTCGTCTTCTTACGATGTTGCAGGCCGACCCAAGCAGCTGTTCCTCAAGAAGGCACTCGATGAACTACGTGCCGAGCTCTCGAAGACGCCGGCAGACGAGATGGTAGCTTTGTTGCGTGAGAAGCGAACGCATGCTGCTGAGGTCATGAAAGTAGGTCGTCGAACTAGTTTTACTTGGGTCCTACAATTACATCTTCATTCCAGCATGCAGAGCGCTGTCAGCAGTGGTTAGAGTGTGTCGCAAGTTCTCGTAAACTTGAACTTGACGCCATTAGGCGTGCTCGCCAGGACGAGTACGTCAGCTACACCTTTCTTGTATGCTCCAGCCTTGACTGATGCGCAAACATAGTATCGTGACTCGTCTCACTGAAGCAGGCTACAGGCCTGAGTTGGACTATGTCAATAAATTTTGGTTGGAAGACCATCTGGGGACATCGTTCAAGGAACCTAAACCTCTTAATCAAAAATGTGAGTATGTCGTCAAATTGTTAGAACTAGGTATACAGCTTCTTGCTACTAGCGTGGGATCGTATGCGCCCAGATTTGATTACAGCGCTTGATAATGTCAGGCTGCGCCGCATAGAAGATAAGGTCTACGGTCCTCGGCGCCAGATCCTGATGGATGAATACAAGAAGTACCTACAGGACCCCCCTCCCGCGGATGCAACATTTGACCTGATGCCACATGCCGTCAATGTTGCAGAATTCGACCCCTTCAGAGTTCTCATCATGTCACCTGAATCAGCCACAATTACCGCGACTTCATTCGTCTCTGCTTTTCAGCAGCTCCCGGACTTCGTATCCTCCTGGAGAGCCAAAATCGATCGCGAATTTCTAGATCTGATCCGCAGTCCAGAAAGCCAGGGTGATAGTAGGAAACAGGAGGATGCGGATTGCCTGCAGTTGGCAACTGCTACATTTATTGTGGAATCTGGCAGTGATCGTCGTCTCCTGATGTATCCTGAAGTGCTCTCGTGGCCTGGATTTTTCGCCCCGGCACCTGTCACGCTGTTCGACGAGGTGTACCTTCTACAAGTCAAACAATTCGAGTGCAGGATGTGGTCCGCCGTTAGACATCTTCCTCGGATTAGTATTTTTGAGGGAACTGCAGCTGTCATTCAGGCTGCCAGTCTTGACCCCAAGACCACGCGTCGAGAGCACATGGATGAACTGGATGCTCGCTTTGCATGCGGAAAGTGTTCCACGCCGGGCAGCAAGGTGGTTATGACATGGGACATGGCGGTAAACGAAATTCACGCGAATTTTTGCGACCATGCTCATCGATTTGTCGTTACAGGTGATGCACAGCTATCGCTTGCACAGAGATCTGCAACCTGAAGAGATCAAGTGGACAATGATAGAGGGGGAGGAGTTAGGAAATGTCAAGGATTATGAGAAAGAAGCCAAACCTTCTGTGAAGGCAGATGCTATCGTGTATTGCGCCTTGTGCCAGCATCATGTGCGTGATGCTCGGTCACTTACTTTCATTCAGAACCATCTGGCTGAGATGTGGGTATTTTCTTCATTGGAAGTATATTCATGCTAAGACTGTCAGCAGTCATGGGATTCCCTCGAATGAGGCCGAACAAGGCACACACTACATTCCTGACCGCAATTCAACATCCGTGATTTCTATGGTTGTGGACAGCGACGGCAAGGTATCAAATCATGCCGACCATCGCTTAGTTCCGTCATACTCCAGTGGTATAGAACTCCTTTACTGGAAGAGTCACCTGGTGTAGTATATTCCTATTCGTCTCATATTCTACATGCATTTCTGAATATTTATTGTACAATATTATTACTGTGGGCATGGAGACAGACACCCCACAGATCTCCTCTAACCCTTCTTTGAGTTCTTCGAGGTAGCTGTCACACGTTTTGAGATCCATGTAAGAACTGTTGAAATCAATAAATTAGTTTCAAGTATCAAGGCAATGATCAGTACATACTACTGCAACATCTTCGGAAGTCAAATGACGGCGGCGACCAATCCTACGACGGTCTGTCATTGTCGTTACCTTGCCTGTAGCTCTGAACAATGCTAGGATCCGAAGTATCTAGCGTCGGCTGACATCAGTGCACATAGATATGGCATCCATGTCAACGAGGCGAGCCGTTCATACAATAGTCCAGCGTAGATCCTCGCTGATGGGCTCGCCTTTGGCTATGAGAGTGATTACAAACGAGAGGCAAGCTCACACGATGAAAATCGCACTAAAAGCTCTCGTTTTTTTTTGCTGTGCCCTCGGGAGACAATAGATAATGAACAGTTGAATGGCTGTTGGTGGAGAGGATTGGTTGTTCTTGCCGGAAATTTGTGCGAGGCACCATGAAAGCAACTTGATACCGAAGTAACGGCCAAATTGCCCAAATTCTGTTGGCGTGCCCTAGGCACAATAAAATAGATCGTCAAAGAATCATAGCATTTGGAGCGGTGGTTGTTGAGAAACAATTGTTTGATTCTACATATTCGAAAAGGCTGAAAAAGTGGCGTTTCAGCGGCTGTGCCAACTGGTTTGAAAACGGGATCTGAACACACTATACTTTGTCGCTACTTTCTTGTGAAGGCTTGCAACAACCGGAGTCACCACAGCAGCGCTGGGGAGCTGTATTGGGCTGCTGCATCATGATGACTCCGGGCATGACTTGTTTATCTGCCTTCTGTTCCCCCTGTCCACAACAACAGCTGCCATTGAATTTATCATTGCTTGCCCACCTAATCATCTTAAAGCCCTCCCAACCAAAAAGCATAGCAATCATGATGGCAGTCGCGGAGTCGACCCACCACCCACCGCGCCAGACACGGTATACGAGGGAGCCAATCAGCAGCGCAGTGCTAAACTGGATGCACGACAAGGTACAAAGTGCCTCGCCATTCATCGTGCTGGAGTTCAGCGCCTTTGCAAGGTAGCGCTTCGGTACCCAGAACAAGAACATGATGAAGGCAGCACTCGCAGCGATGATGAGTGATGCGTTGGATGGACTGGGGTGGTCATGGGCGATGAGGGAGGCGATGGATGTACCTACGGCTGCTAGGGCAAGCATCGCGAGGAGAATCCCTATGGCCAAGGTTGCTATTCTCTCTATCCTGTTGTGTATCAGCAAGCGAAGATGGTAGAGGGGAAAACATGCAAACCTCAGGTCTTTGCTCATTCTGACTTCAGATCCATTGTCATCTTCTTCACCAGCTTTGAGTCCGTTCATAAATCTCCAAACCACGAGTGAGGACGAGAGCACTTCGATTACCGATTGAATGCCAAAGAAGATGAGAGAGTGCGAGGACGATTCTGCACCAAAGAACACGGAGATGATGCCTTCTGCGATATTGTAGAATAGGCTGGCGATGCTGATAGCGATGGCGCTTTTCTGCAGGAAGGGGCGTGAAACCATGGTGGTGTGGAAATCAATGTATGATCGATCAGTTTGGTTGTTTTTATGATAACGATGGACTTGGAGTAAATATCGCTCTGGCGGCAAATATCGCTCCGGCAGCAAATATCGCTCTGGTGGCAAATAATATGCCTCATGCGGCAGCCGCCAAACTCGCGCTAGCTAAGAACGTGTCGTGTGCAGTCGGGCAGACCGCAGACCTCTTCCCGGACAGAGTGGAACGCTATGAGAATTCTCGCTAACACAGTAGGCAGTGCTAATATTTGCCTTCGCGCCTGAGACCTGATGTGTGGTCTATCTTGTATACTTTATGTCTGTCGCCGCCGAACTTATTGCCGAGCTAGAGGAGCCAGCACACAAATAATCAATAGAATGGGTACTTAACTTCAGGCTGACATTCAAAAATGTTTTGTTATTGAGACCCCTTTAAAGAATCGTATTTTTGAAGCTGTAGTTGTCGAGCGCGTTCCACAATTCACTGTATTGGCCCGGGAGGTCTCGCCTTCGCAGGATAGATTGAATGCAGAACAGGTGATGGTTCGGGTTGTGGTGCAGACTCCGACAAGAAGGTCTCTACTGGTGAGGGCCAACATGGAGAATTAATTGGAGAACATTCAGCAGTAATACCATCATGATCATATGGATGATATGTTTGGCTTCCTCTGGGGCCTGGGCCTAATTAGTGTCTCAACCAATTTCTGGAATTGATTATGTTTCTCACGAGAGATTGTCTCCCGATGACTGCATCCGAGCTCCTCGAGGAGGTAAGTAGGTGATATAATCCGTGATGACATCCGCATCTCGTATGTCATCCAATTTCGCTTGAATGCCAAGGTGTGCCCATCAGACCACTGTGACGATGTTATTACTATGTTCGACTGAAAGAACGTTGCGTTTTGTGAATCTACTAAGCGAAGTCGGAGCTCCGAGTTGGGATATGCCAAGGATTACGTAATATAAGGATGAAATTCGCCTGCTGCACAAGCTGCAAAGCACATTTTATTCTGAACATCTTACGATTCTTTCATTGTCCCCTCGTTCCCTGGCTCTAACCACTTGCTTACTAGGTTCTAGTACAAACTCCATTTTTAGCCCTCTACTCGGTTTCAGGTGCACATGGGAAGCTCAAAGGAATCTTCAGAGGATCAAGACTTGGCAGAGTTGCGGCGCAATTTAGCCACCGGCAGCCAGAAAGATGCTGGAGATGCTAGCTCCGCCAGTGAGTTACTGTTATGTTTTGTGTTTAATGCTCACTCATTTGCGCGGTGGTGTATAGTTCCTTCTGTAGTATGCTACTGTCTGGCGTCCATCATGATGACAGTCGTGAACAAGGTCATAGACAACGTCCCCTTATTATGTTCAGTTTCTGATAGCGTGATTTAGTTTGTAGTGTCCGGGAGTCAATTTAACATGACTTTTCTGCTGCTATCAATGCAGAGTATAGTCTGTGTTGCGTGCGTGATTACAGCTAAGAAGTCGGGTATAATATCCTTTCGCGATTTCGACATGCAAGATGTCAAGGCATGGTATCCCATCAGCTGTCTGCTGGTCAGTGTAATCTATACCGGCTCCAAAAGTCTGGTGGGTACTGCCGAATAAGACTCTTGATGTTGTACGTCATGCGCTAACAGCCTCACCACAGCAATACCTCAGTATACCCGTTTATACCATTTTCAAGAATCTGACGATTATACTCATTGTGCGGTTATTGTTCTTAGCCGCGAGCATATTGAGGCTAACGAAGAACTAGGCATACGGGGAAGTCCTCTGGTTCGGCGGACGAATTACAGCACTTACAATGGTCGCCTTCATTTTTATGGTAAGTGGCCTCATAATTATTCGGAAAGATAGGGTTCACGGGCTGATTTTATGACAGGTCTTGTCTTCTATATTGGCTGCGTTGACGGATGTCAGTAATGCCATAGACGGGACCGCGAACATTCCACCAGCGAGCGCCGCCATGGGAATTGGTTTAGACATGATGTCAAACATGGTTTCTAGACTGAATGCGGGGTACGTATGGATGTTTGTGAATTGTCTGATGAGCGCTGCCTACGTAAGACTCCCTGCCATGCCCTGGTGATGTCCCTGAGCTGAATGTTGGCCGCATTGCCTAGGTTCTTCTGATGCGCAAGCGCATAAAAGTCACTGGCTTTTCTGATTGGGATTCAATGTTCTACAATAACTTGTTATCGATCCCCGTCTTGGTTGTGTTTTCCATTGTTGTGGAGGATTGGGGCTCAGAGAACCTGGTTAGAAATTTGTACGTCGCCCAATCACCCAGTGAGATCACAAAATAGTTACTGACGCTTGCCTGATCCAGCCCACTCGAGACACGCAACGTTCTTTTGTCCGCTATCGCATTTTCGGGTGCTGCGGCAGTTGGAATCTCATATTCTACGGCATGGTGTGTGCGCACCACAAGTAGTACTACCTATAGGTATGGATACATGGCCTCCAGCACTCTCAGAAGACTGCAGCTAATAATGACGACTATAGTATGGTCGGAGCCCTCAACAAACTCCCTGTTGCGGCTTCAGGCATGCTCTTCTTTGGTGATGTAGTAACAGTAGGATCGGTGTCGGCGATCGGAATGGGGTTCTTTGCAGGGATTGTATATGCGATAGCAAAGAACAACCAGAAGAAGATGGAGAGCCGGCCTCAAGCAACCACTATAATACCCCTGTCGAACAGGTAGACCGTCGGCAAGTGCCTTCATCATGTTTCTGTATATCCCGAGCATTTAGACGGAGCGCCGTACCTCAGGGCTCATTAGTGCGGTTTTTTGCGAGCTGTCGAATACATGCCAACTTGATGACAGGCCGCAGTGATGGAGTTAAGAGTCAGAACGTGGGGTAGTAAGCCACTTTAAGTCCGTACGTTGGTCTGAGATAAACATGTGCCAGCGAAACAAAGATACATGATGCTGTGGGGGATGCGGACGGATCACTGCGGATTATGGCATGATTACGGCCTCTCCTGATTTCATATGGTCCGATAGATGCTTTAGGCTAAGCGCCCGAGAGAAACTGGTGATAATCAAAATCCCTGAAGTTTGAACAGCTTTGTATTGTCCCTACCATCCCACCCATCCCTGACTTGCCCAAGCTCTTAAATATCCCTCACTTTACTTTAGCATTCATTTCACTTTCAACCAGTGACCATCATGGCTGCTTCGACTCAGTTACCGCTCCACCCCCCGAGGTTGGCACATACGTTCGTGGGGACGCCCAGCGCCCCCGGCACGCCAGTGCACTCTATTCAAACTATGAGAAGGAAATCCGCTGGTCATAGTGGTCCTCTCACCAAGATTCTCGTCGCTAATCGTGGTGTGCGTTTTGATCTGTTGATCTGGGTGTCTTTTGTCGCTTAGATATTTCGTTTACAGGAAATCGCCATCCGAGTCTTCCGTACCGCTCATGAGCTCGCTATGCATACTGTCGCGATCTACTCGTTTGAGGATCGTCTCTCAGCTCATCGCCAGAAGGTATTTGAACGATACGATATCTAATCTATCGAATGTCGCTCATCAGATACCAATCAGGCCGATGAAGCATATCAAGTCGGCAAGGGGTTGACTCCCGTTGGAGCATACCTTGCCCAAGAAGATATCATCCGCATCGCTCTTGAACATGGGGTTGATATGATTCACCCTGGGTATGCTCCCTGAATATCTCCGCTATATTTGGCTGATGATTGTCTAGGTACGGTTTCTTATCAGAAAATGCTACATTCGCTCGCAAAGTCGAGCAGGCCGGGATCGCATTTGTCGGACCATCGCCCGAGGTTATCGATGGTCTTGGCGACAAGACAAAAGCGCGTACACTTGGTGGGTGATAGTGCGTCGAGAATCGGTTCGTATATGCTAATTGGATTTGTCCCATAAAGCTATGAAGGTCGGTGTTCCAGTTGTTCCCGGTACACCTGGCCCGGTTGACTCGTACACGGATGGCGATGCATTCATCAAAGAATACGGTTTCCCAGGTCCGTCGATATTCTCCTTTTCGCTTTCCTTCTGATGCCATTTTGCCGCATGTAGTTATTATTAAGGCTGCTATGGGTGGTGGCGGCCGCGGAATGCGTGTTGTTCGCGAGCAATCGGACTTCAAAGACGCGTTCCAGCGTGCCGTATCCGAAGCTAAATCGGCATTCGGAGATGGTACTGTCTTTATCGAGCGCTTCCTTGAGCGCCCACGTCACATCGAAGTCCAAATTCTTGCCGATGGTGTTGGCAACACGATTCATTTGTTTGAGCGTGATTGTTCCGTCCAGAGACGTCACCAAAAGGTTGTCGAGGTCGCACCGGCAACCCACCTCCCCGAGGAAGTGCGTCAGGCCATTTTGTCGGACGCGATTAAGCTCGCGAAGAGTGTCGGATACAGGAATGCTGGAACCGCGGAGTTCCTTGTCGATCAGATGGGAAGGCACTACTTCATTGAGATTAATCCCCGTATTCAAGTTGAACACACCATCACTGGTACGATTTCCAGATATGAATTAGAGTGCCTCTAGCATTACTTACTCGGAATGCAGAGGAGATTACTGGTATCGACATTGTCGCGGCCCAGATCCAAATTGCTGCCGGTGCTACCCTCCCTCAGCTTGGTCTGACTCAGGAGGCCATCACTCGTCGTGGGTTTGCGATCCAGTGCCGTGTTACTACGGAGGATGCGGCTATTGGTTTCCAGCCCGATACTGGTAAAATCGAGGTGTACCGCAGTGCTGGTGGAAATGGTGTTCGTCTCGACGCGTCCTCTGGCTTTGCAGGTGCACAGATCACGGTATGCATCTAATCGTATCCTACGTTCGGAGTCATTCTGAATCCATTTCCCCCAACAGCCCCATTATGACAGTTTGTTGGTGAAATGCACTGTAAGTGGCACAACCTACGAAGTTGCCCGCAGAAAGATGTTGCGTGCCTTGGTCGAGTTCCGTATTCGCGGTGTCAAGGTAATTTACCTCTTAGTGTTCATATGAAAATGTGTCTGACAATGCCGATAGACAAACATTCCCTTCTTGTTCCGTCTCCTCACCCACGATGTCTTCATCGGTGGCAAGACATGGACTACTGTAAGTCCATTCCTCAGATGCAAGGACCATAAGACGCACCTTTGAACATTTGTATTACATCAGTTCATCGATGACACCCCTGAGCTCTTCAAGCTGGTGCAGAGCCAGAACCGTGCACAGAAACTCCTTGCATACCTTGGTGACCTTGCAGTCAATGGAAGTTCCATCAAAGGTCAGACCGGCGAGCCAGGCCTTAAGGATGAGGTCGTCATTCCCAAATTTGAGAGCCGTGATGGTCCGGTTGGCACACCCCTTGACACTACATTCCCTTGTGAGGTTGGATGGCGCAACATCATCGTTGAGAAAGGACCCGAAGCTTTCGCGAAGGCCGTCCGCGAATACCCTGGAACGCTCATCATGGACACCACTTGGCGTGATGCCCATCAATCGTTGCTCGCTACTCGCCTTAGGACAATCGACATGGTCAACATCGCCACTGAGACCAGCTTTGCTCTCTCCAACGCATTCAGTTTGGAGATGTGGGGTGGCGCCACCTTCGATGTCGCCATGCGCTTCTTGTATGAAGATCCTTGGGAACGTCTGGTACGCGATTTGTGGTGTGTTGGAGGAGCTTGAACTGACGTTTAAATAGCGTACCCTGCGTAAGCTGGTACCCAACATTCCCTTCCAGGCTCTCGTTCGTGGAGCCAACGGTGTCGGATACACAAGCTACCCGTGCGTGCTTTCTCATTCCCGCCTAATGTCCGGCTGATTTCGCATAGCGACAACGCGATCTATGACTTCTCGAAAAAGGCGGTTGAGAATGGTCTTGATATCTTCCGAGTGTTCGACTCACTGAACTACTTTGGTGAGAATGATATCTTTACCGCATAGTCTTGATTGCTGACGGATTCCCATAGAGAACGTAAGACGAAGTGAACCAAATTCTCATGAGACTGCACTCACTTTCATTTTAGATGAGACTCGGTATCGATGCCGCCAAAAAGGCAGGAGGTGTCGTTGAGGCCGTTGTCTGCTACAGCGGTGACGTCGCAAGCCCGAAGGAAACCAAATACACATTGAAATACTACCTTGATTTCATTGACCAACTAGTGGAAGAGGGAATTCACATCCTTGGTGTCAAGGACATGGCTGGTTTGTTGAAGCCTGAAGCTGCAAAATTGTACATCAACAAACACCTTTTTGTCCGACTTGCAAACACTAACACATTTGCAGGCTTATCGGCGCGATCAGGGAGAAGTACCCTGACATTCCAATCCACGTTCACTCCCATGACACGGCTGGAATCGCAACAGCTAGCATGCTCGCCGCCGCCGCGGCTGGTGCTGATGTCGTTGACGTTGCCATTGATAGTAAGTTGCCGACATCTGCAAATGACGAGCCAGATGTTCAACAATTCCGATAGGTATGTCTGGTCTGACATCGCAGCCCTCAATGGGAGCCGTGTGCATGGCCCTTGAGCAAACGCGATTAGGGACGGGCATCCGCTACGCCGACATCCAAGCGCTAAACTTGTACTGGAGCCAGGTTCGCATGCTCTACGGTTGCTTCGAAGCCAATGTCCGGGCCTCGGATTCAAGTGTCTTTGATCACGAAATGCCAGGAGGTCAATATACGAATCTCATGGTGAGCGTGGTGTCCGGAATGTATTTAGATTCGGCGGCTGATCGACCCTATAGTTCCAAGCGTCACAATTAGGCCTCGGCACACAGTGGACCCGTGAGTGTCTTCTTTACCAGTAAGTTACGTTTTCCGACCTTCGAATCCCAGAAATCAAGCAGAAATACATCGAGGCCAACGAACTGGTAAGTTTGTCTGCGCGTCATTTCCCACTCCATCTGAATCATTCCCTTCAGTGTGGCAATATTATCAAGGCATGCAATTACCTGTTTAACTCCGTGCAAATTCTAACAGAACTATTAGGTTACGCCCTCATCCAAAGTAGTTGGCGATTTCGCGCAATGGATGACGTCAAACTCGTTCTCCAAACAGGACGTTATTCAACGTGCAGACCAGCTTGACTTCCCCTCTTCTGTTGTGGAGTTCTTCCAGGGTTATCTTGGACAACCTGTGGGAGGTTTCCCTGAGCCACTTCGTTCGAATATCATCAGAAACAAGCCAAGAATCGATGGGCGTCCTGGTGCGACTATGCAGCCCTTGGACTTCAAGAAGATCAAGTCAGAGCTCCGCAGCAAATTTGGAAAGCATATTACGGATGCAGATGTTACCTCATATGTCATGTACCCCAAAGTATGTCGTGCCTTGCACTCCCGCGATGCATATTCTGAAGTCATGTTAACTCCGTCAGGTCTTCGAGGAATACCAGGGTTTCCTTGAGAAATACGGAGATCTCAGGTAAACCTCATGATGCCGTGTGATGTTCAAAGATGGACTTATCCTTACCCCAGCGTTCTTCCCACGCGGTACTTCTTGGGGCGACCGGCTACTGGAGAGGAGATGCACATCTCGATCGAAAAAGGAAAGACTCTGATTATCCGCCTGATGGCCGTTGGGCCTGTTGTGGAAGGACGTGCCCAACGTGACGTCTGGTTCGAAGTTAACGGCGAGGTCGATAACAATAGTATGACATGCGAAGATTTTGCTGACATTTCCCCTGTGCCGCAGGTTCGGGCTGTGTCTGTCGAGGACAAGAATTCCGCAGTAGAAACAGTCTCGCGGGAGAAGGCGACTTCTGACCCTGGATCAGTGGGTGCACCCATGTCAGGTGTCGTAGTTGAGGTCAGAGTGAAGGAGGGCCACGAGATTAAGAAGGGCGACCCTCTCTGCGGTAAGGATGATCGGCGTTCTTTGATGTTCTTTCTGACGTGAGCTTTTTTTTATCCAGTACTGAGTGCGATGAAGGTATGTGTGAAATGCTTTGAAGATGACGACCTGCTGACGTTTGGTTCACCACAGATGGAGTCTGCTGTTACTGCACCTGTTTCTGGTCATATTAAACGCGTGGTGGTCAATGAAGGCAAGCCTCATTCGATTCGTTTCTCCGGAGCGCGGACTTAGTCTAACAAATCTGTATAGGTGACTCCATCAATCAGGGCGACCTGACAGTGGAAATCGTCCACTAAAGCAAGGATCTTCTGGAGCATACGCGAACTGTTGTCACGATTAGTTGTATCATAGTCTTATGGAACGCATATCACACTATTACCGAGGGAATCAATGGCGTTCCTGACAGTTATGTTTCCAAACGTTAAGATACCACAGGGACGCGCATCAGACGAAACTACTTGTCCGAATAGGAAAGAAAACGTTCACGGGAACCAACGTGTTTGTCATTAGGTGGCAATAAGTGTTGATGCAAAACTTAAATGTTTCATCATGTCTGCATGAAGCTCCCGAACAACATCCTATACAAACAAGAATCAACTGACAGCCCGGCACGTTGCAGTTTAGCGAGTCAAACTGACCTGCGCAGTCTGAATTTCCGTGACCAAGTCAACTCCAGTACCCGCCCAAACCAAAATTCGATCAGGATCCCCCTCCTGAGTTGCCCTTTTGAAATTATCTCGAACTATTTCGATGTCGACACCAGCGTCTACGTCTTTCACTGTCTTGTTATAAATGGCACGACCGTCGACGCCTTCCGGCCATTCCAGAGTTCCTCTGGCGTTATCAAATGCCGTCGTACGCACCGTGTCATTGGCACTGGCCTTGACGAGTATGTTCTTCTGCACCTCATTATAGAAACTCTCTTCTGTCATCAAAAATCTCGTCCCGAGCACCGCGCCAGAGACTCCGAGCGTAAGCAGAGAAGCAACGTGACCACCCGTTGACAATCCGCCGGCTGCTAGAAGTGGCGGGCCCTCTTTGGGCAACACTGCCAAGATAGATGGCACCAGCGTGAGAAGCGGCGGAGCAGCGCTATACCCATGGCCACCAGATTCAGATCCTGCGACGTTGACCATGAGAGGAAAGTTCAAACCAAGCTTAAGGAGGTAGGGGAAAAACCTTGAGCTACTAAAACGTCGACTTTCCAGTCTTGGATGGCAATGAGAGCCTCTTTCACTGAGGAAACTTGTACAAATATCAAGGTTTTCTGCCCCCGCCCGGAACTCGCATCATAAGAGCGAATGTAGTCGACCCATCGACCTATATTGTTGCCAAAGGCGAGCCAGATGGCCTGAACCCTGTTCAAAAGGGAAATGTCGAGCAATCCAACGGCAGCGGGATCTTTGTCAAGTTGCCAAGCCAAATATCCGACGCCGATTGGAAGGGGATCTGCATCGGATAGGAGAAGCTGCGCGCGGGCTAAGGATAGCTCCTCCTGAATCTGAGAAGAGGTCAGATATCCTAGATGATGATCTATTTAGCAAGTTAATCGTAAAAGGTGCGACGGACTCCACCTGCTCCGATAAATCCAAATGCTCCGGCACCGGATGCCTGAGCTGCCAATGCGCCACCGCTAGCCCCTGCCATGGGCGCAGCTACTATAGGAGTGGGTATGTCTGTGAGGGTCCTCAGATATGCAATTTCATGATGAGGAACAGATGGACACACCCATTAGGACGGTAAAAGCAGTACGAATTCTTGACATATCGACGACAGTCGGAGGAATGAGATGATATATCCATATATACATTGCGATTTTATATGTTAGATGATAAACACTGTCGGGCGACTTGACCGACGCTTTGATCGGTGACTGACAAACGACCGGTGACTTACAAATGTTCAAACACAAGTCTGTCAGCATGATCCTTCTTGAAGCTTCAGAAGCTTCAAGCTTCGGTCGTGATAGAGATCGCGCAAACGCTTGGCAATCTTATGAACAGAAACCGCATGGAACGGAAACAGTGAATTAGTTACAAAGTGAATCGTTGGCGCAACACAGCTGTCAACCTGAGCTGTTTGGCCTTGTTTGTCACAGTGGCCCGCCAACTCTATCTCGTTTCTTGTCATCGTCTGCATCTACAGCCCATAATCCTAATCGACCATCATGGTAAGTCCTGATCAGAACTTGGAGGTATGTTATCTGATGATCGCGCCTCAGCCTCCACCAAAATCCAAAGGAGGAAAAATGCTAGGCCTCATCAATTGGAGGCTCAAAGTGACCATCAATGACGGACGCGCGCTGACAGGTCAGATGCTCGCATTCGACAGGCATATGAACCTTGTCCTGGCGGACTGTGAAGAGTTCAGACGCGTTCGGCCGAAGAAAAAAGCCGGGGAAACCGAGGCACCTGCTGAGCAGGAGATGAAGCGCACCTTGGGTCTCGTGATTTTGCGAGGGGAGACAGTCGTCAGCTTAAGTGTTGAGGGGCCTCCGCCAGTTGTAGACGAGGACAAAAAGAATGCGGTACGCTATGCTCTGCTAATTTTCTCGGTCAAGATCTTATGTGTGCGTTGCATTTAGCTTCCTGTTGGCCCTGGTCGTGGAATGCCTGCCGGTCGTGGAATGGGAATGATGCCTCCTAGTAAGTTTATTGATACACGACGAAAATATGCCGCTTATTATGGATTTAGTGGGTATGCCTCCTGTGGGTCGTGCTCCAATTCCCTTTGCCCCACCAGGCATGCCAGGCCCCCCTCCTGGCTTCCGTCCTCCTGGCTTCCCTCCAGGTGGATCATTCCCTCCACCAGGCTTTGGTGGACCTCCTCCCCCTGGGTATTATGCTTTATTTTATTTTAGTGCATTGCTAATTTCAATTTATTTCCAGCTTCCAACCACCCCCTCAGTAAAGTTATTGCTGTTCCTTGTTGTTTGATCATATTTGTTGTGCGCGGATCAGGTGAAAGCAGGGCAAGTAGTTTTGCCAAAATGTTCGTACGTTCGCAACATGTACCTTCGAGACGTCTTAACTCCGAAAGGTTTGTTGTTGTACTTTTTCACTGACAAACCCACAGCACCGTCTCATATCGGTTGCCGAATGGAGTGTTATCATATTGCCGGTTGTAGAATGTACAAATTTTGAGAGTTCTGTTTGTAAAGCTGAGTTGCTCTCTAACAAAAAATAATGAACTTCTGGAAGCATGTCTGACTATCATTGGAAATTGGATCCTATTAGTGGGCTTGTATTCTTAGTACGACCATCTATAGGGGAGACTAAGTTTGGGCAGATAGAACGAGCTTTGACTCTTTCGAGCGAGTTAATATTGGTTGGTGTATACAAGTATTCATGTACTTGGTGCTCCCTAGATACCATAGACGCTCCTTATCGTCTGCAATTCCCGAATTTGCATCATTACATACAAGCCTCATGATGGTCATCCTGGTACTTTCCTGACTAGGACTAGTAGCTGTGGTGTCTGCTACTACTTCTTCCCCCTGAGTGCCTTGACATGAGCATTGTCAGTTCAACTTCTTTGTTCCCAACCTCCCCGAGATTACCCCGAGTCTTCAGTGCTTCACATTGTATGGCGGCCGAAGGCCGTGGAATAGTAAATCCTTCTATCAGCGCTGGAGTACCAGCATAGCATAGCATAGTAGTGCGCAGTACCACAAGCCCTTCTATTGCCATATACAAACCGGAACTAATCAGAACCACTGACCTCTGTATACAATTGAGTTACACCTCAAGTTCATCTACCCCACCTCCACATCTCGTGGTCACCCCTGGACTTCGAACATCAGTTCGTAATGCGGCCTCCGACACACTGATTCCGAGCCACCATCATGATCATGATGCAGATCATATCCTTTGTATCAGCGCCACTTCCGGGCCCGGTCAAGGATCAGGAAGTACTAGTAGTAAGCAAAAAACACGACATCTTCTTCTTTTGTTCGATTGATTGCTTATCGCCCTCTCGCCTTGAGCGATACTTCATTACCATCGCTGGCCTGGTTCTTTGTCGTATCTCATACTCCAGGCGGGACCTTTATCTCGCTGAGCTGTCCGTCGTCTCACGTGTGCTTTGGGCTTTTGTAATTGCAACCAACTTGGATCAATCGTTCCGGGATGTGTGTTCTTTCCGCAGTGCACGCATGATTAAAGCGTATGACCTACCCTTTCAATCCATTCTTCATGCCAAATGTCGACTTTTCAAGCTACCCAGCAATCCGCAACTAGATAGCTGCGGCTGATAGACGAAGCCATCGTGACCTACGAGGTCGCAACGGCATGTACGCCGCCGGCCCGTTTGAAACAGCCGACCGACTTCTTGTTCCGCTGCTATTCGCTCTACCGCAATCATCAACTTTGTTGTGCGTTATCAATGACCCCAAGAACGTTAACTAACACTTCCCAGTTGATCCCAAAGCGGACTAGTTCGACAACTGCGGAAGTTCTTAAAGATCGCGCACCTGACTTGGTAACCCCCTTGCCAAGGTTGAAATTCTTTGAATTTTAGGTTGAGACTTAACATGCTGTGTTAGAACTTGCCCTCGAGCAAGCTCCGGGCCCTCCTGCCGTCGGGTTAAGAAGAATGATGACGACGAATGTTGCGCGTCAATCGCTCTGTCGGTTTATGTTTATTTGTGTTGAACAAAGTGGGTTGTAGGTGCGATCAGAGGCGCAATTTACATTTACTGTCATGTGGCTGGAGCAGCTTGATGCGCCGCCTCTCCTGACTATCGCCTGTCCGATAATCAATATTTTAACCAAGGTCCGGGTGCGACATATTATAGCCCCCGACTCTCAAGGCAGCACCGGCCATCGCTTTTCTTACCGGAACAGAGGTTAATTGTTTTGAAGAATTCCCAGCCGTGCAGTAGTTTCCACTCAGGGCTAGTGTGTTCAGCATCGAATGTTCTCCGCACAGACGTGCTTAACCATATACACATGTATAATCTGCCACTGCTGACTCTACACACGTGTTAAACGTTGTTGACGAGCGTCATGAAGTTTCAAGGCACCACAAAGTTGTTTAGTCCGGTTTCCGTAAGTACGTGCGATAAGAGGTGGATATGACGTGCGAGGATATTAGTCTATGTATTCTTCCCTGAACTCATGTCCAAGCCCTGATCGTCGGACATGTTGCTGCGGCCAGCTGGCGCAAGTTCTTTGCTCGGCAGGCCGGAGCTTGCACAGGGCAACGAATAAACTCCGCCCCAAACAATTGTGCTGAAGTGTCGCTGGTGCCTTGGTCGTGCGATCATATGTCGTGACATCATTTAGGCCATATACAATAAGCCCGCGGCTGCTTATCTGCTGACTCCAGAGTCATCAAAAGGATTGGCGTATATATCGCGGATCCCACACCAGACGGAGGTTATTGCAACATTTGATTGACGACGAGATCAAGAATATTCCACCATCGAAGGTTCTTCGCAACGTTGATTTCGTCCAATCCCGTTATGCCACCTATAGTCCAACTGTCAATACCTGATGATAACGTCGTAAGTAGTAGCGCCCTACAACGGTTATCTTTCAACTTACGAATTTGAATGTTCTTAGTGTTTCTAGCATGTTCTAACATTCAGTTAGCCCTCGAACCCAATACGGTAGGAACAAAGATGAGCGCCTCCGGGTCGGTGTAGGCCAGGGGTATTCCGATAATACAGAAATAAGATCCAGTTATCCCGCCCCCGACGCCACCGGTAGGCGGGACCACTAACTTTGGTGCTAGCTGCGCATCACGAGCGGGAGCATTCTCAGACTTAGCTAACCCCTCATCAAGGCCAATTAACCTTTGACGGTCGGGCGGCAGCGCATCTGATCTACATTATGAGCAATAAATATATGCCGTGCTCACCTGTCAAAAGTTTCCATTCTTCAGAAACCATGCGCGATGACAACATCTTTGCTCGGCTCAGTGAAAAGCCCTGTGATCCCGCCATCGGCGAAGAATCTTCCTAATTTGCATAAACTCAAAACGAACGTGTATGACGAACCCCAGAGATAAGTACTTACTGGAGCGACTCGGAAAAGGCTGATCTGCAGATCTGCGTTGGTCGAGCGGCGTGAAATTCGTTCATACGCAAAGGCGGTACGGGAGGGGGTTTTAAACAAGGTGAGGACGGGCCGCAGTGTGCATTTCCGAGTAGACCGAGTTCCTAGCGGGCCGATGACACCTAATGGTATCATTATACGAATGGCCAGTGCAGATTTGGTTTCTATGCGCAGTTTTGTGTGGGAGGCTCGAGTGTTTTAGTTGGTTTGATGCACGTGCAGCGTGGTGCATACTAGCTGTCTCGGTCTATCGGCTAAATTTCCAAGAATAACGATGTAGCATGCTGGCAATCAGACCAGCGAGAGAGAGTTGAAACTCAAAGGAAGGAGTGAGAGAGAGAGTCTGTGAAATAGCAATACGCTAACTCGGTTAAGTTTCATTAATATAAAAAACTCAATGAAAGCCCTCGGAATCTTCCCGGGTTACGACGAATCGTCCCAAAAATAAACTCATATGGGTCATCGAGGATACATTGCACACACCGTATCACCGCGCAAGCAGTACAATGCAACTAGTACTTAGGCGAAGCGTAACTTGCCGTCCCATGTAGAGTCATAACACGCAGATTAACCACGCGGTCAATACTCACAAAGTACAAGAACAGATCTTGGTGACCAGATATGAGAACATGTTTGAGGGTTTGAATGGACTTCTTGACGGAAAAGTCCGAGATCAAAGTACCCTGCCAGCAGGACTATTAGCTATGGCACAGCTAGACTGGCCTCACCATTTAATTATTATTATTAATGAGCAGCGTGGCCTGGATGCGAGTAGTGACTCAGGCAAATCATCGAAACTCGTCTTGGTACTCAGATCATCTTACGAAAAGAACCTTGCATGCTGTACCACAAGGGACGCTCTCCTGTCACACTTTCCCTGCCGCAGTCCTGTCAGCTCACTTGCGACTCCCTCGCACATGCCAGCAACCCATACGTACCCGTCCATACATGCTATCAGTATTAGCGAGGCCCGATTTTCACCTAGGCCTAGACCGATCCAGGCGCTTGATCACAGCCGTTCCATCAATCTTCTTCCTCGTAGCTCGATACTATTCTCCAAGCCTTGGCTAGCCCTCTAAAACTACCGCTCACACCCTTAACGGCGATTTCCTCGCTTGTCTCTTTGACAGCGAAACCCCGCGTTTGTCTAACATGGGCCCACGCGGTTATCCCCCCGGGAAGTGGCCCCTCCCGCGAAGAGCGATGCTACTGTCACTGTCAAGGGCAAGAACCACCAAGATGCTTCAACGAGCTCCAGGGCCGCACGTTCAATTTAGACTTGAATGAAATTTTTCTACATGCTGTGCACCATGACAGCTAGGCAGGAATGAACGTTCGAACTCTCTCCCGCATTCGTATGAGACAAATTCGGTTGTTCCGCTGGCAGAAACTGCAGATCACACTCGCCACGTACACAAGCAAATTTGGTTCAAACGATGTATTCCACTTGGCTTGCACCAACTCTATTGTACAATAAATCAATACGATATCCAGGTGGGCAGGAATGAGACGTGTGTATGCAAGTGCAACGAGCTATCTATGTGTATATGCATGTATATACAGTGTATGAGGAGTGAGAACGAGCGTGTGCGAACAGAACAACGAGGAATTTCAAAGATTGTGAGTGCGGGCGCTGTCAAACAACGTCGAGAGGAAAAAGTGGTGTACAAGATACACGGAGTGTTCCTGGGGTTTTGAAAGGAGTTATAGCGAACAACCATGTGGTGATTTTGGGGGATATCGAAGTCCATAAGTCAATTGCGTGAATGAAGCGCCTATTGGCACGAGGCGATTTTGCGAATATGCTGAGCAAGGGGGAGATAGTGGGAATGAAAAAGACGCGCAGCACCTCATGGTGCGATAGCACGACCGCCACGACGACCTCGGACATCCAATCGCTTCGGTGCCATCAGGAGGATAGAGGAACCGGTACCGGAGGACGCAGAAGGGGAAAACGATGGAGAACGCGCCTTGGACTCATACCCCTGCTGGAAGTGCTGATACTGAGCCTGTGGGACGAAACTATCGTCGTCGTCATCATCCCAGTCAAGCTCAGCAGCACGGCAAGAAGGGAAGACGACAGGTGTAGGTGTGTGGGAGTCGGTGGGCGTTGAACGGTCACGGTCATTAAAAATTGCAGCTTTCGTAACGGGGAATTTTGGTCGTGCAATGGGTGGAGGCGTAGGAGGGTGAATCTTGGCTTTTTTTGAGCGGGGAGGAGATGTCTTGGCGCATAAATAAGGGGAAAAATATGTTTTAATATCCTCTACGACTTCTTCATTACTCGACTTGGCATGTTCGCGAACCCAGGAGCGAACGAAAGCACCGATACCGAAGGGGGAATCTTCGTCAGGAGTAGCCACGAGCGGCTCACTCAAGAGGCTAGTAAGGGAGGTGCTTGCTTCGCTCATGCTGGCAGTGGTGTTGGACGCCGTATTGCCATTAATGTAAGCGCAGTGCGTGCTGCGTGCGGGGGGAAGAGGGCGAACTTGTGCTGGTGATGATACACAGAGAGTGGGGACAGCTGCTGTAGCAGAGGTACGCTCGATCAATTTGGGCGTTGCCTGAGAACGGGCACGAGGTGAAGGGGAACGACGAGAAAACTGAGTCGATGCTGATGCGGGCTCAAAGGCCTCTGCGAAGGGGCAGGAGGGTGCGCCAGCAGGAACGTGAGGCGGGATAGCCGCAGCCCATTGGTGGATGCGGTGAGTATTGGGAGCGGGGGTAGCAGCTACTTGGGTAGCGAGTTTGGGTGAAGAGGATGCTGGTTGAGCATAGGAAAGGCACTCTGGGGAACAATATGGACCAGAGGCAGATGTTAGACCATCCTGTAGTTTGAGTTAGATATGATCGAGGAGAAGGGAGAAAGTTGATAATTACGATTCTGCGATCACACGAAAGACACCAGTCGACGTCCATCCCTTGGTAAGTTATGAAAAAGAGGAGGAAGAGGAGAGTTGAGCTGAGCTCTGGGGAGGACTTGAGTTCTGAGTAGGGCAAGGCAAAGCAAACTGCTTCCCCTCATTTCTTGTGAACGTTCTTATAAGGTCCCTTCTTTCGTTCACGACGCAATTTGGAAATGTGATCGAGATCTGGTGTTTATTAAACGAGTTAATTAAAGTAATTATTTTACTTGTTTATTTTGTTTTTGTCAAATTTGAAGAAAAGAATTTGATTATGATTTCTTCTCAGTGACTCTGCGCGCTTTCAACGAAGATAAGAAAACTATCGTGGAATCACTTCCAGTCGGCACTCCCCGGCGCCCATTGAGTGACCGGTGAGGTCCTCTTTCTCCCAGTTCAACCAAAACCTCGACTCCTCCTCCTCCCTCCTACGAGTAGAGAACAAGCTAGAATACAAAAAACAAGACCATGCCATCACAGGTACGACTATCCCGGCACCGGCTATAGGGAAACGAACAAAGCCCGTAACAAGTTGTCATCTCAGCACCCTGACCTGTGACAGGAACCTTGGGGTTAGCTCTTTGCCGTATCTGTTCTGTAACCTTGACTGGCGGAACCTAGTTCAACTCGGACGAGTTCTCGCTCCACCCAACTCTCTAGATAAAAGAACGTTGTACACGTAGAACTAACTTACAAAGTGTTTTTGGTCATACGTGTTGCACCCTTGATGGCAGCTAGCAGCAAGGTTTGAGTTTAACCCCAAATGCTCTCGCTTCCTCACTCATTCCAAACACGCGCAATCATTTCATGCACGTATCCTCTGGCACTGCACTTCATGAAAAGAAGGTCCCCCCTTCATTTGCGCTCCCGCCCTTATCCTACCAATACGTATCCTGGCTCATCATCAAACCTCCCTTCTCCGTGTGACTTTCTTTCTCCCACTGCCGCCGCCACCTTCCCAAGTCGACAAACATAGATCTGACCTGACTTCTTCCTTGAAGCTTTCTTCATTGACCGCCGGAATGAGCAAGAAGGCGTCATACGGCATGTTCACAAACACACACATCATCATTCGTCTGCCACCACCCCCATTCATTTTAGAATCTTGGTATCAACACGCCGCCACATCAAGCCAACCCCCAAAGCCAAATACATTTCCAAGTGGCGCTAGGGACGCCATTGATCTTTATAAGCCCACAACAGCGCCATATAACCCTATACGTATCCTTGTCTTCCCACCCATATTATTATATGTGTGGCCAATCTTGGCTCTGAGTCACAATCCCACTTTATGATGTGACTCTATTTCATTGCTATGCTACGAGAAGTTAGTTGGTGTGATATGATACGAGAGTTTGTGACTATTGTTTGATCGTCGGGTGACCTATTAGCTCATTCGCTAAGCTCCTTACGTTCTCTCTATAGCCAGGGCCTTACTCTCGATCAACCGATGCGTCAGCTAATAGAAATGCTCAGTAGAACGCTCCGAAGACCCTAACAAGACGTTACGATCTTACTTCCGGTTCCGACGCACTTATTGAACAGGCGCACATAGGTCGTACATCCGTTCAAGGCTGGCTTCTTCCGTCGGATGATCATGCTGAACTTGTCATCCATGTGCAGATCTGATCAACTTTTTTTGGTTCTAGTGCATCGCGTAGGGAGTTCATCATGTCAAGGTTGCATTAGAATTTGCGCTCCCGCCGTATTATCTCCAGCGGGCCACAGATATCGTCCTATCATGCACCTCTCTTGCCAAATACATCCATGCGGACGTACTTGCCCGCACAGAAGCTTCCTAATGGCTGGATCAGGTTCAGCGTGATATTATACCATTGATAGCTGTTGCAACACATACCTTATCGTCAGCTGTATGGTCCGCTGGAGCTTGTGTGGTCATTCCTTGTTGATATCATGAATGTTCTTCAGGACAGCACCCCAAGTGGATGCGCAGCTCTCCAGAATAGACTTCTCATTCAGCGCTAGTAGCATTGCCACTCGGGTCCGATGCATATGCATTGGTGTTACCTAATTGAGGACAAAAGGACAGGGGTTTAGCATCTCATCTTTTAACGGCAAAGAGGGCGAGAAGTAGGCTATAAAGCGATGCGCTGAGTACATAACGTAGGTCCACAGAGGGTCCAGCGTCCTCAGCGACCAATGCAAGAACGAGAAGTAAACCTCGTTGAGAGTAGTATATTCTGGGACAACAATGGAGAAGTAATAAGATTCAGCGACGTCATGTTCATCAATACAAAAATATAAGTAGAACGCGTCGTCCTTGGAGGGTGGGAACCAAAAATAAGTCGGCTGCCGCCTTGTCATATGGCTCAAGTCATGGAAGTTTGAGCAGCCAGAAAAGAGAACAGCGGGAGTACATCCAGGGTGTCCCAGAATTTGTGCCGCGCTCCACAGCTCCACAGGAAGTGAAAGATGAGAGAACGCCGATCAAGGTCCTATCCGAGAGAGGAACTCACACACACACAGGAAGTGGTTTCCCTGCAGATAAAAGGGGCAAGTACGCGCGGTGCTCAAGCCAAATTCTTGGTAGAAAGGAGGTAATAGCCTAGCCTACCCAAATGAGCAGAGTATGAGGCTTCAAGTCATGCACTGGATTGAACCGTGCGAAGACGGATTCGCCGTGCCAACCATAATATGAAACGGAAACGGAAACAAAAACATGAAGAGAAGCCCGCCAGCTCATGTCTCGATTGTCATGCCGTCCATCCTCGCAAATCACAGAGAGACCATGACGACGCAACACAAGAAGATAAAAAGCCGCTTCTCTGACGCGCCGTTCTCCGCAATCAACTCCCCCGGACGCTGCCAAGAAATCATCAGGGCGAGCCCCATGACTTGCGAACCCACACAAGGCGGTGTGCCAATAGTTCACGAGACGTGCCCCCACATGAACCAAGAATCCAAGAAGATATCTAGGAACTTACATCTAGGAGCTCTCCGAGTTTCGCTGCAGTCAAATTTCCTGCGTTCACATCGGATACGTGCGCAGGATCGACCCTGTGCTGGCAAAGGTGTACCACGATAAGAGCAAGTGTCTGTGCTACCCGATGGGCGTTTGTCGCCTCTCCACATCCTGTGATAGCAGTTGAATTTCCAGTGCTGACTATTCTTCACCCGGAGCGGCTGTACGCCTTGACTTACCAAATATATCGAAGGGAAGATCCTCCTGGCTATCCACGGCATGGGGACTGGTGTGCCGCATACGTTTTTGGGGCCGCTCTTCTTCCACATTAGATCTTCTCCGAAGGCCGTTCCAGACCACCGCTTGTGAGGCGCTTGAAGGTGCCGAAGGCATTTCTAGTAAACAACGTTTGAGCTCGAGGTAATACGGCATGGGCATCGTATAACGGAGACCTTACTTGTGGTGCAAGTATGGGCAGGGATGCATGCGTCTCCGTCGGGTCTAATCTCAATGGGAAGGTCGAGACCCAGAGAACTACTGGTTGGCTGGAGACTAGATATGAAACAGGCACTATCTTTTGCGCTGGCAAGAACATTGTTTTCGTCTTTGGATATTCCGCCAATGTCGGTTTCGGTCTCGGCCGTCAAATGGCTTTGGGGGACATGGAAATAGGAATCGTCCCGAGTATCCGAGGGAGGGTCCGACCATGTAGAGACCGAGACTTCTTCGTCATCATCCCCCGTTTCCCTGGCGTTGTCGATATGATCCTGTATATCCACAAGGTACCGTTTCACATCTTCCACAAACGATTGACGCGGCTCATTGTCATCCGGAAAAATCAGGTGAGCAAGATTTGTCATGACTCTCGGCGAACATATGCAGGTGGCAAATAGAACGCAGAAAAGCCACAGGGTATGCGTCATCTTTCCCTCGCTGTTAATGTTAAAGGCTTCGGGAAGGGCAGAATCTGGATCATCTCGCGGAGACCGTGGTGACGAGATCGACGGAGAATTATAGACTATTCCATTGTCACCCATCTCGTCCCATCTGGGTTCTGTCGTCCAATGTCTGGCAAAATGCGAATATATTCGTAAGAATCGGATCACAAAGTTGTCTGCTACGCGGATGCGGTAAACATACGGAGCATGCCGTTCTACAACGTACTCACCTATCTCCCGTTCGTCATCCAATACGCGGAAGTCCGTAGGCAGACTTAAGTTTCTGGAATTAAAACATGACCGCTCATCCACCAGATCTATTCGCTTGTACCCGTACCTGACTCGGATCTGTAAGCGCCCCTGCATGTCGGCATCGTAACCACTGTCGGCGGAAGAGTGCACCACATCTATGAGGTTGTTGATGAAGGCGGAGAAGGAGCCGTAACCCAAACTAACGATATCGCATTCGTTCTCCGGCAGGGTGAAGCCGTACCTGGAAATGAGCTCGGCGTTTGAAAGCGATCCGTATGTGTTGAATACCTCTGAATGAGGTAGAATGGGTTTAACAGAACACATGTCAAGGGTATCAATCTCTAGCGCCAAATCAGGTTGGCACACTCCAGGAAGCGAACAGGCCCCTCCTCGGGAAGGAACGGCAGTGAGAGTTTCGCGATCGTGGTCGCACTCCGCTAGAGATCCACATTCGGCACAAACATCAAAGTCACTCTAAAAAACAAACATGTCAACTTGCATCCCTTGCGAAAAATGAAAAGCTGAAGAATATGCGTTAGCAAGACGACAGTGCCACGCGGCCCGCAAACGCGTCCTTGACATGTCGGATCAAGATGGAACAGATTCCATGCCCCAAATGTTGACAGACCCACCTCCATATGCACATGATTCTCGTTGGTGTGATTGAAGCTATTGAGAACGTTGTTAGTGGAGGAAGTAAAAATGTGAACCAGACCAAAAGAAGATAAGTTTGAGAAAAAGTAACATGGAAAATGGCATGCAGAAGCTACACGTGGGGAACAACCCAAACAACTAAAAAGTCCTCCATGACTTTTAGCTCCTGTACTAGGTCCTAATCCGAGTCGCTATAGTGTGAGCTTGTAAGGCCTAGTAAGGAGCCGCCGGCGGGTAAGCAAGATCCAGTCTAAACTATAGTTGTGCTAGCACATTACTACTTGCCGCCGGGATGTTGCGAAAGACAAAAACGTCAACCAAAGCAAGCTAGAACTAACTGCACCGACGTCGGGTGGAGGCCTGTAGACTAATAACAAGCACTCCCATATCATAAATAGGCGAATGAACAAAATCACGGTGAAACTCGGATAGAAGCATCGTCGTTGATGCGCTTCCGGAGGACAACACGATGCGGGGCACGCGAAGCCTATCAGAAGCATGACTGGGCCACTAGTGGGAGAGAGTGAAGCCACGATCAACCTAATGGTAAGGAAGTAGGTAACAGGAGAAGTTGCATCTGACGAAACGATAACTCCATGAAGCTCTACCACTATTATGGGTGTAATGTGAAGGGGATTTCCGCGATGCATGATCTCATTCATTCATTGAAAACGGAACTAGGCTCAAAAAGTAAGATGAACTTTGAAGTCACTCACGCATCAGCAACGGGCACCATCGCAAGACCATGATACGCATCCGCCAAAAACGCGCGAGAGGACACGAGGGAGTATGCGTGACAATACCCAGGAAGCGAGGGTTCCACTGAGTTTAACTCATTGCTGTATTCATCGAGACGTGGAATCTCACCCCCTAATACCTCATTGACATTGCGCTCGGCCTCCGCTTGCCGAAGTCTGCCAAAGGCTGCGTGTAGCGTGGGTTCCACGACGGAGACGTAGTATTGACGTATTTCATCCTACCGGGTCAATGTGATCAGTTACCAGGGAGTTCGAGTGTGACCGAGTGAAATTTGTAGCCCAGAAATAGAATGGAAGAATACATCATGATAATCAAAGAACGCGAAGAGGGATTGGGGGGAATCGACTGCAAGAAGCAAAGGGTCTGATAGACGCATTTAGCAAAGCTGGAATAGCCATACAGGGTATGAAAAACCGGCATGACAAAGCGCAAGGCCGTTGAAATAGTACCCCAATATCAGCAGAACCAGATATCAAGTAGAGTTGAAGAACTAATTTTGCCAAGAAGCAACAAGGTTCGGTCTGGGCGCCATGGATCATGTCCGAGGCGAAGGACTCTTCTATGAGTCGCGGATCTGAGGACTTAAAGAGACAGAAGTGAAGTCTCGACAAAAATTTGGCAAGCAGATATCACTAGAAGTGGCATCGAGCCAAAACATACTTTTTCAAGAACACGAGGAGAAGGCATGTTGGCAAGGTAGTTTGCACAGAAGATAAGGCAAATTCATAAAGTTAGCAAAGACGGGAAAAAACGTGCGTCGCCATATGGGAGAATGGAAGCGAAAGGGATAAGTGGTCGTGGAAAATGGCACCGATCATCGGCGGGTGATCCACGAAGGTGGAGGGTAATGGAAATGATGACCTAGCGAGCTCGTGTAGAGCACGCGCATCAGTCGGCCAAGCCGCCAATGTACATGTCCAAATATGGAGAGCATGGCCGCCTCGAGATGGCACTACACCCATCAATCACTAATCATGGATGTACCCGGATGATGTAGCGTGCCACGCTGGTCCAATCCTGTGTTACCCTTCTCAATTGACTTCCCCACTGGGCAATAACATCATGGATCATCCCGGAATCGATCATCATCGCACAAGTCAATCTCGTCTCACAAGGATAACGCATCAATTGAGAAAGAAGCAAACATGAAAGTGGAGCAGAAGGCCAATGAATAAAACAACTTTCGAAACGAAAGGTATCGTCCACAAGACAAAACGCATATCAAAACATTAAGTTTACGGAGACAGCGTACTTACCATTAGACCGTCCAGCTCTTTTTCAGCCTCTGTACAGGAAAGCCACATCCGAGCTCGCTTACTGTCCAGGTATTGTAGGCATGGAGCACACTCGGGGAATTCCGTATTGGAGCAAGCCGCTCCAACGTTGCCAGCATCATCTCCAATGGCACTTTGCGAAGGAATGGTCTCTCCGCGGCTTGAGCATACACAGGATCTGAAGTCAATAACGTCCTTGACACCCCAGAATATAGCTGTGTCCACAGTTTCCCGCGGCAGGCTCTGGAGGTATCCGAACCACTTGGAATCTTGGCCTCGCAAACTATTCTCAAAGCATGAAATGTGGCGCAAAAAGGCGGTTTCGGCACACGATAAACCATAAGATAGCGTAAGTCGGTGGATCCAGACAGGAGTAATTCAGATCAAAGAGCCAGGGAAAGTCACAAAATGTCACACGACATGGAACCGGTTAGTCCGTTCGATCAGGTGTCATTTTTGCATCAAGTATAGTTGCGGAAGGTTGTGAGAGCACAAGAAGCGGCACCAGAGAGCAGTGTGGGAATGAGGCGAATCAGGGTGAAGGAGCGGAGCAGAATACGCGAGTGAGCTAAAAGTTGAAGACAAAGTTGTAGAAGCATGGAAAATACGTACATCTCACCATACAAGGCGAGAGCTAGTGCGAGATGTGCAGCATGGCCATATGGAGCAGAGGTAATGTCCTGAGAGAGGAAGCATGACCTGGTTGAGAGAATAGCTGCCTTCGGAATGCGTACAACTATATCAATAATAAAGCGAGTCAGAATGAAGGATCGACAAAATTGTTTCAAAAAGAATAGCATCGTTCTTTTGGCCTACGTATGAGCCTGTGTCACATCTTGGTTCTCGTTTGACTCGTCTGCGCTAGAAGGCGGGTTACCCGTACCCACGAGAACAGAAGGTTTCCACCGTAAGAGTATCTTGGCTTGCAGCCAAGCGGTGGTTTGGGAATTGCAACCATCCAGTGTATGCAAACTAAGCACTCACGGGAACGGGAACAATCAATGAAGTCTTCGAGTGAGTACACGCTGATTCCGCGACCGCGCGAGGAATTGCAGGAACTTTCCGTCCTATCGGCTAACTCTTGATGGTTTCGACTTTCCCGAACTTGTATTCTGGGATCGATTTGGATGCCATTTTCATTGCACCAAGTGAGAAGAATTTTAACTCTGGATAACGACATCCTGAGGCGACGAATGCTAAGTCTTCCCTGCAGAATAATACTGGAAGTCAGTGTCGGATAGCAGTGATGTGGTTGATGGTAATTTGATGTGAGGGGATCAGACAGCAATGGAGGCCTGCAGAGCTGCCGCTGCCACTTTTCTGCTTGGAGGTGGATGATTTTAGGAAGTTGCCGTACTGGCGGAGTCGCTTAATGGAAGGCTTTGTGGCAATATTTTCCAGGGAATCTCCGCCGCCTGCCCCCGCCGAACCTGCTAAGTCTGTCGGTTATGTCTGCTTTTGTACTTAGCACAACACCTCCTTCTGCCGCCTTGCCACAGGCCTTTGAGAAGAATTTCAAGAATCGAGAAGACCGCTAACCTTGTGCTAAGCCTAAGGAATATTCCGAACATATCAAGGCTCGCCACACATTTACGATCATTCACGATCCTCTGGAGTCGTCAACTCATCCATGGACATGGGCTGCTGGTACCACTGGCATGTCCAATAACGGCCGTGGAATTCATCTGCCTCATATGACTTTTATCTTCAGACTCCCCGTGAGGCATTCTTGTCCAACTCCGAGTCCGAGGATGCCGTTCGCGAAGCGCTGCAGGGTGACGCTAACTTAGTTCTCGAGTCTTGACAGAATGGCAGTTCTATCAAGAGCCGAATCTGCTTGTATGCGTGCCTGCTTAGTCCTAACGGATACCTCCACAGCTGATGGACTTCAGTCAATCTTCCCTTGGCTAAAAGATTTTCATTTTATTGCTGATGGCGCCGTTCATCTCTTGGGGTTCTCTTCTGCTTCATGGCTTAAAGTGCTTGAAATCCTTTCGGAAGAGGAAAAATATCTGGAACAAGAACGCGAACTGTTTATCCCTAAGGGCTTGAACCTCGGATACTGGCGACGCAGTCACGAACCGTACCTTTCGATGTATTCTAGGGTGGCGCGACTACTGGATCGAGTGTAACTCGCTTGGAGCCTCAGATCTTGGTCAGGGAATCATATTGCACGTCTAGCAGCTGATTCCCATCATTGGCTACTTGTTTCGTTCAGCAAGGACAAATGTCGCAATGTTGTTTTGTATGTTAATTTGTTATCGAAATATATCATTGTTACTCTACCTGATCTTCTCATAAGACACAAGAAGGGAAATAATCAAGTCCGAGACCGATGCACACAAGTTTATACAAGTCCCACGTATATCTGTTGTGGGCACGGCGAGGTCGATAGTGCCTACTTGGTGAATATCACGCGCACTTGTTCCCACAAAGCGTTCGAGTATTCGAGCATTTTGGACTTGCTTCCCACCGGAGTAGCAAAGGACATATGGCGGCGCGGCTATCCGAAGCGGAAACGCGTAATTTGGTATCAAGGCAAAGGAAAAATAAATAGAAGTGTGTAGGACGCGGAGCTAATTATGGAGATTTTAGATGTTCACGGGATGGTGTTAGAAAGCGAAGGAAGGGGTGGAGATTGCGAGAGTGGACGAGAGATGCAAAGAAGGCGAGCTCTACGAAATTTTGACGTACCATTATGGATTTGGTGTCTGTTCAGCACAGTCAATTGTTATCACGGAGTTTACAGAAAGAAGATGAAGATGACTTTTCGCATTGTATATTTTCTTCGGTAACGCATGCCAATAATACTTTGCCTTTGCATTCGAAGCTCTGTCATAGGGCTCTCAAGTCCACCACTGCTCCAACACGAGGACAACCCGAAAGCGGGATGCATAAAGGAGAACAAAGTCTCAAGGCTCAAACTTCCTGCAATGCTGCGAGGGGAAGACTATACTCAGCACACGCTGAAGCTAGCAGGAAACAAAATAAAAGTCGGTTAATTTGTCCGAGCACCCCAAAAGAAACTGAGGTGATTCATCAATGCATCAAGACTCATGGCAGCAGTGCTTAACCCCCGACGGTCGCATTCTTATCGAGGAACACAGAATGAGTTTCCAAGTAACTCCCAAACAGCACCAGGCAACGGTGCGAAAGGGGAATGACAGTTACGTTTGTTTTCACCTATCCGAAATCGCGTTCACCTTCAATGATGTTATTGGCAGTGAATAGGGCAACAAGCTATTTCCTGGGCGTGTTCCTGAGGAAATAGAATAACATTTAGTGTCAACCACTAATGGCTTCGAAAAATGTTCGTATCTGCGGGAAGAAACCGGCGCCATCTGTCAAAACAGGGGTTTATTTTCGTATCATGCAGTCGAAACGTCGGAGAAGACATGTCAGGTTACCAGCGAGAGCGCCGCTCGAACAGATAAGTGATAGTCTCACACAGCCCCAAGAAACAACCTCGCCGTCATCAGACTAAAGAGTCAGGCATCAGATTCCTTGCCTGCGGAGTAACGATAAGGACGGCACCGATAGAACCATGTTTGATCTTGGACCTGGTATCAAAGCGCAATCGTGCCAACAGAATGGTATCTCCAAGGGTGACGTGAATCTACATCTAGCTGATGGAGCAAACGCTGTATTTGGCTGGGCATTTAGATCGTCAAATCATTGTGACAAGCCACGAGGACTTGAGTCGGTCACTGGATTTCAATTGAGGGTTATCTCAGCTGTCAATGCCACTGCTGCGCACGAGAAAACCGGTCTAATATGAACGGCTTCTGGATGGAAACGGTACGGCTTGCGGATGGCGCCTACGAGAACGTGTACGTATCCACATCACTGTCCTGTTTGAATGAATGTGTCAATCACGTAGGATTATCCTGTCAGGAAGCCTGGGTTTGACTATGCACAGCCATGATAGATGACTTCTTCGTCACGGCGTTTTGGTCGAAGCAGTGCGGGCCTACAGCTTGTCGGATGACATTTGACTTGTTCCGAATTCGAGCATGTTCCACAGATCTGACTAACCCATGCCAGACAGCAAAAAAGAAGTTCTAATTCAGGCCAAGAAACTCGAGGGTACCGTATTCTGCGATATAGACGTGCAAGAGGAAAACCAGTCGTGAACCCGCATGATGGTAGTCTGATGAAAAGTTGAACGTTCAACCGCAGGTGATACATAAGAGCTCGATCATGACTTACATATATATAGATAGCAAACAACATTAGAAGGATTACTTCCTCTTTGCCATCTGCAGGGTTAGGTTGTCGATGTACATCTGCAAAGTCGAATTCTCGGACGTAAGTTTGTCGACATCTGACTGGACGCTGTGCACTCGTGCAACAAGTGCTGAAGATGCGAGATTGGCGACTGTATAAACTGATATCCAGGAAGCAAGTACCTTGCAAATCGCCCTGCGCAGCTGCAATCTCTCTGTAGGATGCCAATCAGAAGCTGGTGGTTAGAAAGTTAAAGGATAAACTGACTTCAAAATCCTCTCCTTCCGTATCGCATCCTTTACTATGTCGCCAGGTTGATGCTCAGGATCGCCCCAGGCTATAGCGGCTCCGAAATCATTGAACGACATGGTTATCACATGCCAAGGGTGTTCACTTAGTAGTCATTACAGAAATTTTAATGAGCGCACACAAACTAATCAAAACTTCAATAAGCACTACTAGTACTTAGTACTTGGCGTTAATAATTCATCATACTACTAAGTATCATCAATTTAAATGTTTCTAGATGGCCCGACGCCAAGCTTAAACCGAGATGCGGAATTTAGACGCTGATGTCCATGGTCAGGGAATGCCTTGACTGAGTAACGTCTGACCTCCCGCTTCGCATGCCAGCAGAGCATCTACTCCTTCTTATCTTTCCCAGCACTAGGACTCCCTTTGGTCTTAAGCTCCTCCTCCATCTTGGCCAGCTCTCTCGCCTCTACACGGCGTGCGTATTCCTGTCCGCCCTGTTGGAACAAAGTCAGAGATAGATATTGGGCGGGTGACATAAGACATGAAACGGTGTTCTGCGATGCACCCTTCGGGCAGGAAATGTTATGGATAAATGGAGCTGAAAAAACTGGAGTGGACTAGCGTCACGCAGGAAAGCAAGTGTGGGAAGAAGAAAGAATTGTTTGATGATTACCTGGAGAACCAGAATGGCACCAAGGACCACCATCATAATGGTGTTGCCTGCTGAGAGTATTCGCAAGGCTTCGATACGGTCCGCACGTGTATCAACATCTGCGGGGGTGACGATGGTTCGCAAAGATGGAATTGACACTGCAAGGTAGACGGCTGCTGCAAAAATGTATCCCACTAATCACATTATTGAGCAATGTATCGAAGCGAGTCAAATTGGCTCCTACCCAGACTTGATCCATCAAAGAAGATGGCACTCTCATCATATTTATGCAATTTTGCAACAAGTCCTAAAATACCAACCCCCATGAAGCCATGTAGCACGGCCTGTAACAATGAGCGTCATCCTCCTGACATTACTGTTCGCAAATGAACAGACCTTGATTGCGGGTGGTGCATTGAAGAAAGTTGTATAAAATTGGAAGCCGTCTTCAATAGTCTCCTCTGTCAATTCCTGATGCAGAATGCGGTAATCAACGAAGAAGCATATGAAGAGGACTCCTGTTAGAGAAATACGGAGTTAGATCCATCGGAAACATGAGTTGAAGTCTCACCAAGAAAAAAAGAGCACGATGCAAGAACAGCGCCTTGTCTGAATCCCATCTTCAGGGTTGCTATGTCACTATTAGTACTGCGGCGTAAGTAACTTGTGTTCAAGACTGGAATGGACGGGCTCACCAAAACTCGGATCGTTCGCAAGGACCTCGGATTCAGGAAGACCTGTGTATTCTGCGGAATCCCCAGCCAGAAACGAAGAATAAGTATAGCGATAAGTTACGGTTAGTTACGTCTGGTGCCGGGAGTCCCCACCAACTCTATTATGTAAGCAATGACCCCGATTTTTGTGTGCCTTACCCTTGGCAAGTCCGTGAGTCTCGCAACTTGATACTTAATTAATGAGTATTTTGAGGGTGATTCATTCTCATCATATGTGAGAGACTTGCGCGTTATTTGTATGATAATATCTGGCAGGATCTGGCTTGATCATGACAGGTGCGAGTTATTCAATCAGAGGAACCCCCACATCTTCTTCTCTCGTCAGGGTGCATCGAATCACCTCCAGGCAGGAATTTTGTCTAGGAAGCGACGATCTCTAGGCTAATGCGTTATCGACCAGCCAGGTGCTCATCGAACCCAACGATAAGTAAAGTCATATATCCATGTATGTGCAAGTTTGCAACTTGATGAGGTTCCCCTTTGAACCTTGTATACAAAGTTCAGATCCACGGTGTTTAAGTTCAAGCTGAGTGTAGAATGATGATCAATAGTAGCTCCCACACACACATTGCTTATACTTACCACCAACTCACCACGCTATTTACAGGCAGTAGCAGCACTGTATTGTCATCCATCGCCTCCTTGCCGCTGCATATCCGGAGACCCTTGGAGGTTTGATCATAACCTGCATACCTGCGATTAATGTACTCGTTATCCCAAGTTGCACATGAATTGCTGCAATATCCATTAGCGAAGAAGAGAAGACGTAGCAAGAATGTCACTCGATTAACAGACAAGGCTGGAGTCAATGAAGGTAGATTCAGAATCTTACCGACGTTGCATATCATTTTTTTCATTCGTCCTAGGTCTAGGGTGTTCCTATCAGTAAGAAGACATTGTCTACTTCTGATGATCTAACTACGGGAGACTAGGACATTCCAGACACAGTATAGGTGTCGTCACCCTAGCGCCTGATTCTTATCTTCTGTATTTTATCCGACTGTACACTTGCCCTCTGGTGTCCAAGGGATGAACACCAGCTGGTAAGTCTACCGTCGCTGTAATATTAGACGATTGTTGGCAATTATACGAGTAAACGCTCTGCCCTACTCTTGTTTGCCTTAAGATATTCGTTTACTCGCGAGTCTAGGGGTTGCCGAATCAATTTTGATGAATCACAATCAATGATCATTGATGATCGACAAAGTGGAACAGTACAGGCGTGGCAAGTGTCGTGTGATACACAATCAAGTTGTAAGACAGGAGGAGTTAAGAGGACATGAAACTTCCCTGCATATCCAGACGAGAAGCTGGCTGCATGCTATTTCGGTACTATAATCGCATCCTCATGCTAAGAATTTGAAGGTAAAGAGGCGTGAGGCAGCCTTGATGCGTAGTTCTGTGAAAGGGTGGATGCAGGTCGGTATCACGAGCTAGTTTGTGCGGGAAGTAAAAGAATAAAGGAGTGACGAGGTACTGAGAGGTGGGATGCTTCGATGGTAGCTTGGGGTCTCAAGCTCGGGTCGGGGTTGAGAGGAAAGAACGGCTGTCTGAGAGTGAGAGGTATCTCATTCGCTTGATGATTGAATTAAGAATATTTTCAGGAGTGCGAGTCGTTGGGGTGCTGAACTCTGGCGCTGTCTCCATCGTCCACTGAGAAGAAAATAATGTCACCAGAACCTCCAGTTCAAAAGAGGAATAATCATACCTTGCGCAGCACTACGTCGTCGTCACTATCACTAGTAACGACCGCTGGAGGACCGGGCGTAATATCTCTGAAGACATTGCCAAGCTTGGAAACGGTTGAGGAGGAGGTGAGGGTCACGATACTGTCTAAGCTGTTCCCAGGAGATGAGATGGATGGCGATGACAAAGGAGTCTTGAAGTCATCGGTATCGTCGTGCGAGAAAGCAGGAGAGCGAGCGTCATCACGAGCGGTTGCCAAGGAATACTCTTCACTAGTAGTCGGTGTACAGGTTTCTGCGAGCCCCAGAACGTCGCAAGCTATTCTATCGGACGCGTGGAGAAGCGCTAGGGTAGAAATGCATAAAGTAACGACGGCGAGTTGTGGAGAAGCCTGTTCTGCTTCTTTCAGTGCATGGCGGGTGTAACGAACCACAGTTTTGTTGAATAGGACTGCCGAAAGAACGCCAGTCATGATAACTCGGGCGACACTAGTGGAAATGAGAGAGGCAGCGTTCATTATGGATAAGTGTGAAGAATTTAGTCGCGATGTTTTAACTGAGCTGGTGGTTCTCAAGAGCACTGACAAAGCTCCAACTCGTATGTTCCGAATATTTGTTTGGTTGCGTGCAGCGCGACTCACGTCACGTGTGCACAAAATCAAAGTACATTCACCAGATCAGTCGAATTTAACAACACTATAAAATACAGGTGCACTTCCGAACGAACTACTTATATGAAGATCAATATTGTTCAAAGATTCTACATCCCTTACACCACCTTCTCCACACCAGGGGGAAACTTGTAGTTTCCCTGGCGTCTGACCTCGTCGAAGACATCCATCTCCACCAGGCTTTTATCGTGTCCCCAGAGCGAACTCTCACTCTTTCCATCGCGCACACACCGCGCAACCTCATCTGCCTGAAAATGCCATCCAGTGCCAACATACTCAAATTGCCTTGTCTCCTCCTTTGTCACTTTATTGCCTTCGAGGTACTGCACAGTGAAACTCTTCGGGCAGTATATCGGCGCTGCAATTGTGATCATACCCTTCTCATATCGAATTACGGCACCGGTATGATAGGAAGCTATGTTCATGTTGCATGACAGAATGGCTTGTGCAGCTAGTTCCCTTTTGGCGAAAGTGACCGTGAAGGAGGTGTTGCAGTCGACCCCTGTCAGAGGGGTTTTCAACATTGTCCCACTGACGTTGCTGGGAGCAGCTCCTTGGTTATAAGGGTGCTCATACAGGGCGAGAATGGCCTGTTATTGTCATTAAGGGAATAAAGATAAAGATAATTGCTGCCTTACCCAAATAAGAGGATATGGTCCCCTGCAATAGGTCAGATTACTATTCTCCGCTATAAGATTTACCTTGTGTACTCACAAATCCAGTAACGCGCCACCACCAAGGGCAGGATCCAAGGCGCGGTGAGTCTTTGGAATTTCTGTTGTGCTCCGTGAGATTTGATGTCACATAACACAATACAACATCACTCACCGTTAAGTTGAAAGTCATCCGACAAGTCGGCTTGGAGAGCCAATGGTGCACCCAATACACCACTTTCCGAAATTTTCTTGACCTCGAGTGTAAGAGGCTGGAAGCGTGTCCAAAGAGCTTCCATGAAGAACACTCCATGCTCTTTTGCAGCTGCAAGAAGCGACCGAAGCTCAGCTGCGTTTGATGTCACGGGTTTTTCGCAAAGAACGTGTTTCTTTGCCTTGATCGCGTCGAGCGCGTTTTCATAGTGAAGAGTATGAGGTGTGGCTACACAACACCCTGTAAGTTGAGATTGACCTAGATATGAAATTGAGTCAAACCAATGTAAACTGCATCGACGTTCTGTGCCACGTTTCGTTAGGTTGGTTGCTGCTCTGACGGTATTCTACTCACCGGGTCCGCAAAGACACCAGCATAGCTCCCATATGCTTTAATCGACTTGTCACCCTTGGCATATTCTGCGATGAATTTTTCCGCTGATTGGACGCTTCGCGACCCAACAGCAGTCACGTTGTGCGCTACATCAGTGACATCACGGCTGTATTTAACAATGTCATTCGATTGCGCGATGGACAGCAGAATGGCGCTGACGTTTCGGGATCAACAAGAAGATCCTAGTAAACCACACTTCTCAATTAGAAAGAGAAATGGGCGGATATGTTCAACGCACTGTTACGAAGCAATTGGCTATCCTGCCAGTTGAGATAATGCCCCAGCGAAGAATGAACGGTTTGGTCATGACTGGCTGTGGCGCGGAATAATGATAGCCTGTGAATGCGGGGATGTATTGGGGCGGGTTAGTATAACCAATGTAGATGCGTTCTATTGGCATTATATATGCCTTTGCAATGGTGGTCCAAGTCACGGCGATGATCAGCTGATTAGGGGTTCGGCCCGACTTAGTCACTGCAGTCCGCTGCATTAATGTGGTAAAATTAGAACCCAATTAGCTGCAATCCATCGCACCTGGTGCCTTTCACATGCACAACTCATCCACACGTCTGACCGTATCATCCGCCACGGATTGTCACTGAGGGATCATCTATAATCCCTTATCCCCGATTTTTGACACGCTCTGTTCGCGACATGTACGAAACTCAGGATGTCATAGCGAGCATCCTCCCCCAGCTATTTGAGCATTCGGATATCTTGGTAACCAAACTCGCCCCGGAACTCTTCCAATCCATCCGGAATACACCTCTTGAGACCACATATCCCACTAACGCGCTCATAGAACGCGCCATCGCCATCATTCACGCATGGAATGCAGATGAACAAGCAGAATTTATCACTGCACATCCAAGGATCGGTCAAATCAAACAGCTCTCTGCGTTGAGTGCCAAAGAGCAAAGTGGTGGCCTCTCTGCTACCACAAGGTTGCAGACACCCCCAGAGGTGTTGAAACGGCTAGAACACCTCAACGCGTGTTACGAGCGTGTGTACTCTGGACTGAGGTACATCACGTTCGTAAACGGGAGAACTAGGGCCGCAATTGCGAGGGAGATGGAGGACAAGTTACAGCTTGGGCATCCTTTGGAGAGCTATCCAGATGGGCCTCCGCTGAATGAGCCTACGGCAGAAAGCCTGATCTGTGTCGCGAAGAACAGTGAGGATTGGTTGCACGAACTGACACGAGCGGTGGATGATGTAGGGGAAATTGCTAAGAGTAGACAGAAGTCATTGGGGTTGTGATGACATCGAGAATATAAGATTGGAGTTCCGTATGTACATTCTGCCATTAAATGTCCAGGGAGACTATAGCAAACATAATCACGGGCAGATCAATGAACAAATAAACACGAACACGAACACGAACCGAACAACAAGGAATCGCAGAAGGAAGCGAAGCATAGAAGTACAACAGTATCGCGAATAAAAACTCCAGCGCTGGGAAATAAATAAAGCAAAATACCCTCTGAAATGAACAAACTATCCGTTTGAGTTCGCCTCGCTAAATGCGAGTCGTCTGTCGTCGTGGTATTTGGCCTTTGTCCGCCATTTCTTTCCACTTTATATAAAATTAATCCATCGAATTGAGATATGTTTGCAAAAATAAATGAGACGTACCTGTAGCGCAGCCTGCCTCCTAGATTCCCACTCTGGGTGGCAGTCGCGCAGTTCTTGATAGAATAGCTCAACCATTTCCACGTATCGCTGCTTTTCCTCTTTTATACGCTTGAGGTTTTCGTAGAAATCTGCACGTTCTTTCATACGAGCCTCGCTGCGTTCCTTGACTTGACGCGCCCACTCTTCGCGCGTCTTGACTCGCTTGTCGTGCTGCTCATCCCAGTGTTTCTTGTTCTTCTGAGCAAGCTGAATACGGTCGTCGTAGGCCTAAAACAAGGAAATATGTTGGCGTCCATCATTCCAACAGAGGCATAACCATGATTCAAGACACACCTTCCTTTTCACTAGATCACTGAGCACCTCAAATGCCTCGCATACCTTGCAACAAAATCATACCATCAGCATCAGCATCAAGCAATCATTCGCACCAAGCTCAGACCACCCATACATTTCTGAACCTTCCCTCTGCAGCCCGGCGCTCTTGCTCCGACACGGTAGGTTCGAGTTTGTCAGGGTGCGTTTCAAGAGCCTTCTGTTTGTATGCCCTCCTCACTGCGATTGGAAGTCAAGATCAGAAGGACAAAGTAGATTAGATTAGTGCGAACCATCATCCGTAGAAGCGGTAGTTGGAATCGCAAGGACGTCGTACAGCGTGAGTCCTACCATGGATGGGCAGATGCTATTCGAACAAGTTTATCGATTCAAGCTTGCCTCACGGGCAGATCGACAGGTTTTTGGACCGCAGTAAACAAGAAATGAGAGCTGTGAGTAATAGATGCTAGTAGTCAAGCAGAGGTTGCAGAACGGATTTTAAATTCGAAGCAACTTCTGAGAATTTCAAACTTGAACCTTGTTTGGACGCCCGTCACCAAATTGATGACACGCGACCGTGTACATATCTCACGTGATGAGTACTTCTGTTCACAGGACTCTGCAAACTGCACCAGATGGCAGATACTAGGCGTGTCATGTGAAAAATTTGTCTGTTGAGTGGGAAAGGTGAGCGCTCAACAGATCAAATGCTGAACTGATGCAATCGATTTGCGGTTGGAGGCCTTGCAGTGTCAATCCATCAATATTACACCTCGCACTTATGGTCAATCGTCTATCGACTTGTATCATACACTGCACCCCGTCACCATTTCGTTTCTGCTGCCTCTATACTCCCAGTCGCTTCAGCCACGCAAGAAGGCCCACACCACCTGCATAAACCTTTCCGTCTCTTCCAGATGCGGGACATGCGCTGAGTCCGCAAATTGCACCCATCGGACTTTCGGGATATGCTGAAAGAAGGGCTCCATAACCATGTCGTTGGTTACATCATACCTCCCGTTGACGAGCAATGTCGTCGCCTGAACATTGTGCAGCCGGTCGATCACGTTCCACGTCTTTAGAGAGCCAGTGATGTTAAATTTATTCGGTCCATAACTGTCCCTCAAAAGTTGAAGATACGTGACACAGATGGACGAAACACCTACATGGTTGAGTATACAGTCGGATCATTTTCCATCCATGCAAGCCCGTCCACCAGGGACTGAGGTATCGGGTCGAGCCTACACGAATGTCGCTTGTAAAATGCGTTCATTGCAGCAGTATACTCTGGATCCGTTGTTGTATCCGCCGCCTTGTGCTTATTCAACGCATCCTGGAATTTTTGCGGTAACCCCTTACTCAACTCGTTTGTGGCCTCGACAAACAGCGCCATACTCGCTGGCGAGTCAGCAATCACCAGTTTCCCGAGGCCTTTTGGTTGGCGCGTTGCAAACTCTGATGCCAGCATCCCTCCCCAGCTCTGTCCAAGTACGCTATAGTTGTCATGGATGTTTAAGTGGTTCAGGAGGTTGTGCAGCTCGTCGACGAAGAGCTGCACAGTCCAGAAGTCCACGTCTCCGTTCTTCTCTGGGAGATGCGTGGAGCGTCCATTGCCGATTTGATCATAAAGTATAACGGGTACGTCGAAGAGACGTGTAAGCTCGGAGAGGATGTCGAGGTATTCGTGGGTTGAACCGGGACCGCCGTGAAGTACTACAAGAGGTGGGTTGTGTGGGTGGGGGAGAGTACCATACACCTTGTACCAAGTCTTGCAGGGCTTGCCCGCACCAGGAACGTTGAAATCGGCTTCACCTTCCCTAACTTTGATTGACGACATGGTTTTCTATGGTTTCTGGCTTCTAAGCGATAGTGAGCGGGTTTCGTAGGTGGATGATGATTCCAGTGGGCATTGACATTTATCTTATGATGGGTCTAGCATGAGAGAAGGTATTTATAACTGCATGGTGATATTCATCATGATGCGCCCATTCTTCTCATTGAAATAGTCAAGCTTGAGCTTTAGATTCCTCAAACATTTGGTGTGGGCCATGCTGCAATGTTTGATACGAATCAATCGCCATCCGATGTCCACGTCGCAGTTTGTCAGAGTGACATCAAACATTCTGAATGACTTGGTATATCGTCTTTTTGGTGGTACGTAGTTAACTTGGACCTAGATCAAGAGTGTTATCTCATCTGGCATCAATCGTGGTAGTGCACATGGGTTCCGACTTTTTTAAACGCTCACAAACGATCTTTTTGTAGAGGTTGAATATATCGCGGCTTGTTCTTGCGATTAAGTATTGCCATCGATATCCTCTTGCGCATATTATACATGTGTACATGTACACTCCGATGAGTTGTGCACACTGTGGAAAGGAAAGCCCATGAATTTAAGTAGGAGAAAACGTTGAAAATCAATAGAGAGAGCCACTGAAACTAATGAGGTGGCGCAATGAATCGACGGCCATTGAATCCCCCGAAAAGACGATGGACATCAGTGGCTGAATCACTGATTGTTGTCGACATGGCCACTGAATTCAATGCGGCAAATCACTGACTTTCGATGGTGCGGCCACTGATTATTGACGACATAACCATTGAATTTGATAGGGTATGTGTATTTAGCAAAAGAATATGGCACCAAGTTATGGGTGCCCACAGGCCTGTATACTCCATGTACATGTACCATTTAACCCAGGATAATTTGCCATTGGGAGGGATTGAACCCAAGACCTCCGACAATGATAGCTGCATCATTGTTACTGCTGGGCCACAGGACCATTTCTATATATCAACAATAATATAAATATATCCAACGGTCACATGACAAAAAAATGCCAACATGTCTACCTTATCCGAGGAAGTGACAATTCCACTAAGTCCGTTTCACTAATGAAATTCATATCTCACATCACATATCATTGTTTACACCACTGAGTGCTCACACTGGCAATGAAATCTATGGTATTAGCCGAAACAATGAATACTCTTGCTGGTGGATTCAGTGTTACACACATTGAGGCTCATCGGTTCAGTGCTCGAACCACTAAAATTTATTGTTTCTACTTCCCACAGTGTGCATTGGCTCAACGTTTCGATCTCGATCTGATTTTTTGCTTTACACAAGCTTCATATTGCTAAGGGTGCGTTTCGGATCGATCCTACCATTCGCGAGGCATACATGTCCTGTCTCTTCGACACATGTATCTTATTATCGAATGCCATTAATGCTTTGTGTGTAGAAATTGCAAGGTAATGGATGATGTCACACTCAAGTACATCGCACTACATACAATAGAACGGTCGCAGATGCTCCAGCTAACTTCTTTGATTACGATGCGGTCATTATATTCTAGAGCCAAAGCAGGTATGTTTATTCATTCCGTACACAGGGAAATCATCCCCCTTGCAAGTGCATGGCGTCATCCTGCTAAGCCAACGACAGTACAATCAGCAGGAGAATATCTAATCTGATAGTTCTTTTTCCTTCACACCATATTTTGCAGCGTCGGTGCCATGATGTTGATGGTTGACGAAGTTGAACCTAGAATAATTGCTATGAGTCTGGGACTGCACATCATGGTAACATATGCTCGTACATGGGGAATGCGTCTGCAAAAACTCAGAGATTTAGCAGGAAAAACGCTGGTTAACATATTCCAGCGATACTCACGGAATTTCAACTGAGACCATGCAGAGTTCCGGTATGCAGTGCCCTGTACCCACTCTGGCTGGCTGGATGTACCATACAAAGGCTTACCCTCAGCTGCCCTTTGGGAAAGCTCGGCCAGATCCAAGTCCTCCTCTCGTTTGTTCTCTGACCAGCCCCAGAATCGGACTAACAAAAAAACAATGAGACTGCTCACGTCTTGCACAACCAGAGTAACTCACAACTTGAGCGTTGATATGCCAGCAAGAAACCACCAACGAAGCCAAGGAAGCCTCCGAGCCGGAAGCTGGTCCGCAGACGAACTTTTGCAGGGTCAGCCATATCTGAGGACAAGGACAATTCATATAAGCCTGATACAAAGCGTTGTGACTGAAACAAGAATGCGTACCCCAGAAATACAAAGCAGCCGGGAATGCGGCTGTTCCTGCAGCCCAGGTTGCATAGTCTGACGAACGGAAATAACGCACAACACGGAAAGCGTGTGGGTCAGCGTCGATGAGCGGGTATGGTGTCGTGACGACCTTGTTCGGCATGGCGACGAATGTTGATAAAAGAATGAACTGCTGTCGTCGTTGTGTGCAGGAAGACAAGGTCACGGTTCGTCGCGAACAATGACCGGCCCTAAACCGGGAAGTGCCAGGCCTGCTCACCAAGTCAGTCCTATGATTATAACTTGTCCTCAACGTCCTCTGTTCTCTGTTTCTAGTCGCTGGTCGCCCGTTCTACAACGAGCGCAAAGCGGCCTGCAATTTCTTAACTCGCTGGCACATTTATACACTCATTGAGGGAGAATGAACGTGGACAGACGGAATGACCGCCGGGCGAAGAGGACTGCCCATTCATCTCCTTACGCTCGCCCAACAAAACACAGCAAGCCAGTTCCAACGAAGAAATCGGTGAGCACACGGTTCATGTTATTGTCTTCTATCTGAAACTTTGTCTGACATTGTATGTCTAAGCTATGGAGCATTTCCGGTTTAATGAGCTTCTTACGATTCAGTGGCACCGAGGAGGATGATCGAACTGAGGATCTGGTGCGCTCAGGTGCCTCGTCCTCCAGTAATGATGAGGACGAGGATTTGCAGGTTCAGGAACAGGAGGGGCCCTCTCATATTCCGGCTCGTCAAGTTCAACTTGATCGGAACTCTGCGCCTGAATTTGTGCTCCCTCTTCCTCCTGGTGATGTACCGCCAGGGCACGAGGTTTGTAGTCCATTAAGTATTGTCTGGTCTGGTAACTTTGATTCACGAAGAGTAGCCTTCCCAGGAACTAGTTTACCCGCCTGCTTGGGATGCCCAACAACCAGGACCTTCCAATGGGACATCCCAACCCGTCACTCCCGCACGACAGCCTTTCTACAGTTTAAATACACCACCTCACCAAACCAATGTCCCCCCCTACTTGCAGCAAAGTCCGTCACTTGCTAAGAACCTTGAGCCTGTCACTCGATTCCTTGTCGAAAAAGCAGGACGGCCTCTTAACGAATTCGAGGCAGCTGGAATAGTGGACTACATTCAAAAGAACGTACAAGGTACGAATTTCCTGCTCTCAGCATGCTGTATAAGCATGTATTCATGCTCAAACAGCAGACAAGCCGGAACCCTTCCGATTCTCGACATCTCCGTCGCGTGGATCCTCTCCTAACCTTGGGCTCGGGACATCAAATGGTGTATCAAGTGACACACACGCTCCGAAGAAGACCCTTTCACGCAATCCCAATGGCGTATTACGCTGGCAGGGTGCGGGTAGCGCACGCCCACGAAACCGTTATCGATCGCCTGGGTTTGGATCTCGGCCTCAAGGCCCTCGTATCGAGCTATCTCCCATACGGACACCTTGTGCAACTGATGGAAAACGTCGCCGTGTGGGCAATGAAGCCGAGTCTTCGACTGCACAGAAGTCTGCGCCCCCATCGTCGATGTCTAGCATCGGTTTTCCGACCTCAAATTCTACTTCTCTCACCCGTTCTACACCTGCAATCAATGAGAAGACTATAGTTCCACCAGTGTCTGCACCGACATTGGCTCCAGCGGCTGTTGTTACACCAAAGGTGAATGGAGCAACTACGCCTCGTTTACGCACTGCGGGTCTTTCTGTAAAGCCCACGACCCCCGCTGTACCCTCGCCTTTACGACAAACGTGGAAGCAGAACGATTCACCGCCACAACCTCCAGCACGACCCACGCGTGCTGCAAACTATATGACGGGGCTCATTAAGGAAGTCACCCCCCTCAAGAGACCTGACGTGGCGAACCCGTACCAGACTGCGAATCCTGTAAAGATGCCCACTAGGAAGCCTCCCACGAGACGCTTGCGCCCGCCAGCAGAGAAAAAAGAGAAACAGCAGAAGGAGCCAGAAGTCACCGCGCAGGCGATTATTGAAGCTACAGTGCCGAAGGTCAGTGGGGAAACTGTGATTCAAGTTTAGGGGCTGGACTGATGTTGATAATAGGGAAGTAAGCGCGCAAGGCCTCCGCCAGATATGGAGAGGCTAGAGAAACCGACCCGCGAAGCTCAGGACACATATGTCCCGAAGACCAATGGTCATAGCGCAAAGTCAATGGTTACTGCCGGGGAAGTCTCAGACCAGGACGAAAGCCCTACAAAGAAGCAAAAGACCTCGAAACCTACTTCCGTCGTGCTTTCCGTGGAAGAGGTGGAGGATGTTGAGATGGTTCAGGACAAATCTTCGGTCTTTACGCGGCCTGCCGAGATTGTCGAGCCAGTCGAAGATACCTCTTCGTCATTCACTACGCCGAGCCCTACACCGTTCTCGCATACTCCATCTCTGGCCTTGCCGATGAAGACTGCATTTGGAGCCAAGACGTCGGCTCCTAGGGAACCATCTAAGTTGCGGTACAGTTACTACGCAGACAAGGAGACTGCGTCAGCTGAGGACAAACCAATGTCTGAGGCGCCGCCAGCACCGTTGATGGCATCCCGTAACCTTCCCAAGGAGACGCAGACTAGGTCCTTCAAGGCGAAACTACCCCCCAAAGAAGCTGTGGCAGCCATGGAGGTCGATGAATTGCCGAAGTATAGCTTCAAGCTTGCTGAGGCTGCCTATCCCGCTGGGCCCAGCCACGTCAAAGCTCGCATCGCAGCTGCAAGCATGTCTCGGCTCTCCCTCCCTACCTTCGAGTTCAAATCAGTACCACCATCCACAAACGGGTTCAACTGGACTGCAGCGGGCATGAAGGCACCTGCCGCTGCTACCTCTGGTACTTGGTCATGCGGCACATGCATGCTAGAGAACCCTGACAGTGCCAAGGATAAGTGCACAATCTGCGATGCGCCGAGGTCAGGTAGCACCGCACAGCCTGCAGCTGTACCTCAGAAGACATTTGACTGGTCAAAAACTGCTGTCAAAACGCAACACTTTGAGATTTGGCAGTGCGATACTTGCATGCTGTCTAATCCAGACAGTGCGAAGCTTAAATGCACTGTCTGTGATGCGGCCCGTCCTGGCGCTACTTTGGCCCCAGCTTTTGACTGGTCTGCTGCAGGGATGAAGGCCCCAGGCTCATCGTTGGATACGTGGACTTGTTCCCTCTGCATGCTGAAGGTCCCTACCAGCGCAACTAAGTGTACAGTTTGTGACACTGCGCGGGACACGATGGACTGAATTCGCAAGAAAGCGGCGTGGAGAATCATTAATCAAGTCGCATATACATTCTACGTCAAGAACATAGATGGCTTTGGGATCAGGACGAAAGTTGCATATTGACGCGGTACTTCTCACATGTAACCATCAACTTGTTGTCCCGAGCGTTGTCCTGTACTTCATTCCACCGTGTTTGTTTTTATCCATTACCACGTTCAAGTTTAGTTCATACATATTCCCTTATTTCCTACATTGCAAGGCTAGTCGCTATATACACGACCAATGAAGGTGCGCGGAGTCATTGGTGGTCAACACAGCGATCACGAGTTTTTCGCATGTTGAGTGAAGTCTAATCTGCGAGCGAGTGGTCTCAGGTCGGTGCCATCGGGGGAGGTCAATTTTCGTTTGAGCTTGTTGGGCGCAGCGGCTTTGACGCCTGGCCCTGCGCCGGCCATGTCAACGTTACCATCGAGTTCTTCGAGAGGGCGGGATGTTTGAGAAGCAGGTTTAGGCAGCTTGGAGGGGTGGGACGGATGTGGCAGGGCGAAAAAGTATGCGTGGTTGAGAGCGTCTCTCGCGCTTATGCGCTTTCGAGGTTCGTACACGAGAAACCTGCTAAGAAGATTAAGCGTATCTCCAGAAGCGGCAGTGAAGAGGTCGCGAAGGGGCGTTCTTGGGAATTGTCCAACCGGCACATAATCTGGCAGTTTGGTGTGGCCCTTGTGAAAACATAAGATACAAGCATGACGTAGATGATCATGCGAATACACACCGGCCAGTCCTCTTCTGTGGGGGTTCCGAGTGCCCGGAAGATGGTTTTGAGTTGGTCCATGTCGCTCTCACCGGGAAGGTACGGCGTTCTCAACATGAGCTCTGCAAATATGCAACCTACGGACCATATGTCGACCGCCGAGCTATAATACCGACAGCCAAACAGCAGCTCTGGTGGTCGGTACCATCTGCGCACGTTGAGGAACGAAAGTAAACCAGCGACTTGAAAGTACGCACCGAGTGATGACTTGACACGTCATTTTATGTCCCGGGTCTGCGAAATCTCTTGCTAGACCAAAATCAGCTATTTTGAGTTGTCCATCCGATGCAATGAGTAAGTTGTTGGGCTTTAGATCCTGTTAAGATACTATGAGTGGTGAAAGGTTGTGAGGGGCTTGTAGCATACTCGGTGAAGCATGAAATTTCTATGGCAAAATTCCAGCCCACGCAAGGTCATCGCCATCCATGCTTTGATATCGGCAGGAAGGAAGACGAGCGACCGGTCCTGGATTATCATCTCAAGGTCGCTATCCAAGAATTCCAGCACGAGGTTAAGATTCGTTTTTGAAGAGAAGACGTCCAAAAGCTGCAAGGAGGATGGTCAGTGCTCACAAAGAAAGTGAAGATGTATTGGCGACGGACCTCGATAACATTCTGGTGGTGAAGCTCTCGTAGATATTTGACCTCTCGAATAGCAGACATGTCGAGCCCATCTTTGAATTGTCCGACTTTTATCTTCTTGATGGCGACTTTGCGGCTCGTTGATGCCTCTCGGCCTGACAGGAGTCAGAGAAAGGCTTGTTGCCTGGCACATGAGCGACTTCACCTTGGTACACGACAGCGTATGTACCTTCGCCGACTTTCCGGTCTTTCACCCTACAGCGTGATGAATTTTACCGAATGAAACTTGCAGAAAGGAGCTTACCATCGCTTTTGTCTCGCTGTGTTAGCTTTTTCAACAGCGTCCATGACAAATTTGAAAGAAGTATGACTTCTAGTAGTAGAAGTGACTTGTGTTGGCTGAGCGCAGATCTATTGTACTATAATAATAAGTATGTAGCGCCATCTAAAGTGGCAAAGCCCGTTACTTGCCCTATTGTACCAGGTTTCCGCACACTGTACAATCCTTGCTGACACAGCAGAGGCGAAAGCCTTGCTTACCCTTTATAAGGACACCAATAAGCGATTTCAAACGCTTTCTCAGCCACGAGAGACTATCACCATCATGTTCAACGTTGCGACAGCGCAACAAGCGCAACAAAGGCTTCCGAGCAATGGTTTGGCGCAACGAACTCAAAAGATGAATTTCAAATTCGACATCTGTTGGCTCGCCATCAGAAAAATCATTATAACTATCCGCAGGCTTGTTAAACCCAATGTCGCCTTCTGGTAAACCTTCAGCGCGATACTCGTCAATTACTTGAGAACAAGCTGATCGACGATCCTGCGAATACAGGGTGCACATACCCTCAGACGTATGGCATTCTTCGTATCAGCGTCAGCAGAACTCCTAAGATTGAGGGACAGGCCATGAGGTGAATGTGTTCATATGGCTTGGAGCTCCACGGTTGAGAGGGGTCACAACAGTTGAGTCGAGGATAGTTGCCACGCGTAAAGGTGTTGGCCATCGACAGGAGATCTTAAGTACGTGAGCTGCTAATTGTTGGGTCCCCGGGAGGCCAAATGTGTATTATATGTGGACCAGGTCATCATGAGTAGTAGCATCGATTCAACAAGATAAAACATTTGTAGATATGTACGATATCGGAATGCATGACAGATTGAGACAACAAGGATAATATTCGTGCCCTTAATAGTTAATATCTTGCTGAATGAGCGCAATAGCTTTCGCAGAGCGAGGCCTAATACAGCACTTGAAGGGTTTGGGATGGCTGGGAGTACGTATTCAAACTAGCACTGCGAACGCGATAGGATGCACGACATACCTGATCGCGCCTGATGAGGAGTCAACCTCAGGGGTGTGCTCAACGCCGTTCTTCACGATCTTGGAAATATCAAACACTGCGAGCGACATCACGGTAGATAGCCAGACAGAAGCATCAGCGAGGTGGAGGCCTGTACATCAAAAGCAAGCAAACATCACAATACTGTTTTATTGAGGGTACTTCTGCATACCGGGGCAGATCCTGTGGAGCAGAAAGTTAGCATTCCACTCCAAATTAACTTCATGCGTACCGTCTACCAAAGCCGAAGCAGATCGTGCGAGGCTCGCGTTCGGGATCCTTTCCGTCATTGTCTAAGAAGCGTTCAGGCTTGAATTGCGAAGGGTTAGCATATGTCTGCGGGTCATTGAGCATGAACCTGGCATGCAATTGTATCATGTTGAATCCAGAAAAATGAGAGCACTAACCAGATGTTAGGTATGATCAAGGATCCTTTCGGAATGTAGTACCCGTCATAGATATCGTCCTCAGAGACACAGTGGGGGATCCCTGTCTTTAGGCGATTGATACCGCTCGGCAACGAAAAGAATACAATAAACACATACCTATAGGGATGACAACATTCCAGCGCAGGGATTCTTTCACAAGGGCCTCGATATAGGGGAGGGAGTCGCGGTCTGCAAAAGAGGGAAGACGATCAGTGCCAACAACAGCATCTATTTCAGCCTGAGCCTTCTTCTGCACATCGGGGAACAACGTCATCGCCAGGAAAATCGAATAGATTGTAGAAACTGTCTGTGGAGACAGATGTTAGTCTCAAAATAATAATCAACCTGTAATATAAAGGGAAGAGCTAACCGTGTCGGCACCACCGGTGTATAGGGATACAGCAGACCATTTCACCATGCTATCCTCTTCCGCAGACAAAGTTCGGCCTTTCAACAGATTCGAGGTGAAAGACACTGGGGCAACTCCGGCAGCCTGTGATGTGTTCAACTCGCGATCACCGAACTGTAGGTGTTGCTTACCATCTGATCCTTGACGAATTTGTGTGGTGCTTCAACCAACTCTTCGAGGGTCTGACGCCATTCACGGGCCAAGCACTTGAATCCAGCACCAGGAAACCACTCGGGAACCTTGGCCACTAGAGATAGTCAGGTTATTGCAAATGTCAGGATGCCGTAGTCTTACGCCATGGCATGATGTCAACCATGAAGGCACCAGTATCGGTGGACCGCGACAATTGGTCCATAGCGCGGTCTGCAAGGTCGACGAAGAGATCATTGTTCTCCTTCACCTCATATCCATGAGAGATTCGCAGAATGATAGCGCCAGCGGTGCTATACAAAATCAAGGCCCAATTCATGCAATGATAAACACGATAAACACTACATACTGTCGAATATGTGCTTGCAGTTGCTCGGGTTTTGCAAACACACGCTTCAGGAACCGGCGGGTCTCAATCTCCTCAATCGGTTCGTAGACAGCCATAGCAGCGCGACTACCGATTACGCGGTGGATCTTCTTGCGGTAATAGCGAAAACGATCACCATAAGAGAGAAAACCCATACAGTACTTCCAGCCAACAAGTTCACCACCCATTGTAAGAACCGGACGGTCAGAGTACACAGAGCTTTTTTTGTCTAGCAATGCCATCGCTGCCTCGACAGAATTCAGCACAATGATGTGCCGACCCAGAACTTCGACATGCGAGATGTCACCTGCAAACCACTGTGTAATTTAAATGTATCGTGTTGGGAAACATGAGGCACACCATATTTTTTGCGCCACTTGGCAAAGGTGAGCCAAGCCTTGTTGTGGGGCATGTCTGCGACGTTCCCAATGAGAGGCCACCCCGGAGGTCCAGGGGGATATGGTGCAGGATTCTTTCTGAATGCCTGCTTGACCAGATACACTCCGGCACCAGCAAGACATAGGTCCAGCCAAGTGATATTGGTGAATATCAGCATGCTAGCTGGGGAAGAGCAAAAGATCGTGTAGTGAGCGATGAGTCCAAGTCAGATGACGAATACAAGTCCCGCTCTCCACCCTAGAAAATGAGGGAACGATGCAAAGTTCAAGAAGGTGATTGATGGACGGTCAAAGAGCAATATGAATGTTGTGGTGGGCCTGGAATCTTTATGTTATCGCAGGCGGAATTTAGCGAGGAAAGATACGATGTAATCGTAGGCTGCGACTGATAGCGTTAATAACAAGACACGGAGACAGTAACTATAGGCCTACATAGGAAAGGGTCCAATCCGATTTGGGAGGATGGGATTATATTAGAAGATGACGTAAGTAGTCACCGTTACGCCAAAAGGTAGTGACACTGAAAGCTTGTGTTTCAGTATCGCGGGCAGTACTATTTGTGTAGATTATAGGAACTCTAGTAAGTCAGTGTGCTTACAGATGAATCTGGATGCCTCACGTGCCTTGGCCTCTCATATGAGCGACAACAACAAGAAGTGAAGACCATGCGTGCATGCGAGATACTGCACTCAGGACGAGAAGTTGTTCGCGAGCTCAGTTGGGGAAGTAGTTCAGGATGGCCACAATATTTGCGCAAAGCCTTGAACGGAAGAAGAGCATAATATGGGCAGGAGGCACCAGGTACGCTGATCAGGCTCGTTAGGTAGACCGTGATCAAACGCTTTTATGACATACCAGTATGTGTATTGTAAATCATTTCAATGGCAATGTCACTACGATATCTCTTTACCCTGTCATATAAAATACAAATCATGTGACGGATCTAGGTGTCAGATGTGAAATCGGTCACTCACAGCGAATAAATCCCTCCTTGTCCGTTTCGTAACGAGCATCCTGCTAAATGAGCCCAATGGCTTTCGCAGAGCGAGGCTTAATAGAGCACTTGAAGGGTTTTTGAAAGCGTGTTTATCTAAAACAGAATCTGATCAAGGATCAAGCTTGGGGGTGATCTCAACACCGTTCTCGACGGCCTTGGAGATGCAAAAAGAACGGCGAGTAATATTACAGTAGATATGCAGGTCGAGGCATCGGCGAGATGAACTCCTATCCAATCAAAAACAAGCGAGTCAGAGGACTGTATTGATCGACACCTTCTGGGTTGGTCATACCTGGGCAAATACTATGGGGCATTTGGCTCGAAACTAACTCCAGGGTCACCGTCTGCCAAAGCCAAACCAGATCTTGCGAGGGTCCGTCTCAGGTTCCTTTCCACCCTCAGCCAAGGTGTGTCCAGGGTCGAATTGCGAGGGGTTAGCATATGTCCGCGAGTCATCGGCCATGAACATGGCATACAAATCTATGATGTCGATCCCAGACAAATAAATACGAGCACCAATCAGATGTTAGGTATGATCAAGATCCTTTCAGAATGTAGTTCCATCATGGATATTGTCCTCGGTGACGCAATAGGGCTAGCCAGATCGATACCGCTCGGCAATTAAAGAATGCGATCTTATACTCGAACTTCGCGTAGAGCTTATCGGAGTCAACCTATTGGAGCTGATAGGTGACTGAGCACGGGAGAAGAGTACGGTTGAGTCGAGGATGGTTGCCACGCATAAAGGTGTTGGCCATCGACAGGAGATCTTAAGTACGTGAGCCTGCTCCTTGTTGAGTCCCCGGGAGGTGCCATCAAGGTGCCAGATGTGTGTGTATTATATGTGGACCAGGTCATCATGAGTAGCATCGATGCGACAAGATATATATGTACGATATCGGAATGCACGACAAACAAGGATAATCTTCGTGGCCTTAATAGTTAACATCCTCCTGAATGAGCGCAATAGCTTTCGCAGAGCGAGGCTTAATAGAGCACTTGAAGGGTTTGGGATGGCTGGGCATACGTCTATTCAAACTAGCACCGCAAATACGATAGGATACACGACATACCTGATCGTGCCTGATGAGGAGTCAACCTCAGGGGTGTGCTCAACGCCGTTCTCGACGATCTTGGAAATATCAAACACAGCGAGTGACATCACCGTAGATAACCAAATGGAAGCATCAGCGAGGTAGAGACCTGTACATCAAAAGCAAGCAAACATCACAATAATGTCTTATTGAGGGTACTTCTGTGAGTTGGACATACCGGGGCAGATCCTGCGAAGCAGAAAGTTAGCATTCTACTCAAAATCAACACCATGCGTACCTTCTACCAAAGCCGAAGCAGATCGTGCGAGGCTCGCGTTCGGGATCCTTTCCGTCATTGTCTAAGAAGCGTTCAGGCTTGAATTGCGAAGGGTCAGCATATATCTGCGGGTCATTGAGCATGAACCTGGCATGCAATTCTAGCATGTCGAATCTAAATAAATGTGGGCACTAACCAAATGTTAGCCATGATCAAGGATCCTTTCGGAATGTAGTACCCGTCATGGATATCGTCCTCAGAGGCACAGTGGATGATACCTGTCTTGAAGCGATTAATATCGTTCGGCAATGAAAAGAATACAATAAACGCATACCTGTAGGGGCGACAACATTCCAGCGCAGTGCTTCCTTCACAAGGGCCTCGATATAGGGAAGGGAGTTGCGGTCTGCGAAGGAGGGAAGACGATCAGTGCCAACAACAGCATCTATTTCAGCCTGAGCCTTCTTCTGCACATCAGGGAACAGCGTCATCGCCAGGAAAATCGAATAGATTGTAGAAACTGTCTGTGGAGACAGGTGTTAGTCTCAAGATACAATTAATCTGTAATATGAAGGGAGCTAACCGTGTCGGCGCCACCGGAGTATAGAGATAGAGCAGACCATTTCACCATGTGATCCTCTTCCGCAGACAAAGTACAGCCTTTCAACAGATTCGAGGTGAAAGACACTGGGGCAACTCCGGCAGCCTGAGAAATGTTCAACTCATGATCGCCAAACTGTAGGTGTTGGGTACCATCTGATCCTTGACGAATTTGTATGGTGCATCAACCATCTCTTCGAGGGTCTGACGCCATTCACGGGCCAAGCACTTGAATCCAGCACCAGGAAACCACTCGGGAACCTTGGCCACTAGAGATAGTCAGGTCATTGCAAATGTCAGAATGCCGTAGTCTTACGCCATGGCATGATGTCAACCATGAAGGCACCAGTGTCAGTGGACCGTGATAATTGGTCCATAGCGCGGTCTGCAACATCAATGAAGGGATCATTGTTCTCCTTCACCTCATATCCATAAGAGATTCGCAGAATGATAGCGCCAGCGGTGCTAAACAAAATAAAGGCCCATTCATGCAATGACAAATACCACGTACTGTCGAATATGTGCTTGCAGTTGCTCGGGTTTTGCAAATATGCGCTTCAGTAATCGGCGGGTCTCGATCTCCTCGATTGGTTCGTAGATATCCATAGCAGCGCGATTGCCAATGACGCGGTGAATGTTCTTGCGGTAATAGCGAAAACGGTCACCATAAGAGAGAAGACCCAAAGCGTACTTCCAGCCAACAAGTTCACCACCCATGGTAAGAACTGGACGATCAGAGTACACAGAGCTTTTTTTGTCTAGCAATTCTATCGCTGCCTTGACAGAATTCAGTACAATGATGTGCCGACCCAGAACTTCGACATGCGAGATGTCACCTGCACGGCATGGAATTGAAATGTATTGTGTTGGGAAACACGAGGCACTCACCATATTTCTTGCCCCACTGGGCAAAAGTGAGCCAGGCCTTGGTGTGAGGCATGTCTGCGAGGTTCCCAACGAGAGGCCACCCCGGAGGTCCAGGGGGATATGGTGCAGGGTTCTTCTTGCTGAATGCTTGCTTTACCAGATACACTCCAGCACTGGCAAGACATAGGTCCAGCCAAGTGATATTGGTGAATATCAGCATGTTAGCTGATGAAGAGCAAGAGATCGTGTAGTGAGCGATGAGATATTGGTAAGAGGAGTCCTGTCCTGGACATTATATGCGTAGGCAGCTAGGCTGCCTACGTGTGATCAACCTATGTGACTGAGCACGGGAAAACATGATGAATACAAGTCCCGATCTCCATCCTAAAAAATCAAGGAATGATCCAAAGTTCAAGAAGGCGCTGTGACAAAGTTATTTGGCACAGTGATTGATGGCCATTATTGTGACCGGTCATTTGTGACCGGCTGACTGCAAACCAACAGCAATATTGCGACGGCCCTAGAATCTTTATATTATTGCAGGGAGAATTTAGCGAGGGAAGGTAATCGTAGGCTGCAGCCAATAGCGTTAATAACAAGGCATGGAGACGGTAACTATAGGAAAAGGGCTTACAAACTGATATGCGAGCTGAGGGGGAAGTAGTCGAGGGTGTCAACATGCGCAAAGCCTTGAACGGAAGAGGAACGCGATCATGACCAATAGGCAGGAGGCGCCAGGTAGCGCCAGGTACGCTTTTGATACGAGAATGTGTATCGTGAGTCATTCCAATGACAATGTAGGATATCTCGATACGTGGCACCACAGTTTTTGCCCTGTGATGTGAAATACAAATAATGTGACTGGTCTAGATGTTGGTGTGAAAACGGTTACCCATAGGTAAATCCCTACGTGTATGTGATCCTTGTGCGCTTAGTAATTAGCATCCTGCTGAATGAGCGCAATGGCTTTCGCAGAGCGAGGCTTGATGGAGTACTTAAAGGGTTTTTGTCTAGACCAGATAAGATATACAACATACCTGATAGAACCGGACGAAGGGTTAAGCTCGGGGGTGATCCCAACGCCGTTCTCGACGGCCTTGGAAATGTCAAAAATGGCGAGTAGCATCGCGGTAGATATCCAGGTCGAGATAAATACTGATCTAATCAAAAATAAGCGACTCAGAGGAGTGCACCTCCTGGGTTGATCATACCTGGGCAAATACTGTGAGTTTATCGGCCTTGTGCGTCGACGAGATGGTTGATGCACCATACAAATTTGTCAAGGATCAATGGTAACAGACATCTGTGGTGTTGCAATCATGAGTTAAACATTTTACAGGATAGTGGCATTGTCTCGATGCCTCACCTCGAATCTCCTGGAAGGTCGTACTTTGTCTGCTGAATACGGCATAGCATTCGGAAGACAGAGTTGGGATGGATGTATCTCGGAACAACAGGAGACGCTCACCCTGCGAATATACTTCTTGTCTCACCCTGCAAAGGTGAGCCGAGGATTGACGTGTCTCTTATGTTCCCAACGAGAGGCCACTCACGGGGGCCTGAGGGCATCATGCAGGAATCTTTTCAACACATGATCGAGCAGATATACTCCGATACCAGCGAGACACAGGTCCAGCCAAGTGACGTTGATTCAGAGCGTCAACACGACCCAGCAGAAGAGAATAAACAAGAAGGAAGCTGAGTGATGAAAGAACAGAAAAGATGAGTCCTCATGTTAAGTTATAGTCAAACTTCGCGTATGGCTTCATTACGTTGTCCGGACTACTACAGCCAACCTATAGGAGCTGATAGGTGACTGGGCGCGGGGGAACAGTAGATAGATAAACGTTGGTTGGCACGGTGAGTCAGGGATTAATGGACAGTGTGTCGCATCTGTTTCGAAACCCCACGGCAAAAAATCGCCGTGGCCATTGGAAGACTGTGCGGTCTCATCAGGAAATCCTTCCTGTGTTAACTTGAAGAAAATTAGAATAATTATTTGGGTAGGAAGATCTTTTACTTCTTGCTTTCCGTCTTCTTGCCTTTCTTTCTCGGCCTCTCTACATCATTTTCATCCTCGCCTTCACCTGGTACAGTGGCATTCTGGCCTTCCACAGCTGTCTTTTGTTTTTCCTGTGTCATGATCTTCTGCACAACCGTCTCCCACATCACGTCGTTAATCCCCTTCGCCTTCCCAAGTTGTTCTCTCAAGTTCTCTACCTCAGCTTCAAGCTCAGCAACGCGCGCACTCGATGCCTCAGAGGTGCCAATCGCGTTCGGTTGTACGAAAAACGCATGGTCTCGTTGGAAATCGGCTTCGGGGTAGTCGTAAGCGCTTGGTATGCCTCCAGGGGTCTTAAGGGGCGAATATCAACACAAGCAGAGTACCCATTTCAACAGAAGAAACCCTACCTCGCCCTGCACGGGAAGCATCATCGCCACCTCGTGCGCCTCCCTTGCCTTTGAATCTTTCATGCGATGAAACGGGACCACAGGGCGGATAGGAATGATGTCTTTTGCATCGGCGGAACTTCCAAGGTTGAGGGACAAGCTGATGTGTCCAACAAGGTCAGGCGGCTTGAGCATAGTCGTGAGATGGGATATTGACATGCCCTTGTGCGTCGAGATGGTGCGAAGGAGCTGGTGGGAGGCAATGTCGTAGATGTGGATGAGCCCCATGGCGGTACCCACAAGAAGAAGCGAGCTGGTCAGGGAGATGGTGAGAACCGTTATTGGTTGACTGTATTCGAGATGCGTCAGCTAGTCATACGCTAGGGAATGTACGAGAAAGGCATACTCGACTGATATGAGTCGTTTTCGACTGTTGCTGTCTTCGTCGGCGACACGGATGATATCGCTGACGCCTGCGCCTCCAACAGCTTCGATCGTCTGACCAGCGTGTTTTTCAGTTCGCTGGCGAAAAAGGTTGACTTGGTATATGGAGCCATCCGGTGAGGCAGCGAAAAATGAGCGTTCGGTGATGTCCCAAACTGCTGATGATATGGGTTTGGGGAAGTGGAAGGTAGTCAACAACGACTGAGAAGATAGATCCCAGATCTTCGTATCCGAGATGAACAAAAAGTAACTGCAGCTAGAAAGACGAGCTCACTTTTACACTATGATCGAGGGACGCGGTAAGGACACGACAAGTAGGGAATGCACCAAGGCCGCAAATGATATCTTTCACTGGTAGGGTGTGGTCTGATAGTGTACAATATGGAGTCGGAAGTTCATTTTGGGTGTCATTGTCGACAAGTCTATATTGCTGTCAACAACACGACAAGAACAAGAAATTTACAACGGACCTTGCTACAGACCAAACACTGACACCAGAGTCATCACTGCCTGAAATAAGGGCAGCACCGTCATGGGTGAATTTCAGGACATTAACGTGACGATAGTGGGCGTCCCAAGAGTTGTACAAGATGCCTGACGCGACCTACTGTCAGAAATTGAGCTGGGGTCCACCTGACATATTATATTCTCTGACGCGCCTCCCACAAATATATTCGACCTTGGGCCGTCCCTCCCGCGCAGAAGCTTCCCGCATTATCCAGCGCAATACACGAAAGCCTCTCAGGAAGGACTACTTTGAAAGCAAGTTGGTCCTATAATGCACTGAGAAAGATGGAAGCCATATCAGAAACATAAGACCTACCTTTTGGAAGTTGTAGACATTTAAAATAGATTTGTCTTGTTGTGCCGCGAGGATGAACCCTCCTTGGCCATCGCGCGTTTCGACGAATGATGTGCAGTGCGGTGCAGAGCTGGATTGTTTGAAGGATGCGAGCGACGTACCAGTCTGTACGTCATGGAGAACGATTGCGCCTGAGGCAGAACCGAGGGCCTGGGGTGCAGTGGCACATAGTACCACTTCTTGCAGAATCATAAATTTCGGAGATGTTGATGCGTCACGGTCAATAAAGTTTTGATCAGTAGCAGTCGTGGGAATTATGACTGAATTATTACTCGGAGGGCTCCCAAATGAGCGTCATGCAAGGTCATACGTTCAATATGAGCTGCACTCGCTTCAGGAACTTGGTCTTGTAGATATCCGAGTCAGAGTCAGAGTTCATTGACATAGTGGATATTCTTACAGAACCAACGAAAATGTTCACCGTACCTAGGATATATCATTAAGACTCAAAATGTACATCCACTATATATGTGTCCAAGTTCACGCGTTCGGTCACCTGGCAGAAATCCGGAAAAGGCAAATATTGTCATCCATGCCTCGAGGCCCCGGGAGACTTCGGAGGCAATAGAATGTCATAGACTCTGAGCCCCTTCTGCCGTTGAACGTTAAGCTTCTCCACTTCTCGTGCTAGTCTACCTGGACGACCATTGTATTTGTACTGCTCTTATCGTTCCAGACACTCTTCAAGTATGGCCACCAACCTCTACGAAACACTTGGCTTGAGCAGAGATGCTACTCCAGACCAGAGTATGTAGTCAAACACACAATCATAGGCCGAGTCTTGCAATTAACCACTCTACTGCAGTTCGCAAGGCTTATAGGAAGAAAGCCTTAGAAACTCATCCTGACCGCTTGCCTCAAGGCGCTTCTCCAGCGCAGAAATCTGCATCAGAGGAAATGTTCCGTAAGGTAACTTTCGGAGGCAAGGCGCTCATTTCTTCGAAGCAGATTGAACTCATCAAGTATTTTAGGTTAATAACGCTTACGAAGTCCTCAGCGACCCAGAAAACCGCAAGGTTCGTGTCAATTGTACTGTGTTATATTCTATTCTAATCATCTTTCAGACCTATGACCAGTACGGAGTATGGCCTCCTCCGACTGCTCAGGAGAGTTACACTCAGGGCAACTGGCAACGTCCTACTAGACAACCCTTCCAAGATCCATTTTTTCAAGACCCCTTTTCCCAACATCCAATTTTCGGTCGCAATCATCAAGCAGACCCCGGGCCATTCTTCCCATCTTCACGTCATCCGCACTTCCAGGACTTCACAGACCCTTTTATACTCTTCAATAGGATGTTTGGAGATCTCCACCAAGCATTTTCAAGGGATCCATTCGGTAATCCATTCAGCCATTGGGATGATGGTTTTTTTGGTCGAGGGTTCATGTCTCCAATGTCCATGTCTCCCATTACGAGTTCACCATTTGGATTCCTCACCGGGGGAAACGTAAATGTATACAGCTCTTCTTCCAGTGGGGCACTCGCTGGTGGCTCAAATGGCTCTAGATGGGTTTCTGAGAGCTACACAACCTCTACTGTAAACGGCGTTACTCACACCAAAGCTGTTCGTAGAGATTCACATGTCAGTGATGTTTATTTATTTTTCTCTATCTTGACAATCATTCGTTATTCATTAGGGCAACGAGCATGTCACCTACTCATTCCCGGACGGTACTGAGCGCCGCCTGATCAATGGGGCCGAGCAACCCTCGAACTCTAACCCTCTCCCATCTCGTCATAATAATCGTGCCATCGCTGCACCGCCACCAAGTCAAGACCCTCCACCATATGAAGCTCATGTCCCACCGCCAGCAGCAGGATCGACGCGCTCATTACGGAGCACTCATTCCAGGTCCCAGAACTACGTAAGGCAACGTCAAGATCCTAACCTCACATATGTTACTTACTCAATGCAGCCACAGGCGTCTTACGCCTCGCAGTATGCGGATCCGAATTCGCCTGGTACGTGTCCGGTTTGCGTGCGTCCACCAACGCTGACTCACGGTCGTGTTTTTCTTCCACAGGACATCGTCAGAAGAACAAGAGCCGTGATGGCGTTGACGATGCGCGGGGTGGGTCTGCGTGGAACTTCTGGAAGTGAGTGAAGCTATGATCAAGATGATGGAATTACTTTTTACTCCATACCTGACCGCTCATCCTGATTGCTTATGTTTCTGCTTACTCCTGCGATATATTTGTTATTTGTATGTTTTCATTTTGTACCTTCATCCATTGTATGTTGTATTCCATTTTGTTACCTCCCTATGGAGAACTCGGCCGTGTCTTACTGATGTAGTAGGGCTGCTGACAATGGAAGAATTAACTATGCTCAACAAAATTTTCCAAATTTCATTAATCGTTATTACATATCTGCGCCGTGATAAACCAATACTTCAATCTCACTGCTCACAACCCTTCAAAGAAAGACAAATCTTGTGCAGTCAGCCCACCTGTCTGAACCGGCTTCGCAGGCGGCCTCTCGGCTCGCGACGACGACGGTGACAACGATGCAAATGATAATAGCGGCTGGGGCAACGGCGCAAGCGGCGGGGACGGCGATAACTGAGGTACCATCGTAGACCGCACCTTCGGTGGCGGTGTCCCAAACTTCGGCGCCGACAGCACTGCGCCGCCGTCGCTCAACAGATCCATATCCCGACCAAATGACGGAGAAGCAGATGGTGGTGGTAGCATGGGGTGGCTGGAATGCGCATTCAGTGGGGATGGCCACTGCCCGCGCTGTGTGGCAGCATGTTCGAGAAGACTCTGCGTGCGTATGTGTATAGACGTGCCAGGCCGCGAGCTTGGCATTGCCGCTACCGCTCCTCCAACCATCTTTGAGGGCTTTGCTGGGACGGGCGGCGGAGAGGGCGTGCGGATCTGCGATGAAGTCACAAAGTCGTCAAAGTCGTCGAAAGACATCGAATTTGATGACTTGCTGGAGTTCAGTGCTTGTGCAGAGGATGGTGAATTGAGAGATGAGTCTATGGACTCGCGCGGTGCTGGGAAGGGAACTGTGCGAGGGAGGGTTGAGAAAGCGGAGAATGAGTCATCGTCATCGTCATCATCCTGAAATGCGGCTGCTGCCCAGCCGGTGTTTGGGAATGATGTGAGAGTAGCTCCCGGTATGGGATGCACGCTGGGCCGTGGTGTCTGCGGTGGTGAGACAGGGGGTGGCAAGAGTGGTGGTATCGAAAGTGCAGAAGGCGCCTTGGGTGGCGGAGGAAGTTGAAGAGGCGAGTGCGTTCTTGAAGATGGTTGAGGTGGCGAGGATATTGCAGCTGGTATTATTGGGTTGGTGTAAGCAGAAAAAGTTGTATTAATTGGTGAAGATGGTTTTGGAGGTACCGCCGGGCTATGCGGACGCGAGAACGACATCTCTGACGTCACTGGGGACAATGGTGGCGGCAGCGATAGAGTACGAGCAGAAGCATGATGCGGAGAACTACGCGCAGGCTCCAGCGTAATGCCCAAGCCACTCAGACCGACGGAAGGAGGTCGGCTGGCGTTCACAGATGGAGGTTTAGGTGGTGGTGCGAGTGGGGGTGGAAGCTTTGTAGGCAAAGGTGTTAGATTTGAGTTTATCAAACTCGACAACGCTTTCAGCGGGGCATCGTCCGTGTCGTCATCGGGGTCATGTGCACTTGGCACAATATCGGAAAGGAAATCAAGGTCGTCTGTTGACAGAGCAATAGACTTGCGCTCAGATCCAGTACCTTTGGCACGTGAGAAACGGTTCAGAAAGCGCGAAACGGCCGATGGTGCAGGTGTGACCGTTGGAATCACGACATCAGGAGCTGCGGATGAGCCGGCCACTGGGGATGAAGGTACGAAGATGGTTGGAGTGCGAACGGGAGAAACATCACGTTTATCTGGCACTTGGGGCTTCGTGGTATCGATGCTAGATCGCGCAGGTATAGGCGGTGGTCGCGCATTTTCCACCTTTGTGTCTGCAGAAAGTATTGATGATGATGCCTTGCGGTTCCAGAACGAGAGCAATCCTGCACCAGGCTTCTTTGGATGACTTGTATCAGTAATAGTAGCGCGTTCGTCTTTTTCTAGGATTCGCCACCCCGCTGGAGCATCGTCCACAGAGATATCTTTCCTAGCTTTGACTGATTTCTCCCAGTCCGTTGATCCTTTGGAACTAAGGAGGAGGGCCATTGGGCTCTTACGTGTCAAAGGCATATGCCTCGTGAGCCTGAGCGCGTTATTTAACTCTTTTGCAGTGGCTGTATGTGAGAACTGCATTGGAGGGGACAAAACCATGTTTTCGGGAATCAAGTCGTTTAATAAAACCGCACTGAAGTAGAAAGTATGTAAATTGCACCGTGGGGAAATACTGGGTTATGTACATACATGTTCTCAAGTCCATCAACACCAGTCCTCCAGTCGCTAGTATCCGAGTCGGAGGCCGTCCCTGGCCAGAGCTCACCAGAGACTTCCTGGCACTTCTGAACGAGAGCTGCCATCATTTCTGGAGGCTAAACACTAGTTAGTTAGATTGACGCACATAGATACCATTCATACCACTGCACGATTCAACTTCTCTTTCTCTTGTCGCGCCGATTCCCATTCATCTGGTGGCTCTTCAGCACCGACAGATACCTCCGATGCAGATGTATCCACCCAAGTGGCACCCCACTCATCACCATCGTCTATTGAGAGGTTTATTGGGTCTGCCCATACTTCACTGTCATCTTCAGTTTCCTCATCTTCCCCTTTGACAGACGGGCTGGCTTCAAAATCAACATCTACATCAGGGCTGTCTGGAACTTGGGGAGTAAGATCGACTGTTGGTGGCACTAGGTGAGGCTCCACGGAATCTGGGGGAGCAGGTCCTACAACGTTGTCTTCTTCGCTGGCTGCGGGTACGGGACATACGACTTCATCTTGAGTCTCTGAATCAACAACTGCTTCTGTTATTCTCCGACGAGAAAGGTTCATCTTTGCGTACGTCGAAGAACCCCACACGCCACTGTCGTCGATGGAAGAGGTCCAGAGAGCGTCGCTGGTGTGAGATGATTCTGGCCATTGCGCATCGTTGCTTGCGGACCATGATGGAAGTCCTATGTCTTCCTCTTGATCCTGAGTTTTATTTCCAATGGTATAGTTCCAGGACGGTGTCGGGATGGGTGTCTTGCGATTGTTTGGCTGATTGTCTGACGGCTCCCAACTTGTGGCCCAAGGGTTGTTCATAGCAAGCAAGTTGAACCGGTTCAGGCTGCCACTGAAGAAGAATGTTTCAGCCGTTCACTCGCGACACTGGGCAGACTGTAGTTTGTCCAGGATGCAGCTATACATACCCTTACCCTAAAAGAATGTCGAACTCAAACACCTAAAGTGAAAGTTGCATAAGTTGTGGGGGGTCGCGTGGGAAATTCGGAATACTAATAATATTCGTTCTTGTACCATCACTGTCATGGCAGGTCGAGATCGTGCAAATTGGCTGGCTGCTCCGCCCTCAGTATCGGGTTGTTCGACCTCAGCCGCATGTTTATAACGACGATCTATCCTTTTGAAGGTCAAGCTGGGATCGATCTGAACAAAGACTTACATTTTTTCGGTACCATCGGCGGTGTCGTTTGTGTCAAGTACTCGAGTGTGTTCGTGGATTCATGGGAGCCCGATCAACTCTACATCAATCATCGTGCAACGCCCCGCTGGTTGACCTTGTGTCTAGAACATCACCCATCACACATAGCGGTTCCTTATCATGATGACGAACCGTATGCGCTGCAGTGGATTTCCATCAGGTCGGGATTGGTGTAATCAACTGGTTTCCATATGTTTTCATACGGAGCTTTATGAAAGCTATCTATGCTCGGCCGATCATATACGGTGAGAACTGCAACTAAACCCCACAGAATTTATTGAAGCAGAACTCTATTTTAGCATTCGCTGTGCACTATCCAGCATCGTCTCTGCGTGGAGACGCCAAATCTGACGCGAACCGGAAACGGCCGCCGCAGTACCTTGGCAAGTGGGATTAGGATCCAGTTTTTTGAGCTAAAGGCCCAGATCTGTGATATGAAGCTTCCCCCTCACCCACTAGCCCTCATCCAGCCGTAAACTGCCATCTCGGTGGGTCACAGTTACCGTATGCAGCTAGCCGGCCATAGGATGCGGTTGTACTAGTCGTGCCTCGGAACTTTTACTCCCACTAGGTATATAGGGTTAGTGATATCAGTTCTAAACAGAAGGAGAAGGTTGGTGCGGTCGACAAGAACTTTCGCAGGTTCAAAACCGCTACCATCCCCGCCACCCTAGCGTCCCTCTTATCCCAGCTAACAGATCCTTATCCTAGCACATGTGTGTCTGCAGCGGGAACCTAAGGACGTGGTCTGTCTCGCGATTCTTTGCTGGATGCTCTGGCTTGGACTTTACTTTTCCATGCCAGTCGCTAAGAATATCGAAGACAGCCTGCGTTTAAATTCAATCAACCCCACCGTGACGATATACTCAGCCGGTAGGGTTGTCCCTGCGTCCACGAAAAATTTGGACGGTTTCAGCACGACTGTAATGGTCAAGCACGTATTGAAGGAGAGCATGTTCGAGTGCAGGTCCTCACTTTCTAATATATAAGGTGGTCGACGTCGCTGCCAATGAATCTTTTAAATAGAGACAATGGCATATGCACCTTCTATAATAGTAATAAAGTCATGTGATTCGTACCAAAAATGCATGTGGAATTGTGTGGAAGTGCTTGATCCCTGGTAAATAAGAATTGACTGGCGGTGTCAGGTCTTCTCTCAAGTTGCCCTTGTCTGATCCCCCTTAGCATTCAGTCGCGGTTGTCTTCGCCATGGCCATGGACATTGCAAACGGTGAACGTAACATATTGGATTGGGATGAAGACCATGTCCACCGATGGCTTTCAAGTCTTGGTTTTGCGCAGTATGAAGCTCAGATCAAAGGTGCTGCTCATGTCATCTCCGAATGTTCAAATGTTGAACACATCCCATATATTAGAGCACAATATATCTGGTGATGTCCTTTGCATGCTAGATGCGGAGGATCTCAAGGCAATCGGGATAAGCACAGTGGGTCAGAGATTGGCCATCCTTAAAGCCGTCTATCAGGCTAAACTCGCCCACCATGTGCCTGTCGAAGCCGACCACTACATTCCTCCCTGTGCGCACTTCTGTGATGGCTACTACTTCAAAATTTGACTTTTATCTCTAGCCGAAGTGCAGGAACGCAATGTAACGGTGGAGAAGCTACATGACCTCGTCAAGGAACAAGGTCTGTCATCAGCCTTTTCACATCGTAGCACTGTGTTAAGATTATTCCATGCACCAGCACAAAAAGTTCATTCACTTGAGGAAGACAACAAACGTCTGAACGAAAGGTTTCAACTGCTTGTTGAAGAGATCAGCCATACTCCACTGAAGCGACAGCCCTCTTTCAAGTGGGCTCAGTATGTCAACCCTACCAAGTCACCAACCAAACCCGACGCTGAATCTCCCCATCCTTCCCCCCAACAAGTGGAACCTGACATTTCCCATAGTCGCGGGATCCAACAAAATCAATCCCACAAGCATCCACCAGCACCTGTAGAGTCACCTGTACAGCCGTCACCTTCAACATCATCATCGCGACCAAGCCGGCAAGACAGCACCGACAATCTCAAGAGTTTCAAGGTCAGTCTAGAGGACCCGACGTGGAAAGTGCTTCCCGCTGCCCTCAAGAAGTACAAGATCAACAACGATCACTGGCAGAATTATGCCATGTTCATATGTTACGGCTCCCCTGGTAAGCAGGACAGTTTCTACGATCAGAAATGTCTTATTTGGTCTGCAGGAAACCGCATCGAGCGATGTCTCAGTTACGATGAAAAGCCTCTTCTACTCTTCCAAAAGCTCAAAGACGCGAAGAAAAACCCTGTTTTCATGCTCAAGCACATCAAAGACATTCGTTCTCCTATCGCTGTTGCACAGCAAAAACACGCGTTGCGCAAGGCGTCCGTTGCATCCGAGTCATCATCTGGCCAATCGAACAATAAGTCTTCATCATCAGGACAGGGCAGAGCAGCCACACGGCCTCCGAGATTGGAAGTTAACGACATCACACCTCCTGCACCCCTGTTAACAGGCACAACACCACAAGCTGGATGGCCAGAGGTTATGTCGCCGGTACTGGAGAAGCAAGAACAGGAGGTTGTGAACAACCGAGACACATGTTCAACTTCGACGACACTCGTTGGCCATACGAGCACCATAGAGGTTCCAAAAACACGGACCACGAGCACCGCTGATGCAGACACAGCAAGGAGAGAGATGCCTCCACCAATGTCTGGAGTATCATACGCGGTTGCGATATACCCATATATGGCTGAGCAGGAAGATGAGTTTGACGTGGTTGTGTAGGTGTTTTTACTACTAACTAGCGCTGGCTATACTCAAGTCTCATCTAGTGGTGATACATTCGTCATTTTATCGCGCGCACGAGGGTGGTGGGTGGTACAACGGGACCCGACAGGTTCGGGTGTGGTCGACACCGACACTTCAAAGCAGGGCTGGGTACCTGCAGGTTGCCTGCTTGAGACTAATGTCCCAGTTGCATCCGCCATTGCAGAGGCTACCGCACTTTCTAAGGCAGCAGGATCCTCTGAGTTACCATTAGCAGCTGACTCTAAGACGCCCATCCTCCCCTTGAGCATCATATCGACGAGTTTCCCAGGAATAGCTCTTATGGACTACAAGAAGAAAGGGGAAGAGGAGTTGGATCTAGTGAAAGATGATGCGCTAAGGGTGTTCAAGAAATACAATCACTGGTCATATGTAAGTTATAGTTTGCCGTCTGTGATATCCAGCTCACTTGTTATGCAGGCTGTCAAAGAAGATGGTGGTGATCGAGGATGGGTACCTGTGCGTTTACGTTTTCCGTACCTGTGGAGCTCCACTAACCATCCTTGTCCTTACTAGTCATGGTTCATTGGCAAAGTGCCTACCCCTGGCGCGGTGCCACCGACGCCAAGTACGAGCTCCGCCCCCGCACTTAGCAGTGGACCCTCCGTTTCTCTCGACACTGAGGGTGCGAACCAAAATCAGGTTTCACCAATGTCCTCTGCCTTCCCCGTGCAACATAGAAGCGGTGTCATATAATGTCCATACCACAAACTGACAATGATTTCTCATGTACATTATTCCATCCTTCACTACTGATATTTTCTCATTCTTGGTTCCTTATTGGGGTGCTTTGTGGTTGATCTGATCGCGATGCTTTTTTTCTTTGGTTCGTTGGTCCGCGACGCTCTTCATCATTCCTTAATACCTACACATACTTACATATAACGCATGGTCATACTTTGTCGCCCTCTTATCTGCCAATGACGCAATCATATATCTAGCAATCAATTGAGTGGAACTCGCATGAGCATGCAAGGAATGTGGTGTCACCGATGTGCACACCTGAATAATTGACAATTAGGCTCGCAACCTTACCTGTCCTGTAGAACTAGTGAATGAGTCGATATCTTTTTGTATACAAAGGAACGAGAGATTGATGAAATGTCTTTCCAGTGCCTGCCATTTTAGGTAACCTGCGAACCCGGCCTCCATCACAAATGCAGTTTTGTGTTGACCTCGAGTTCTACCTCATACCAAGGATTGTCCCCTTCGGGGTGACATACGAAAAATTGGAACGATACAGAGAAGATTAGCATGGCCCCTGCACAAGGATGACACGCTTTCCCGGAGTGGTAGACCTACGGGTCTCAATATTTATTTTGAATTTTCTCAGCACATTTCATTTGCATTTCATATGCTGAACTTGCAAACGACTACTGATTCAATTGTACAGTTCTCGGACGTAACAACACCAACAACATAATTCTACTCTAATAACCCATTTAACCGATATCCTAGGTGATAAAAACTAACCTTCACGTATCGACAAAATCAGTCCAAGGACTCCAACGACTTCTATGGGAACGATCTGAACACCTCGGGGTGCTCATTCACCTTGTCCAAATGCCCGAATTTACGCCATCCACCCCACACTATTTTCTTCACTTTCGGGAACACTAGAGAGACTAAGAGAGCAATAGCTCTCGAAGTGATCGCTGCTTGGCTGAATTGATCGCAATGAAGCGTCCGAAGATGAGGAAGGCTCATAACGACATTTGACACAGTGGCCATGATGGGTTCGTGGGACCTGTAACCGGAAAGACGGAAAGATGTTAAATGGGGGCATAAAGCGGCAAGAGGTGAGATGAATGAGACATCGGGAAAGCTGGCAGGATGAACCTCGATAGTGAGATCTATCAGGGATGGCACGAAGAAAATATCCAGGAGATGATGGTCTTTGAAAACGTAGCAGCGGTAATCAAGTCGCTGCAAGTTTGGGAGGGGCGGTTGAGCAACAGGTGACTGTCGAAGAGCCTTCAAGATGTTGCAACACCGAGGTCCCCGTCCCGCTGCTACATGGAATCTCAAAGACCGGATTCGCGGGACGTATTTCTGCATAACCTCCCAATCCCTAGTGGTCAGGGCGTCTGTGCGATCCTAGCAAAATTCAGCTGTCAGTGCTCGGTAAAAAAAAACACTGGCGTTACAGTACCTTATGATCCCATCCAGATCTTGAGTCCGGCAAGTAATAAACTAAGGGGGTGGAAAGTATAGATCTTCCCATATCACATCCAAGGCGGGTTCATGGAATGTTTTGCATGTCCTCGCAAGAGTCGCTTGCCCAACATTTCCTCCTGGTTTATAGTAAATGACATCGTTCAACTGCAAAGCGGCATGCATCGCAAAAATCTGGAAACTCCACGAAACATATTAGAGAAAAGATGCGATTGTCGCTGAATCTGATTGCACATGCACTAGGCTAGAATTGATCTGGTACCCACGCTGAGGCCATCCCTGGAATGACCGGTTTGAAATGAAGTCTGAGCCAATGTCTGGGACATGACAAGGCCCATCGGTGTGTGCAGTGAATTGGGGGGCGGCGGGCGCGTTGGTGGGATGATTGGCATGGCCGGCGGGTGAGGTTCAAACTCCGCTGAGGTACTTGATCAAGCCCAGTTGTCCCATCCAGTCCGGCCAAATCTCTGATATTTTGGCCACAACGTTGAACGTAAGCATGAACCGAACACATGAGTTAGACATCTCTCTAGAGGATCATCTTCTGGAAGTTCTAAATGCTCTTCCGACTATCTTACCCGACGACCTGGCTGTTGAATTGTCAGCCTTCATAACACCATCAAGCACTGTCATTCCGTACTACATTCTCCTCAAGATATCTCAATGGTCTCGCTCACCATCAGGTCTCAAAGCACTGCAGAGCTCTTCGCTGGATCCTCAGTCTTATTCCATGGTTTCTCTGCTTGCTGGCACGCGAACATCACCAGAAAAGAAGTTTCCTGCATACGTAGCAAAGGATCCAGAAGCAGAGCGCCGGCAGGCAGCAAATGACAAGAAGGCAGTATCTACAGTCGTTAATGGCGTCCTCAGCGTTGCAGGAACCGGTTTTGCAACATGGTGGGCAAGTGAACGTACGGGCCTGCGCCTTGAATGGGTATGAATCATCCGCTGGGTGTTATCTGATGCTCATACATGTCCATGCAGAGAGTTTTGTTCGCAACATCCGTTGCTCTCGTTGTTGCCCTTGCAGAAATTATACTGTTCATGATATGGGACTCTCGCCGATCAAACACGAAAACAGAACGTGCTCCGCGCATACTATCGAGGAACGAGAAGCTCGTGAAAGACTCGGATAAAGCTGACATAGTGGATGCCACCGCGGCTTCTTCCAGCACAGACCCTTATCACTCTGCATTACGCCAACGCCTAGTTCAACCTGCTTCCATTCCTCACGATAGTTTGCACGAGTGACACGAGATCCTCCGTTTCCCACTCCTATCTCGGCGGGCGAGTGTAGTGCGATAATATCTCACATGTCATCCTGTGAAGTTAACAGCGCCTTCGCATATGCCATGCTGTGGAGCAAATAGGCAGTAATGAGTAACATTATAAAGATATCTATATATGTTGACTGGATCGACATTCATACGCCTGGTACATGTGCTGCGGAGCACGGCCGAGAGTTGTACAGCACCAAGTACCAACCCAATGAGTCATCAGCCCTTCTTTGTCTTCCTTTTTCTATTCCCCGTGCCACTACTCGCGCCGGAGGCAGGTGGCAATTCAACAGTGCCTCCTGCCGCTTCAGCGCTCGCGCCGTCCTCCTGCTCGATCTTCGCCCGAGCTTCTAAGAAGAACATCACATCTCTGACCTGATCCTGAAGATCATCGATCTTAGCCTGGTATTCTTGGCGCTGCACCTCCGATTGTGCGTTTGTCTCCTTCATTTTGGTTAGATTCTTCAAAAGTCCCTCACTAACGGCCTTCTCTTCCTTCAATTCTTTTTCAAACTTCCTTGCGATTTCTGCGATGCGTTCCGCTTTCTTCTCTGCCTTGATCTTGTCCTTGTATACCTCGTTTAATCTTTCTTCCTGTTCTCGATGATATTGTGCTTCGCGTTCCTTCGCTTCAGTCTTGTCCTTTTCTAGGTCTAGACTCAGCTTTTCTACCAAGTTTCGCAGCTCTTCCACCTGTGTCTTCAGCTCAGTTGTCTGTTCCTCGTAAAATAACCGCTGCGAATCCAACTGTGATGTGAGTAGATAGGAATACTCAATTCCAATCGCCTCGATCTTCTCAGCACTGAGAGAGTCTGCATGGCTTGGACCCAACGTGCCGTCATCCCGGGAATTGACACCCATCGAGGAAGCAGCGGAAGGAAGCTCGACGAGTTTACCATCCGCTTTGTTCTGAATGAGACGATGAACATAACCATCGCCCGCGTAATCCCATACGCGTTGTGTTTCAAGCTCGAGAGCATAGAGATGAGTTGTCTTTTCGTAATGTGCGTGTGCATGAGCACGGCCATAGCGCCCGCAGCCGATATTGCCACATATCAGACAGATCCACAAGTTCGTGGTGGAGGAACAGTCGGCGCACGTAGAAAGAGAGGTGGTGGCAGCATTTGCAAATGGGATGGGCCGTGAACGCGAGGTTGACGACGTGGGATGTGAGGAGAGAAGTGTTTGCGAATATCGACAAACGGGACATCTGGTTACAATCATAAGTCACTAAATGAGGAACTGCCATGAACTGCAGCATACCGGCTGTCGCCCCATTTACTAAGACACATGCAATGGAATGTATGCGAGCAAGGGACTGTGATGAGACCAGTGACAGCCGAATCCATCCTTTCCAGACATACAGGACAGGTCGGGAGTTCATAAACCGATTGAGGCAAACGTGCAGCAGCAGCGAAGGAAACAGATGTGTCTGAATCTATCTCGACAGATAGGACACGCACAATATGACACGTTTCGGGCTGTGGTAACACTCAGTGTCGAGCTAAGAGAAGCGTTGAACCACTTACGTCCATAGAATTGAATGGTTTGCCGTTGTATGCTTCTGCAAATTCAAGGGCTTGTTCGGCCTGCCGGAACTTGATGATAGCAATAGAGCGATTCGGAAGGGAGTCTCTTAAAATATCCTATAAGCCTCAGGATGTGAATGATTGGATGTAAGTGCACACCGGATGAGGCGAAGATGAGCCATACCCTCCGCAGCGGGTGCTACGAAAGCGAGAAAGTCTGATGGTGTCATCCATGCAGGAACTGCTAATACGCCAAGCATGGGGCCATCTTCTGGAATGGTCTCGCTTGTACTTGCAGCAGAGGGTTCATTAGACTCGTCCACACCGTTATGTCGCCGTTCGTTACATTGGCGGTACACATGAACTGTGCCCTCGGGCAAATTCGTCGAGCCAGACTTTGTTGTCCTATTAGGGATAAACTCTGCTGTAGATGGGCCTGAAACATCAAACAGACGGCTTGAACTCTTGTTCGTAAAATATATGATTACTCGCACCTCGCCCTGCTTGTTTCTCTTTACCAGCATACATAGCGGAATTCGAACCCTCAAAATCAATCCAGTCGAGTCTTATTGGACCAAATCTGTAATCCTTGTGAGCTGAGTTGAATAAAGCGTTCCTCCTGGTAGTTGATTTGGGGCGATGTGACGGTAAGCTTTGAAATAAGGCCTTCGGCGTGAAAGTGTCGACAGTGTCAGGATGCGACAGTGAATCATCAATAATCTTTCTGTACAATTCAAGTCGGATATGATAGCCGTTTAACATACTGTGGGCTTTCGAGAGGAGCCCATTGAGCGCGTAATGTAAGATGCGGCACCGTGCACGAGCGCCGCGGCTCAGCGCTATCAGTAGTCGGCTGAGTGTCACGGAATCACTTGTGATCACCGCCACTCCACCCTTCAACAAAGCTTGTTCCTCATCCAGATGGGCTCCGACCAAAATTCGCTCAACGTCCGCTTTTGCGAGATCTGTACTGGTTTTCTCAGCAAGAGCGGCAAGGACAGTGTCCCATCTCTAACAAGGGTACTTGATACGATCGCTGATGATCTTGCAAGGAGCGGGGACCTGAGGTGAGACCGTAAGCCACCTTCTATATGAATTCGAAATAAATAAAAATCAGGATTCGTATGGGGTCGGAAAACCCTTCAATATGGCTGTCCCTCCAACAGTTGTGGGATTTCCTCGCTGAGTATCCTTCAGCAGATGCAGATATCGCAGAGTTGCGCGTCCTCGTAATAAGCGTCGCCAGATTTACTAGGAATATTGTCGCAGGCGTTGCAGTGAACCAGCAGAATGCATTGTGAGTATAAAACATGTCAGTTGGTACTGATATCCTAACGGCCCGGCGAGTTTCAAGTGGAGTCGAGCCAGCTCTTCGCCGTGTTCTGCATTTGTACAGCTCCTGGTCTGCGTTTCAAGTTACGGATTGTGAGTCACCCATCTTGCAATACACATGTCAATTCAAATAGGATGCCTTTCATCTACAGCTTTTCCGGCTACTAGGATGGCCGTTCAAGCACTCTCGAACATTGTTACTACTAACGAGGATCTCACATCCCGCCTTTGGAGTACTTATCTCACTCTGCCTGAGGAACAGGCCATTCTCATGTAAGCCACCACAGCTACTTGCTGAGCTACAGGAGTTGACTTGTTTCTTTGGAACAAATCCAGTCGCTTGCTCGGCTCCCCTGACCATAAGACCATCCTATCACTCCTGGTACTTATGGTAAATTGCATTCACGATAGCACTGAGCGTCGGTACGTAATGTTTCGGTTGCTCTGTTTACCCTTGACCTGTTCCTTTTGCATCCAGTTCTTTACTCACGAAATCACGCGGGGGAGCCCGAATATGCGTAACGCTTTTGGACCGCATGGTCCTATTGTACGACGCGGAGGAATCCACTGACGGCGCAAAAGCATTTGACTATGGGTAACTGTAACTGTGTGTTGTAAAACTTCATAACGACTCCTCTTTAATAGGTATAATTTGTTTGCCCACTTATTTGATGGCGGTTTTGCACCAGATCTGTACAATTCATTGTCCGTGTACGTGGAATACTCTTATTTCACGCAGACAAAGTACTCATGCTCTGAGGCAGTGAAGGGGAGGTAATTGCGCAGCACCAAACTACTCTTCTCAAACTCCTCGACTCATACCTACAATCGTCTCAAACCTGTCCTGTACATTGCGATATGTGCCCTATGCTGTCGGAAATTTTCCTCTCGCTCTCGTCATATTCTCAGTCAGCTATTAAGCGAGCTATCAATCCCATCAATTCGGAGCCAAATTTGGATAGTTCCATCGAACACCTGCGAGAACTTGATTTATTACTGCCAAAATCATGCGAGGCACTCGTATTAGCAACTCAATGTATCGTCAAAATCTCATTACTATCCGAGGACCAGCGGACTATGGATCCATCCGCTGTAGAATTACGAGCGATCTTTCGAGATGCCTGCTCAACTGACGGTCAGTGCACCGCCAAGAGCATTATCGGCAAGTCTAGGCTGTCAAGCTAGATCAGAACATATCACCTGACCATGTTTATCCAGAACTCTTACGGCTTCTTGACGCGTTTCTTCCACGCATTTACTTTGGCAAGCCCGTCTTGAATCCTGCGACAGATCAAAGCATCCCATCGTCAGTCGCAGGAGCCAACGGATTCTCGTATTTGAAACGCGATCTTGTGCGTTTAGTCGGGGTGCTTTGCCATCGAGATAAGACATTCCAGGACCGCATTAGGGTATGCGGGGGCATTCCTGTTATTATGAATATGTGTGTTGTGGACGAACGTAACCCGTGTATGTCGAACTTTTTTCTGTGAATGTACGAGACTTCATGACGCTGAATTTCTAGACCTTCGGGAACACGCCATATTAGCACTTCGGAACCTGTTGGACAGCAACAAGGAAAATCAGGATGAAGTGAACAGCATTCAACCATCGGGATATTGGGATGAAGCGGGCATGTTGCGCGAGAAAGTCGGAGCTACGCTGAGATAGATACGACCAGCAGCTGTCAAAGCATCAGACCATGTGTAATTCTACATAGAACAACGATGAATGAAGACAGGTGGCCACAAGATTATTCGTCGTCATCGTCAAGCGCCATCGTTCTCTTTTTCCGTGCGCCAGACCCGGCTTTCCGAACCCTATGCTCCTCTTCCTCTTCTTCGCTTTCGATATCCATGTCTTGGTCACCATCATCTTCACCTGCTTCTGCGCCATCTTCCGCAGTTTCTGTTGTCCCCCCATCAATTCCGATGTCATGGTGTTTCCGTTTCCGGTCATCTTGCTGGCGCTGAATAATTTTAGCATCAAGCTGGTCCAGAGGATCCTCCTCTTCTTGCTCTCGACGTTTCCGTTTCTTCCTGGACCCAGCCTCACCATCAAACTCCGCATCGTCATCTGACTCATCCGCAACCACGAAATCGTCCTCCTGATATTCGCCGGGACCCCTTTTCTTTTGTTCATCTGCTTTACGTTTGGAAGCACCCAAATCATCATCATCTTCTGAACCCTCATATTCTGGTTCTTCTTCGTCTTCTGACCAAATATCGCGTCCCTGCCTTTTTCTCGATTGGCCGTACCTCTTTTTACGTACGCCAAATCCAGTGTCGTCAATTTTCTTTTTGGATTTTCGAGCCGATTGCTTCATTAATTCCATCTTTTCGCGCTCGGGGTCCATGGTTGGATCAGGAGCCATACGTAATCGAGCCACCTTGTTATGTTTCTGACCCACCGCGCGCACCAGCATACGATGTGTTTCGGATTGCATGCCCGTCGGTCGCAGTGTCATATACCCTGTGACTACAGCTTCGGCTTGCAGCACCTCTGACCGTTTGTGTTGTGCAACAAGATATGTTAAACCTTGAGATCTTGAGCTAGAAAGCAGACCTTGTGATGCTGGCTGGCTCTGTGATGGTTGCGACGACTGAGTACCTCCCAACGATTGGCGTACGATACCACCAGATGTGTCAACAGTCTTCGTAATATCAAACAGCTCCTTTCCTAGTCTCAAGCTGAGAGAACCGTCGGACCAACGGATCACGCGACTGTTTGATTGTCTTTTCTGTGATAAGCAGGTTAGGCGTCAGAGGCTTGTGGGATTTGAGTTTACATCACTTACATCTTGGCCAAATTCATCTTTAGTCCATCGCCAACGTACGGTGTTTTCGACTTTGAGCTTGATAGACATGCTCTTCTCACGGATATTCTCATTGTGGTGGCCATCATCTTCGTCGTGCTCTGGGCCAATGTATGTGTCCGGATGAAAAGGCTTTGAGTCCATTTTTACAAAGGTTGGCATTCTAATTACCCAGTGCTATGGAAGTATGGCTTTCAGCGTACAGAAATAATAATGAGACAATGTTACATACATCGCCGTCTGAGCTCTTTGGAACGGGAATATTGGGAATGCGCACATCAGCCTCCCGGACTTGTTCCACAACGATACCTGGCTCTTCAGGTTCCGGATATTCTAGCGCTTGTCGATGCTCTTTCTCCGTTTGTGAGAGATCGTCTGACTCAAATCCTGATTCGGCAGGGGTAACGGCAGGAGCACTAGGATGATAGCAGTTGTACTCGTCAAAGAGTCCTCGAACATAGTGTATTCACCTGTCTGATTTCGTATCTGCGGCATCGTGCTTTTCGTCTGCCTCGTTCCCAAAGAGGTCTTCCATTTCTTCCTCATGTGGTCCGTCGTCAAGCACCCCCGAAATTGCCGCAGTGTCCTCTTCCTCCTTCGGAAGAACGTCAGTGCTCGGAGGTTTCATGTCCACATCCCGGTCATTGAATCCTCCTGGGTTTGCAGGTGGTAGTCCGGTGGAGAAACCATGACTGTAGCTTGTGGGCTGGTACAGGGCACCAGCGAGAGATGACATACTAGGTTTAGGTTTGACTTGTTAGACCAAGTACTAATCCCTCCCTTCGAGCGTGAGTTCAAAGAGCCCCACAAAAACTTGTTCTAAAAAGGAAATCGTGTGCACTGCTAATACTAGTAGTGTACGTGTCCTGCACACTTTCAACGAAAGTTGATGCATATTCAATACGTTCATCTTTACTCCCAATCTCCCAAACAAGACGAATCATTCAATGTAATACTTGGCACGAACTGGTTATTTGGGGCATTGACATGTGGCAGAGGCAGTTCAAAATGCTGTGCTATCAAGCCCCAGTGACTACTATACTGGAGAGAGTAATAAATCTCATTCACGCCACGGGGCGGTTCTCTAGCCATGCTGCCATTTGTTGTGACAAACAAACTTATTTCGGTGATCTTCCCGCAGCGCTCAGCCATGGCCTGGTTCCGTTCCTAGATGTTCCGTGACTTGGACCCATCTGGACTGCCACTGTCACTTGGCCGTTTATCAAAGCTTGCCCATTTCTGTGTGGACGTTTCGTTTGGAAACTACGCCCGCCAGCGCGCTTAAGGTGACCGCGGAATCTAATCTCATCTCTATATTCCCTATAGTACAATATAACCTGACTCCATGATCAGTATACTTGCAATTGTACTGCTTAGCGGTATTGGTATAGGCCCTGTCTCACTACGATTCACTAGACATATTTCGTTATCCCGACAATCTCTTTGGAATGGGCGCCCCGGCCGCAAAATCAGCCACCCCCCTTGGCTCAGCACAGCAACTAGCTGTATTTTTTACCCATTCTATGTCTTATAAATGGAGCTCTCAACCGGGGAACCCAATCTTTCTTGACATCATCCACCCATGAGTGACACACCCTCATACAACAGCTTCGGCGGCGTCTTCAGTTCAGAAAATGATGTATGGGCCAGTTTGAATTTCGAGGAGCAGCAGCAGCAAATACCAAGAGCTTCGTATCCCCTTGCTCCTGTATGTATGCTCTTGTATGCTTGTCACCTCGCTCACCACCAGAATACACAGCAAATGAGTCCGATGGATACGTATGACTATGCAGATTACGTTGGATTCCCTGGCCAGCTACAGTCCGAGTTCCATGTACCGTTCCCTTCACACTTTCCAGATGCTGCTAGGAACGGGCTTCCTCGCATTGATACGAAGGCTGCTTTGCCGCGGTTATCGATAGTATCTGATTCTTCAACGACTTCAGCAGGGTCCATGATGCCGCAGACTCCTTATTCTTGGGCAGATGCCAGTCGCCTTCACGTCCATGCACCCCTAGGAACTCCATTATCTCCTTCAAATACTCAGTATCCTACATTCTCACCTTCGGTATGTCTCGATGAACCAATCACACTAATCATTGACAATCGATACGTCAGAAGCCGAAAGGCCTATCTCCTATTCCCTCACCAATGTCACCCCATTCGCCCGCCATGGGTAGCTCTGACGAGGGGTCTTTTTTGCAGGCCTTCGACGACGACGAGGTTCGTGGCAATTGGTTTGATTGATGTGCATGTTAAAAGATGGATGAATACAGGAAGACGCGCCTCAACCAATGGAACATGTCGTAAAATGGAAGGCCATTCGCGATCAAGCGATTATCGCCACAGGCACCACCATCTACATTCCTCAGTCGATATATCAACCATATACTGAGGCAGATCGTGTCCGCTACATTGAGAAAGCTGATCTTAAGGAGCCCATCATCTTTAAGACAGCACATCCTGACCAGTGGGGCATAGCACTCGATGACGCCCTGAAAGCTAAGATGAAAGACCTTCTCGATAAAGATGACAACATGTTCGAGAACTGCGGGCCCTCTGTGTCCATCCGGCTTCAGGTATCCTAATTCTTTCCTGGCTCGACTGTTTCCTCACATTCACGCCTTTAGTGGCCCGGGTATCGTGCATGGACCAAACAGATCCCCACGATGGACTTCAAAAGTCCGAAAGGTCCTATCACCAGAGCTAAATTGGCTAAAAATATCGCCAACTGCGTGAAACGATTCATCGAAGTATGTTTCACGATCCTTGTGTATCGTCTGTAAATTGTATCTCACATTGATTCCAGGAAAAGGAAAAAGAGCGTATGGAGATGGAAGCAGATCGTAGGTGGAGGGTTGGAACACGCTACATCAGAATGGAGGACCTTATCTTGGTGTCCCTGCACCACATCTCTAAGGGCAGTTGGCAGCCTCAGCTACGTCTACGCACTCCACTAGGTGACATTCAACTCCGGCGCCTTCAACCTCAAGCCCCGCCTTCCGCATAGACCTATTCACAGAGGTAAAGAAAATTCCTCGCCAATTCCAATGCTCAGTATGCGGTGAATACTCTGGGTGCCATCTGGATGATACCATGCTCTTGCCTGTTCCGTTCGAGTCTTTGGTATTCGCTCCATTTCTGTACTTCCTTGTTGGAAATGTCCTTTTGCTCTTTGATGTGTTCTCAAAATGTGCTGGTCGTTTATGGAGTTTCACGTTTTAGATACGCTTTGCGCGAGCCTCTCATTGCCATTAGACTTATACCTTTTTAACGCCGGGCTTCCAGGGTTTCGTTCTTTACTCGCTTACCCGTGCCGTTTGCCATGTATAGCATGACATTCCGCTATAGGCTTTATTCGGTCTTTTCTTGCTGCTTTGTAACTATTCCGATAGCTATTCAAATGACTTCAAACGATAGGACAATATTAACCTTCTACATCGATGGCATATACCCTGCACAACAGGACTATACTACAAATTGCGCTTCGCCGAAGACTAAGCACTTACAATCAGTACTCAATCAATATTTCGGTACCACGTGCACGCGTATGAGTCACAAGGATATTTATGGTACGTTTCATGTACATCATGTGTCGCTGTTTTAACTTTTCAAGCGACGAGAAACATCGAATAGAAGCAAACTTATCTGCTCCGCCTCCGTCTCGAATCGCTTTTTTGCTCTGTAGTCATGGATCTAACACAGGAGGTCTGATGACCCTTCTACCATCTCAACTATTATCGATGAGGCCGCATGGTTCACATCACTCTCACCCAGTGTACACTGCCAATCATCCCTCTAACGTGCGCATTTCATCCCACCAACTCTCTAAGCCTGGCGTCTGTCTGGGTCACACCAGGTGATAAGATCATCATTCGCCAAGAATTTTGGCCAGGGTAAGGTGACACCCTGATCCCTAGCAACTGCCAACTCTGATGCAAAACCGATGCAAAACTTGCGCGCTACACTAAATCATCGCATGATGCAGTCAATGTCATGCCACATTCTGAATTTTGCACAGGGGCCAGATAGATCCATCATGATGTTGTGATGCGGCTGATCATTTGATTTGCTGATCTGAATCTACTATCATGTGAGTATCTATACACAACTGTGCCACTAGCTAGGTATATCTTCATTGACCTGCCTCTTTCCCATCCCAGACCATTCCCCACTATGAGTGACGCACCTCCATCCGACACTTTTCCAGACCTTTGCAGTCCTGATGATCACAGTCATTCCGGGCAGCAACAACAGCTGTCAAATCCCCCACAATCAGTTACTCCTGTGCGCGTTCTCCTATGCAGTTGCCTCGCTCCCATCATGCAGAAAACCGGCCACACGAATGGAAGTCACAACTTTCATGTCAGCTACTGTTCGAGTACCACGCTGTACCATTTACTGCCACTCACGAGCGTCCTTTCTATTCAGGTCATGTTGAATTCTCTGGACAGCTACAGTTCGGGTTCAATGTACCATTCTCTTCACCCAGTCAAGATGCTACTAGGAACGGGCTTCCCCGCATTGATACGAAGGCCGCTCTGCCGCGGTTATCGATAGTAACTGATTCTTCAACAACTCCAGCAGGGCCGATGATGCCGCAGACTCCTTATTCTTGGGCAGATGGTCGCCTTCATGTCCATCCACCACAAGGAACTTCATTATCTCCTTCAAATACTCAGTATCCTACATTCTCACCTTCGGTATGTCTCGATGAACCAATCACACTAATCATTGACAATCGATACGTCAGAAGCCGAAAGGCCTATCTCCTATTCCCTCACCAATGTCACCCCATTCGCCCGCCATGGGTAGCTCTGACGAGGGGTCTTTTTTGCAGGCCTTCGACGACGACGAGGTTCGTGGCAATTGGTTTGATTGATGTGCATGTTAAAAGATGGATGAATACAGGAAGACGCGCCTCAACCAATGGAACATGTCGTAAAATGGAAGGCCATTCGCGATCAAGCGATTATCGCCACAGGCACCACCATCTACATTCCTCAGTCGATATATCAACCATATACTGAGGCAGATCGTGTCCGCTACATTGAGAAAGCGGATCTTAAGGAGCCCATCATCTTTAAGACAGCACATCCTGACCAGTGGGGCATAGCACTCGATGACGCCCTGAAAGCTAAGATGAAAGACCTTCTCGATAAAGATGACAACATGTTCGAGAACTGCGGGCCCTCTGTGTCCATCCGGCTTCAGGTATCCTAATTCTTTCCTGGCTCGACTGTTTCCTCACATTCACGCCTTTAGTGGCCCGGGTATCGTGCATGGACCAGGTCGATCCCTACGATGGATTCCAAAAGTCCGAAAGGCCCTATTCCCAGAGCTAAGTTGGCTAAAAATATCGCCAACTGCGTAAAACGATTCATCGAAGTGTGTTTCACAATCCTTGTGTATCGTCTGTAAATAAATCTCACATTGATTCCAGGAGAAGGAAAAGGAACCTATGGAGATGGAGGCAGACCGTAGGTGGAGGGTTGGAACACGCTACATCAGAATGGAGGACCTTATCTTGGTATCCTTGCACCACATCTCTAAGGGCAGTTGGCAGCCTCAGCTACGTCTACGCACTGCACTAGTTGACATTCCACTCCGGCGCCTTCAACGTCAAGCCCCGCTTTCCATCGCACACTGGCACTGAAGCGCGGAATACTACCTACCAGGAGACGGTCTGGCTCACGGTTTAAAACTCGCTTAATATCTTTCTTTGCTTTTCGATGTTTCTTCAAAATGTTCTATGGAGTGTTGCACCGCTATGAAAGTACGCGATATGTGTTTTGCATGGGCCTTCTCAGGCTACTGGATTCGAGTTGATACTAATGCCTGTTCACGATTGAGCTGATTTTTTTTTTGCCTTGAATATTATTGTGTGACAATCATTCTATGTTGTACGCAATGTGTTGCCCATCATGTAATGTAGTACAGTTCATTGGTTTATACGTGAACGTCAAACGTTAAAGCATGAACTTCTGAATCCGAAAGCATGGCCCCTAAGCATCTTAATTAGTCAGATTGCGGAGTTTGAAGCCGCTGACACCTCCCGAGCAAGGAATCCATGTACACTCTCCCGCCGCACTCATGCTCGTCGCGTATGACAGCGAACTCAATTGAATGCAATTTTGCATTTAGGCTTTTCACGTGGTGCGAACACAATCACTATTATTGATTTATGCTTTTGCAACCATTAAATATTAACATAAAAGCAATAAAGTGTAGCTCACCATGATCATTGACTCGGAGTTGGTCGGCATTTCAATGCGAGACAGCGCCATCACAGCGATACAATGCTAGAGATGCACATGAACAACCAGTCACTGAGTACTGGGGAAGAAATAAGAAGAAGTGAGCTTACTGACCCCAGGCATGGTTTGGGTGGCGCGCGCCTACACATACATATCGGGTTGGGGAAGTGGGCACCTTCAGGTTGTGGGCAGCTGTCTTCCAACTCCGCTTGAAGACACAGTATCCGAGTTTTGCACTGTTCCTTCTGAATTAGGCCCCCTCGATATCTATCTTAACCAGATTTTTTTTTAAAAACGTCTGAAGTCAAGCCAGGAATGCAACTGTGAAATGCAGACAGTGCAGACGGTCTAATTGCATCGTCACGTCTTACCTTTTTGCTGTGTAGCAACGTTCCCCATCCTCTTTGATTCTAAGGCTTACCCATTCTTTTCGCCCTCCCTGGCAGATGCTTCCCAACCAACTCCGATAGTCATGGATACTATTGAAATGACCTATCGTAACCTCTTATCGTGTATATCCCCCAAGGCTCAGAACTGCGTGTAAATTGCGTGGTTCGCGTTGTCAGGTTGTAGTCTGCCAGCTAATGCACATACTCACATCGCACCGGGCCCTCCACGCCGGCCAAATTCATTTAGGTATGAAACTAGACAGTGTACTGCCATCTGATACATTGACCTATACAAACCTTTCTTAGAGATATCACCTTCCCCGGGCCGCTTCCCCGCCCAGTTCCTCGAGAAATTGAACGGAGTGCGACCCGTTTTCTTGGTCGAACGAGTATCACGTACAAAATCACCTCCGCAACATCAATACTCTCTGCTTATTAATCTGGAATTCAAGTGGTACTTGTCCGACTCCGATGGTTCACCTACTAGGGATACTAACCCCAGCCTAGCGGTTTGATTATACCATTTATAGTTTCATGTCCGTTGTGGAGCTAAAAGGCAGGGCCCCTATTCACCATTATAATTAACCTGTACGCCAAATGTGCACCAACATGTCACCATTATCTTATGGACCCTGTTCCGGAATTTGTGTCACTCGGCGGAATAACCACGGCACACTGCCTTCCTGCCAAGTCACGTATGCAGGAAACCTGAAATCTTGTGCCGGCGATCGGAGATATCATGCCAGAATAAGACTGGAGTTCCAGCAAAGAGTTTTATCCTGCCGTGGGGGCTTTCGCGCCAGTGGAGGGGGTGAAGCTAACGTTAAATTACACTCGTAAGTGAAAAAAAATTATATTTCATGTATTTACGATCTGAGCTAATTGATATCTAGAGTCATCTACAAAGGCAGACCTGGGATTACTGTGCTACCCAAGTTTTTAAGTTCAGCCTCAAGGGTGTCACTTCGGGTCGCCGGTTTACCCGACATTCCATAAGCTGTGAAAGTTTTTACAGCAACTTGAAGCTTATGGTCTCCCAAGGAGACCGACTATTTGTTGTGCGCTAGATCTGGAGTATTCAATCAATTAGGTCGGTACAAAAGTTGACCGACGAGATTCATAAGAAATCGTAGAAGTGACCATCAGACGTACAGTATTCATCATTCATGTCCTTCAACAACGCCAATGCCTTTTCTTTCGACAAGCTTGCCACCCCTGAAGTACCCAGGTCGTTGAACGGCGGGACGATTTGGCTGGCTTCGCCGGACAATCGTACATTGGCTGGTAATGTCAGTTACCTCTTTTTCTTCTTGAAATGTCAAATCTTCGAACCAACTATCCTCGAAGTCACCACGCTCTGCAGGATTTCTGGAACAATCTCCGCGGCCTACTTCGGAGCTTTTGTTGGATTGGGATACCCTTTCAACCCTCATGACTTTCGACGGTTGCGTCCCACTACCGAAGTGTGATTGTGAAGTGCAGCAGCTGCATGTTTCCGGCATCACAGATGGTGTGTACGGAGACTATATGAATGATCTCAATGAGACCAGCCAGTTGCCTCCATTGGAGAGCCGGGTATGGTTTTTTGTCTTGTTTGATTCAGCGAGCTCTGATCGAAATTGCACAAGGATACTGTGGAAAGTAGTCTCAATAAACGTGTCGACGATTCGGAACAGGATCTCCAGCTTGCCATAGTTCCGCTTGAAACCGCTACTTGTGCTTGTGTTCCTCAAAGATTGTATCAGCCGCGAGGAGAAACTGAGCGAGAGAAATACGTGCAAGCAGCGATTTTATCTTCGCCTATCCTCTTCTATGCAGAGAAGCCACATGAGCTGGGTATAGCCTTGGAAGAGATTCTCAAAAATTCGAGATGTCTCAGCGATAGGGATGACCTGGTGTTCGAAGGGGGCGGCCGATCTATCTCAGTGAGATTAGAGGTCTGTCAAGAACATGGCGATCTGGACCTTATGAACTAATTGCTTGAATGACAGTGGCCTGGTTATCCTCCCTGGAGTTATCAGCTCCCTACCAGAGATTGTCGCAAGACACCAGGCCCCATCACTAAAGCAAAACTTGCAAAGAAACTTGCAACCTGCATACGCAAATTTATTCAGGTGACACTATACGTTTGTCTCCAATCATTTCTTTTGACGATTTTTCCCCCCAGAAAATGGCGAATCACCGCATGGAGGCCGACTCTGATCCTATGTGGAGGATTAGTCCCCGTCACATAAAATTTGAAGATCTCATACTCATCAGTCTAAATCATGTGTCGCAAGGAAGTTGGCAGCCTGAGTTACAACTTCGGCGACAGATGCGGGGTGCATCCAGCAGAGCTTGACAATCCTGAGGCTCGTTTCATTTTGGGGTGGGAGACGGTGTCTAATTCAAATTTCTCAGGCTCACTTGGAGAGTTCACTTCCCTCGCTGCCGAGAGTTCGATTTCTTATCTCTTGCGCAATCTCATATGCTTCCGTCACACCGGACCAATATTTCTTTCCAACTTTGCCAACGGCGGCCACTACTCGCGTGCAGATTCATTCTATTGCAAGCCATTACACTTTCCTCTTCCTCCGTATTCAATGTTGTGCATCATGCTTTCCGTGTCTTGCTTTCGTAGCTATCCATCGGATCATACCCGAATTCTTATTCTGCAATTCTGAACTTGTTCTTGAAAGAGGATCTTCGGTTTCAATGAAAGTCAAACCCCAAAATATGTAATTAATATCCTTATCGCCCAATTTTCGAGCCCCGAGTAACCTCCGAGTACTTCAGCGTTCTTCTAAAGTTCTACGCCGTTGTACTTTCCTTTCAAGACTAAAACTTTGCACAACAGAAAGGAACGCACCCTTTTGGTCATTAGCTTGTTGTTCGTCACGTGCTGTACTACGCGGACGACAAGGTTGCTCATTTTTTTATTTCTCACTGGACAAGGAATCGAATGTTGTATGTATGACAAGGGCCACTGAATTGACAGACACTTGTACATGTCATGATTAACCTGCGACAGAAACGCTCATATAGCTGGGGATATCTCAGCAAGTTTATATCCCAAGCGTTCCCAAGTCTCAATCATCGAGGCTCTGTCTACTACCAGAGAGCCGTCTCTCTTGCTGTATTATTTGCCATTGTATCAGTTATATTCCATCGTTGCCCATCATGAATCGCGGAACGGTCGCCATCGCTGTTGTGCAACACCAAGTGATGATCATACAACTCGTACAAGGCACGTACCCACTGAAACTGCTCAAGAACAAATTTCTTAAAAATTCCCTACACAGCCGCATCGGGCCACTCTCACCGTCGTAGCGACCGATGGTTAGATGTGTACACTTATACGCCTTTTGGCGATCACCTGTTCCTAGCTTCATCTGTCCCTCAGGCGCGCATCGCCCCCTCAGATCTCCTTACCGTCTTCCCGTTTCGCACTACCACCACGGATATGATTGAACTGCCTGCACAGGAATATCAGGAGTTCCTGCAGTTCAAAGCCAAACATCAGAAGGAACAGGAGAATTTGTGGCGTGCTTGGAAAGCCAAGTTGCGCTGAATATGGTCCGTTCTATGGAAGACGTCGATTTATTTTGCGTGCTGTGGTCAGCTGAGCAAGACTACACGGAATTACTTGTATTTTTAACACTTTATCATCTCCCCGTCCCGAATTGTAGCTAGAACTAGATACCACCTCACATTATGATACACACTGTCACACTGTAGCCTTAGTACCTGGATGCAAAATTGTAACTTGGTAGAATTTTAAAACTTCTCGTTTATTCCGCGGTATACAACAGATTACTAGTAGAAAAAATAAGAGAAAGCAAGAACACAGAAATGGTCTAGTAGCATACGGAAATAAAAATATCGATAAGTCGACCGCAAACCAAGAACTACATTGGTCTGCAACTAAGCAGCGGCGGTAGCATCTGGGTCCCTAAATACCTATGGGCGCAAAGGGTCAGCGATGATCAATGAAAGAAGCAGTGGGCGCACTTTTAAACTCCATATATCTCCCACTTTGTCTCTGTCTTCAGAGTCTATGACTTCATTCTCCTCCTGGTCTAACTGGCCGCCGGGAGAAGTCTGTAGCTTCAGTCCCTGCTCATTGGCAAGATGCAGTAGACATATGAAGCAGAAGCTCGTGCTGATCTCTTCCATCTTGTCCTTCGGATACGATTTCTGTAGTCCAGAAATCACGGAGCTGAAAACTCTATGTTCTTCGGGGTTAGTAAGAGATATATCATCAACATCCTGGAAGCAAGTGAGCAGAGAAGAAGGGGTAATTCAAAAGAGACAAACCATATCGTCGTCTTCTTCACCCTCCTTCGGCTTCCCAACCTTGATATCCAAGCCTTTCCAAATATTCTCTTTCAGTTTCCTCACATCTACCCGTTTGGCACGCTTGGCATAATTGACAAATTCTGGTCGAACCCGTCGCGTCTGACCTTGCGTGGCAGCCAAGAGATCCTGCTCTCCAGCATCCTGCAGCGCTGCACCGTCGCCATCAAAACCATCATCGAAGCCCGGGCCGTCATCGTAGTCATTGTCGAAGAACTGGGTATTGAATGGTATATTTAGTCCATCACCGGCTTGCGGAGCAATGAGTTTAAAACATATAAAGCGTGAATACAAATATTCTTACTTTCATCATTTTCAGCTGCAGCACGTTCTGCAGCTTGGTTTGCCGCAGCCTGTGCCCAAAATTGCTCGTCGACCTCTCCGTCGCCGTTCTCATTAAACCTGACAGGTTGCCCACGCATCTTCAACTGGAAGTGTACAGATGTCAATTCAAGTCGTCACAAAAATGATTGCGCTTACCGAGAATTTTGGCTTTAGGAAAAGAGTAACGAGTTGCCTGCTTGAGAAGTGCATGTCGTCAGGAAGAGTATGTTCATCACGCTTCTCCTCCTTCGCTTTGCGGCCGCCCCGACCCTTTTTCCCAGTCTTTGAACCTCCGTAGCTGGGCAAAGTAATGCCAGCCCCCCGCGTGACTTTCGCAAACATTTCGTTTGCAATCGTCTTGATGTCTTTCTCAGCGGGCGTCAGGAAGTCGATCTTGAATGCTTCCTTCTTTTCCCGCCGGGGTTTGGGAGCATCAGCCTCTGCTGTAGCGCAACATCAGTGATATAGCATATCCGACTGAGCTGAAGGACTCACGTTTCCGAATGACTTTCCTCAACTTCCAGTGTTCAGGACCCGCCCAGTTTTTCATGAGGTTCTTATCAAAGTAACCCATCATGGCGTTTTCTCCATCCGCGTCTGTAATGGCTATCACACGATCTGGCTTGTTTGGCGCATGTCGTGGGTCGAAAGGGACGAGTGCGCCTCCTGGTCGTACCGCATGTTGTTGATCACCTTCGGCGCCGACGGACCCATTGTCACCGCCCCCATAGTCGCCCCCTCCAAAAGCATCCCCACCATCATAATCATCATCAACAGCTTGGTCGCCCTGGAAGAAATCTTGGCCATCACGATCGCCATCCACATCCATGGGTGCATCATTTGCGCCGTAGTCTCCGAAGCCCGGATCATCTTCATCTTCATCGCCAGCTTGATTGTGAACTGTATCATCACGGTAAAGAGAGTCGTCAAATGTGTGATTGCTGTCTTTGGCGAATGAGAAGTCGGCCAGTGAATGCGAGATCGCCTTGTCGTCAAGGACATCTAAGTCAGGAAAAAATTGACCTGATACAAGGGTGAGTATTTTATCATCCAAGAGGACTTTTGCAACATACTTCGTAGGTAACTTATGTCCACATGTTCTTCCCGCTCCTCCTCATCTTCTTCATCCTCCGCCACTCGGCCCATGGAATCACTCGCGTCAAAGACGACGCGCATGCCACCATCACTTCCAACCCCCAAACTAAGGTGGTTCATGAGCAGGCCCTGTGCACCGCCCTCATCGAAATCTTCGCAAGTTTTGCGGAAAAGGGGGTCAATGCCGAGGTCAAGTTCCAGCTTCTTGCTGTGAAGCTGTGAGGCGTCTTTAGCGAGCGTCGAGTCGGGTCGGTGCGATTTTTTCTTTTTCTTCGCCTGCGTCGCGTCTTGACTATCAGGATTGTCCGACAGCGCGACATCGTCTTCTGCGCCGACCATGCCTTCGTTGGCCAGGTTGCTGAGCAGCTTGCCTGTTTCTGTGCCAACAGAGTCGACGCGACTGGTCCAAATTTTGACGCAGCCATCAAGGGTACATGAAGCGCGCTGGAAGTTGATGGAGTTGTCGATATTATTTCGGAGTAGCGACATATCATGGAAGTAATCGATCAGCGCGAAGTTCCATGAGTTCGCAGCGTTGATTTTCTGGCGATCATTATGATAAGTAGCAAGATCTAGATTATACACTAATACTACACGCACGTTGTCTGTCGCCATTTTCATCCATTCCTCAAAGTTGGAGCTCATGACGTCTAGGGGTACGTTAATGACAGGAGGCGGGGCCACAGAGTTGAGCTGCTGTTGCTTCAACTTCGCCTGCGCAGCCTTGGAAGATTCTGCCTGATCTTGACGCTCTGTCGAAGGCCCAGCTTCCGCGTTTTCTATGACGGCTAGTTTATTGCTCTTCCTCCGCCTACGCTTCTCAGCCGCGTCGTCATTGACGTTGACCGCCCTTAGTGGAAGGCGTCCAGTGTCAGAGTGTGCTTCACTCTCACCTCCGTACATGTCGCTGATCCGTTTCTTGCTGCCCTGTCGAAGTGTCGGTCTTGGTGTATCTGGTTCAGTGTCGCCGCCTGAGTCCGAGTCATGATGATCTGTATCTGCAATCCTGGCACGCCTGGTATTCATTTTCCGTTGAGTTTTGTGTCGATCGTCCTTGACGCTGTCGTAGATGAGCTCGCTGTTACCGTTTGATTACTGTCGATTGGTCGCGTAACGCGTTCAGCGCTGCAGCGTTCAACAAAAGATTCTCAAAGCACGTGACACGTGTTAACGTCGCCGTTCTAGCATCTTACATAAGCTACCCTTTCCTCGGGTTCTATCTTAGTACATCCTATTCATATAGTACATACTTAGCTAACTGTTACTGCATTGCAGATTCTTAGATTCTATGTCTGTCTGCGACAAATTCGATGCTCAAGTTGCCGATTTGTATCTGTAGGGACTCAAAAGTATTTGTAATCACCGTTGAATTTCATCACGTGTTTTGTGACGCCATTGAACCATGCCGTATGCGCATGCGCAAGGTAATATAGTCAAACCACTTGACTTGTCACTTGCCTACCTACTTTGCGTCTCTCATAAGTCTTGCAATATTGCTTCACATCTACTGTACATCATGATATTTGGAGACTTGTCTGCTTATGTATTCATCGACGACCAGGAGCTCCCGGAGTATGCTGTTGTTGCTTCCAGCACACCAACGGAGAACAGAATAACCTGCTGGATCGCGTCGGAAGAGGGCAAGGTGAGTTATGCATCATATATACTGGCAAAAGCCTTACATGCCTCTACGAGAAATTTGGAGTCAGATGGATGAATGCAGCTGAGCAGCCCTGGGGCATCCGAGCAGCTGTCTCCATTGACGGTGTTCGCTGTGTTGGACAAGCTGTGCGCCCAGGCTGGGTCGGCACAAAGGAACGCATGTACTTGAGCAATGACTCAGTCACCAGAGATTTTATGTTTTCAAACATTCAGCTTACTGGTCAGTATGCAAAAGGAGTATAGGTCCTCCTCGTAACACTAAACTTCAGACGATGACTCCATGCTTAATGATCAAAAATCGAAGGACATAGGTCAAATTGTGTTGAGGGTAGAAACGGGGGAGTATAAGACGAAGCCGGTAATTAAACATGGTAAATTGAAAAATCACACCCTCCGTGTGCAAGAAGGCAAGGTGCATGAACGGTGTAAGAAGGCATGTGCTCATCGTGTCATGTGCGTAGAATTTCACCCCATGTCTCACTTTTGATAACATCATCTGTTAAGCTTCGCAGAAGAAGTTCCCCGACAAGTGCATTATCGACCAGGTCGTTCCATCGTGTTCAAACCGGATGACCGTCCTACGACTGTATTTGTGTTTAAATACACGCGCTTGGGTAGGCCATATTATTTTTACGCATATATGCCACTCACACCCATTTTGAACCTCAGACATCTTGCAGGCAATGGACATAGCGCCATCGACACCGAATAATAACTCAAGCAAGGAAGAGGCAAATGATTATGGCGATGACATCGAAATCATCGACGGACCTTATGTGCCTTCAAGTTTGCCATTGCCCCCAAAGGACGTGAAGCCCCGAATTCAACATCTTGAGGTAAACTCTAGCCTCGGCGACATTTTCAGGACCCTCACCTCATTCTTTACTCGCAGATGGAGCTCCAGCGTTTACGTGCCCAGTTGGCCTCGATATCTGAGGACCAGAAGCCCTCGCGCGTTAAGTTGGAATGCGGGGTCTCACGACGGCAGAAACCCGCTATAGAGATCCTCGATTTGACTAAGGATTAGGTTCCGTCTGTCCTCGCTGGGGTTCCCACTTGATCGCTCTGAGGTAAGCATCACAGAGATCATATGTAATGCACATACAATTCAACTCCTAGAAACTCAACGTTTTACAAAACAGGGCATACCGTATATGTTCTTTCTGTATAGTTCGAACTCACTTACACCATCATTATGGACACACATAATAGTACTTACATCGGAACAAGGTTTATTTTTTAATTTCAATTTAGGCCATCGTAACTGGTTCTGGCTTTATGCTCGTCGCTCATAATAATAATTTGTTGTACACTCAT